CTGCTGTTTTGCAAACTTTGTCAAAGAAACTACGCTAAAAGTCTTGAATTCGAACTCAGCATGCAAAACTAGCCCAGGAACCTCGTTTTTGCGACAATCGGGCCCACACCGGTTAGCAAATAGCCTAAGGAGGCCTAGCTTAGACCTAGCTTAGGCTTGGTTTTGACTTCGTCTAGGCTTGGCTTAGTCATGTCTTAGGTTTCGCTAACGTTACACCTGAGGTACTAAGCGAACCAAGCCAAACCTAGACTTAAGCCCACGCCTAAGCTAAGTCTAGGCTATGCCAAACCTAGACCTAGACTAACTAGAAAAGTGCAAAGAAAAAAGCTAACAAATCGCTTAACAAAAATCTGGATCAGCCAGGTTCGACTACGGGGATTCCGAATCTCCAGTGAGAATAGGCTTTTTTATTTGCACTTTCCTAGTAAGGCTAAATTAAGCCAAAAAGATGCCCTCCAACATCAATTGGTTCATTTGCTGTAAGGAACCGTCCATTAGTACCGTGCGAGCGACTATAAATAACGTATGAACGAATATTTCAATCCCTTAGAAAAGAGCCGTTTTCGTGAAGGCCAAAATATATGGCGGGCTTTTGTCGTTGCGGGCTTTTGTCGTTGCGGGCATTTGTCGCTGCGGGCTTTTGTCGTTGCGGGCTTTTGTCGTTGCGGGCTTTTGGTAGTTGCGGGCTTTTGTCGCTGCGGGCTTCTGTTTGCGGGCTTCTGTCTTCGGGCTTTTGCGTGCGGGCTTTTGGTACCTGCGGGCTTCTGTCTTCGGGCTTCTGTCATACCCCCGCTTAAATACCTCAAGCTTGCAAAGAACTAAAAATCTGAAAGTGCAACGTGGCAGTAAGCAAGAATGTTCAAAGGAGCGTAACGTAGTCCGGCTGTGGCAACGCAACGCAATTGCACACACGAACCCTAGATACCGCATGCGCGTCAAAAGTGGAACTTCTACAAACGTCAGAAAAGCAACTTCTGCAACGAGCGCAGTTCGTAAGGACGTTCAAAGGAGCGTAGCGTAGTAGGATTTCGGTGACGCGATGCGCCAATACACACACCAACCTTTTGGACTGTATGCATTTCTCAATTCGTGACGTTTCCTTGAAGACACAATGCTTGAAAAAGCGGCGTTCCGTTTGTTACTAACGACCGGCTCGGTATATCCCTTTCCCCTCGAATGAGAGCATGCCCTCGATTTATGCTTCCGCCCGTTTGTCCCACCACATTCTCGTTATTGGCATCTGGGGTGTCGGGGGGAATCCGGCTTGGTCCGCAAAGAAATATGGGCACTCGACCTGCGATGTTTGAACATATATTTACGTGTACTGTATCGCTAAAAAAACTACGATAATATTAATTGGTTCCTTCACATTATCGGGGGGGGGGCAGGACTAAACTTTTTTTATAAGTCTAGAAATGCCTCAGAAGTTAACAGAAAGTGTTTTAATAGGGCTTTTAGTAATACATAACTATATTTAAACTCGAAAAACTATCTAAAAACTTTTTAAAAGTAGAAATTTTTGTCGACAATCGGCCCTTTTTGGCCTAAAATCGATAATTTTGATGTCTTTTATACAAATTTCTAAGGTTGTCACGTTTTGGAATAGAAAAAAAACAGTTTGAAACACTGCCACTGTTTATATTTGCAAAATGAGATGCAACAAGAATGATTTAACGAATTTTAAGTGATCCTTCATTTCAAAAACCACCCCCCCGCCACCCTCTGGGTTCCTCGTTCCGCCCTTCGAAACGTGCTTGAGGATGCGTCTAATCAGAAATTCTGACCGGAAAACGGAGGGTGACGAGTGGCGCTTGTCCATCGGCGCGTCCTTTCACAGGCTATTCCCTTGTTGAAGAGAAGCCCCTAATTCTTCGTACCACACGTGTTAGCCGGCCTATCCATCGCCGCCTGCTCATCAGCAGTGCCCGGATTTTTGGGCAGCTGAGCTGGCAAAATTGGCCTTTTCGGAAGGTCGTCGGCGTGGCCAATCCCCAAGATTAAAGCTCGGAAAACAAAGTAGTAACAACCGAAATGGTTATGTGGGGGCGCAACATTGTGTTCTGCTCGATGTTTAGGGTAGGCTTAGAATTAGGCTTAGGCTTAGGCGTAAGTTGGAGCTTAGGCTTAGGCTTGTTTAGGCTTAGCTTCGGATTAGGCTTAGGCTTAGCCTTTGACTCTTGATTTTTGGTTTAGGCTGGGCTTCAACATCCAAGAGCTTTTTGTAAAGGTCGATATTCACGTAAATTACTTACATTACCCTTTTCTGAATACCCTTTATAAGTTTCCATTTTCCTAAAAGCCACTCGAAAAGCTTATCGGCTGACTAACATGATGACAATGGCCTTTTCGGCAAAAAGTTTCCGACCTTTATTGTAAAAGGAACAATTCGCCGATAGCGGATTTGGGCCGTCTACTTTCTGCTCATTTGGGCCCAATCCCAGTCTTCGCTCGTGTAATCTGGGTCCACCCCGGCTTGGTACGATATTCGGACCACGTTTCGGATGATCATTTTTCTGATTATAAAACAACAGAATTTCTTTCGCATTATGGCGATGTTTCTCGAGAGGACCCAGATTTTCTAATATATTTGGAGTGTCTGACCCTACACACTTTTTTACTATTGCGAAAAAATTAAAATTTTATTTGCTTTGATTATTTGGTACTAGTGGTTTTTTCAGAGAAAATACGCCGATTCCCGATCAATCTTGGAATTTTCAACGTTTTTTTAAGCACCGAAATCTTATGAAATATCGACATTAAGCTTTTTTTAATTTTGTAAGTTACCCCTTCTGTTAACTGCCCCGTACCCAATCGTCAGAACGCCGGAACTGTACATCGCGATTTTCCAGCTAGTCCAATAGCTACATAAACGTAGTTCCGTCATCCCCTCTTCCGTCATCAGCCGGCCCGGGGCTAAAATCAGCAAAGCCAGTAGGGGGCAGCACTTCTTCTCAAGGGATGTTCTGCTAAATTCACACCGAACAGCCCCACCTTGCCGTGACTCAAATAATCTTGCCCCGCCCCCTGGGCCATTGGGTCCTGCCCTAGGGCCACAAAGTGCGTAAAATCTGTGGTGGTGGGAAACCTGGAGGGCCTTTTATAACCCCTCAGGTGTCGCCGGGACTCTAAAAAAACGGCTGGTTACAGCTTTTCGTTGTCTTTAGCGAGGCGCTATTTTCATAGAACTAGTTTTGGATTGTTTGATGTCCTGGGCTTTTGTTTGTCATTTATCTATTTATACCAGCAATCCTTGTCTTCATATTACTCTTTTCATTCAATATTTATGATTTTCTATTTCTTCTATTCGATTTTCCGCCATTTTACGTAGGAGGCAGTCCGTTTTTGACTACAAGACGCTCCAAATGCCGTTTCTTAAACTCGAGGTCTCCGAAAAATCTAAGCTAAGCCGCTAGATTCCCTTTTTTAGAATACTTTATTCTCGCCTACAGCGCATTCTTCTATTCCTTATTCGATTACCTTCCGTTCTACTCTAATTTTTCCTCTATTTGCAATCATTTTTAATCATTTCCAGGTTCCACGACTTCACAGTGCTGTTCAGCCCACCCCCTTTACTCCACGCGCCGCGCAGACGATGCAATAAAGCCCAGGTCAGTGATCACATTCCTTTCCCCTGATCGGCCTTGCAAAAATACGTATTTTTTATTATGGTTAAAATCATGGCTGGCTACCTTCTGGGGCGGCTCCTTTTTTCATGCGTGCTAATTACAGTGTATTGTCTGGGGGCATGTCAATGAAACGTTTCGCTCTCGGCGCGCCCCCGGGCATTATAGCCACCGCGGAGGCCCCCGAAAAAATTCGTGGAAACCCGGAATTTTTCGGGTTGGTTTTTAGAGGTTCTGGAACTGATAGTTATCTCCTATTTTCCTTATGATTGTAGACGAGTTTTTGCTGTTGAAAATTCCATAAATCTGGTAGCTGATGTCTTCTACATGCAAATCCTGCTGCACGCCCTCCGCTAACAGCCTAGTACCACGAAAACGTTAATCTTCATCCCTAAAGGTTATCCAACCCTTTAAATTTCCCGTTTCCATTCGTTTAGCATCATTTTTCTCCATGAAAATCCTGCTACCGCCCCTGTCCCGCTAAAAGCTCAGTACGAAAACGCCCAAACCGTTAGACTTCTTCTCTAACGGTCATTGAACCCCTGTAAAATTCCAATTTCCAGTCCTATAACGTCATTTTTCTTCATGCAAATCCTGCTACCCAAGGTTTCCTATTTAACATGCCAAAATAAATGGCCGCCCGGGACCAATATAAATTTTCAACAAGACGACAATTATTGTCCAGGAAGGTGGGGGCGGGTTTGCATCAGGTTTTTTGCCCCACCGCGTCCCATAAATATCAACATGGACCCCCGGAGCAGCGGGTTAAAGGGAACGGGACAGCAATAGAGGGGGAGAGGTTTGATTGGCCCCGGCCTCTAATTAGACGACGGATCATCGGACGGCTGCCGGCAGAACGGACGAACATCCCTCCCAGAGATCTCTCTATCTCTCTCTCTCAAGTTTCGGGTCCGGCTTTTTGCCCCCCGACTTCTTAATTCAATTTGAATTTCGTTGGGTGCGGGGGGGGGGATCCCGGAAACGACCCCGTTGATGGGGTCCACTTTCTTGGGGCTGTCTAGCTGCCTCTGGGTTACAGGAATTGGGAAATCGAGTCAAATTCTCAATTCGGGAATTTTCTATTAGGCCCGAAATCCCTACTATCGCAACAGTAAGTATTTAAATGGAATTAATAATAAAATCTGACTCCCGTTTAGGTGGAATCAGTTTTTCCTCTATTTTTCTTATTTTTTTTCAGCGAAATTTGTGGTGTTTTTACATTTACAAAGGGTAAATAATAATGTAAAACAGCTACCTCTATTTATTAGAAGAATTGGATCGTGAGGAAATTCCCCCCCCCCGAAAATGTACAAGAACCGTTAATCTTTTTTGCGAAATCAACACCCTTCCGCCTTTGTAACAATGATATTTTCAGAAATGGAAATGAACGCGATCCAGACATTTCTCTACGAAGTCTGCATCCCGACCATCATCATTCTCTGCGTCCTCGCAGCACTTTTTAACATTTTGGTAAGTGGAAATATTAAAATTTGTACCAAAGAAGTCATCACGGACATATTACCTCTTTTCCAGGTGTTCATCAGTCGATTCCACGTGAAAACACGTTCCTCCTCCCTGGAGCTGACGTACTCGCTGGCCCTGTCGGACACCTGGACATCAATGGTCATTGCCGGATCGCTATTCTGGAACAGCTACAAGCCAGTGATTCTCGGAATTAGACATGAAACGTACTGCTTCCCGCTGACGCTGGAGGTAAGCTACCAATTTTATATTATGAGCCCAACAATGGCTAGTAGCTTTGCGTTTATTTTCAGAGTATAGTTTAACCCTATTTCAAATGGAAAAGGAATGAAAAAACTTCGAAAAAAAAATTAAAATTACTTCCCCCGATAATGCGAAAGAACCCTGATAAATTTACTTATTCTTTTTAAGGCATTCCGAACTGGCGGTCTCTTGGCCGGCTGCTTCCATCTTGCCGCCCTCAGCTTTGTCCACTACCTCACAATCATCCGCCCGTTTGACCATGTCAAATACATGAACATCCAGTAAGTCCTACAAGACCCACTTCCGCTACTGGCCCTCTGGAAATCACGAAATGCTGATTTCAGGGTGACGCAGGTGGTTATTTTAATAATCTGGGCCGTGCCGCCGATTCTATTGTTCGCCTACTTTTCCTCGTACCAAAATGAGGGCTACAGGTAGCTGAAAATAACTCGACACAAATAACCATGATTTTTTTAGAAACCCGAAATGCGAGGGGGTGTCATTCTACGAGAATCTGTACTTCCGATTGGCCGTCTCGCTCATCATTGTTGTGCTAATTCTCATCACGTGTATACTTTACTGGAATATGTTGCGCAAAATTTCTACGGTATGTTTTGTGCGATTTAATAGGGCTAAAACTCGAGCTTAGAAAGTATCAAGAAACTTTTGAGATCTTAGGTTCGCACAAAAATGGCGACAGCCAACCCGCGCGGGCGACGGACCGTTGTCACCGCCGTGCTCATCTTCAGCACTTTTTTAATCGGCTGGCTGCCCGCCAGCATAATGTTCGTGTTAACGGCCGAGGTACGTTTAAACGGTATCAAAAATGCCGTCAAAATCTGAAAAGTCCAATCCAAAAATGTTCAGGGTATGCCGTTGTACCGAAATAGCAGCATCGTCGTCAACATTCTCTCTATTGTCGTTTTGGTGGCGATCATGGCGAAATCGTTGACGAATCCGATCATCTACGCCACAAGGTTAGCTGCTGGGAAATAAATAAGCCGCAAACCGGTGACAAAACCGATTCCATTAAAAATACATCCTTTTCCAGGATACCCGAAATCCGACAGTTCGTCCTCCACCGAATATTCTGGCATTTCGGCACGTCCACGCCGCATCATCGTTCAGAATTGACGCCATTGAAACGCTCAGGGAATTGACCGCATTTCGATTCGAGAAATAAATATTTATCATGATGGATTGACAGAGTGGGGGGCCGGCGGGGGATTGTGGAAGAGCGGGGGGGCAACGGCTGCCCAATTTTGCCGTACTCCGAAAAAAAAGTACAATGGATGAAACAGGGTCAACCGTCTCATGGATATCACAAAGTCGTGAAAAGAAGTAAAAGCGTGCTTATGATACAGTGGAGATGTGGGTGGGTGTGGGGGGAAGACAGTCAGGGGCGGTGGGTGGTGTCTAAATACAATAGTACAATTCACAATGCAACGGGATCGGGCGGGTTGGGAGAGTTGGCACACGGTAGATGGCATCATATATACAGCAGCTTTCTTCGGGCCAGGCTCTAGGCGTTGGCAGGCTGGTTCAGCTTCAGATAATCAAGCACATATTTCGGCAGTTTGTCCTAGCAAAAAGTAGATGTATAAAAGCTGGAAATTACCTGGCTGGCGGAGAGTTGGTGGAAAATGGCTTCGGCGGCGGAGAGTAATTCATCTAGCTTCAGATGCATTGAAAGGTCGTTGACGTGCTGAAAGCGAACAAATTTTTCGATTTTCCGCGACTATCGCCTACTTTCAGGATTTCCGTTAGCCCAAAGCCATTCTCGATGATGACCTCGGTCTCGCGATCAAGAATGGCCACACAGATCAGAAGAAGGAAGTTAGCGCATGGCTGGTTCGTCCAAAGCACCTAAAAATATTCTTTTTTTTCAACAAAAAAAACTCGCTGACCTCCCACAGCTTGCTCGCGTCCTCGAAGCTGAACTCGCGCTTGAACCAGACGAGCAGCCACCGGAAGCAAAAATACATGTCATCGGACTGGTGGGCCTCTGAAGAAAAAAAAAGCTGACATAAATGGAAAAAATCGTACCCAAATAATTGCACAGCTTTGGGTTGACAATCATGACGAGATCGTGCAGCTGGTTGCACTGCTGCTTGATGGAGAGCTGATCCTCGGCAAAGTTGGAGTGCTAAACAGGAAAATAAATTTGAAAAGAGAAAAAAACATACGACAATATCCATCAATCGGACAAAACACCAGAAAGCGTCCACTTCGTCCTCCATCACAAACAGCACAGGGGCGCAAAAGTCGGACATCCCCTGGACGTACCCTAAAAGCCAAATTTCATCGCCATTCCCGAGTTTCCTTACCGAGATCAAAGTTGTACATGCAATACGTCATCAGGACATCGTGAAGCCGAGCAATGTTGGCATTGCCCTCGCCGGTGAAGTATTTCATATGCCGGTCTGTCCGGGTGACGTCCTTTTCTGAAAACACGCCAGAAAATTTTTTTTGTATCTCCGAGTACTGACCAACAAGGGACTTGCGATTAGCAAATGTCAAAAAGCGCGATTCTTGCTCCTCGCTGATGCTCATCCACTGGCCCTTCATACGATAGTACTCTTTTTCGTACTGGGCGCGCTTCTGAAAAAAACGTCCGAAAACAAAAGTATGCCAAACCTGCAGGTGCTCATCGTGGGACTCATTCCAGCTGATGTAACCGAGCAGATATTTCCACGCTTCTTTCCTCACTTCCGGTTCTAGGCCACCCCTAAAATATCGAGCTTTGAAAAAGTGCCAACAGACAAACCTGAACACGCTCATCTTGACGAGATGCAGGGCACGCTGGTCGAAGGAACCGTGGTTGTTTTTGAACGAATCCCAGACTTTCTAAAATCCAGAATGAAATAATTACGCAGACAAAAATACCTTTGAGATCGGAGCTTCCCGGAAAATTTCGGGCCGAGGCGGCAGTTCGAGCTGGGTGACCATCTCGAAGTCGCTTTGTTCGCCGTCACGGTAGACGCTAAACAAACGTCAATTTTCAAGGGTTTTTTCAAATACCGTAGCGGATTGCTCTCCTCGCCCTTCTCGTGCAGTTCGCGCATCGCTCGGATCTGTTCTTCCATGCTGACCTCGTCAGAATCGAGCAGGGCGGGAATAACCTGGAAAAACAAACATTGAATTGCTGGGGATAAATACTTGATCTTGCATGAAAGCCGTGATTTTGCCCAGACCCGTCATTGCCGTGGCGTAGGGGTTGCCCATGAAGCGCTAAAATCAAAGTTGGCGCAGATGTCCGTGTCCTTACGCTCAAGATGTCTCCGTTGTTATCGAGGGCATGGACTGATTGCGCCAGGATATCGGCCTTTTCATTAATCACGAGGACGAGGTTTGGCTCTTTGCGGGAACGCCTCAGCTTCAGGTAACTAAAAGAGAAAAATATAGGAAAGGCCAAGCCGAACTCACTTCTGCATACAGGCCAGAAATTCGTTGCCATCCGACTGGCGGAAGTAGAGCGGCGTATGACTGGAGCCGTCTTTCATGAAGAAGGTGAAGACGGGGCAGACGTTGTCTGAACTCGATTGTCCAAAGAAATCTCCGACTAAAGCGTAAGTCAACAAACAGGTGGCGCAAACACCTACCGCCAGCACGGGCCGGCTGAACCGATTTGAAACTGCTCAAGTCGTTCAGGTCGAAGGAGAAGCGGTGGCGGGCGAAATTGCGTGGCGATGTCTTGATTCCCGAAGGTGGTGATGTGCCTACTAATACAAAAATGGATTTTTTGAAAAATTAGTGCCTTCGCAATACTCGGGAGACAATTTTCCTCCTGAACATTCATTTATCATCAAGACCTTTCTCCTAAACTGCTTTTGCTATTCGCAACCACAATAGTTAGAGATCATAATTTTATTAACACTGCAAAAAATATTTTTCGACTAAAATTCGAATTTTTCAAGGAGGCAACTTCCACTTGAAGTATAGCACAATTTATAAAGCAGCCTTAAATTACAGGTTTTACGTTCCTAGGCAGCCCTGGATGCGCAGAACCCCCTCCACCCCCGATCATGCAAAAGACCCGAAAGTTTACTTACACAACGAATTCTCGTCATTCTCATCTGCGAGCACCCAACCGCTGGTATCCGGCGAATCATCAATCGGAATCCATTCCAAGAAGACGCCCATGGGCTTTAAAAACGAATCAGGTAAGAAAAAGATACGTTGACTTACCCTCTCAACAACTTGCAAATGCCCGTAGATTTCGTCACCTTCAGCCACACGCGCGCAAACTCCTGAGACCTTTAGGGCAACCTAAGAACAAATTTAGTTTTTAACCCCAATCCCTCAAGCTTACATTCTCGAAAACGGCACGGGCCCTCGGGGCGCTAGTGTCCCCCTCCATACGTAACCGACTGGCTTCTTGCTTCTTTTTCACGTAACGATAGGCCAGAATCGGAATCATACAACGGGCTTCTGAAACGGTGATGTTAGATAGGCAATAACGAAGAGCCGAACGACAAAAACAAGGGTGAAACGGTTCAGTTTCGCAACGAAATCGGTTGAAGCCTTCGTTGGGCTCCGGGCAAGCACATGGTGTTGGTTGTGTGGGCACGCTCGCTGCGTGTCATTGGCTGCCAATCGGAGGGCGGGCTGGCCCTATCCGGTATGGGAAAAGCGGGCTGGCAACACGGGGAGTTGGCAAATGACTTGAGGAAATAGGCTGAGGAATTATTACCAAAGTATACAAGCCATTTTCAAGAGTATCTCACTTTCCCCCGGGAGAGTCTACGGCTCGTTTTTTTTGCAAGTGAAACCGCAATAACTCCTAGAGAAATATCGAATTGTGTTGCAAAAGGAAGTTTTAGAACGAGAATTTTCCCAGAACACGCGAAAATGAGATATTCTAACGACAATCACTTTATCACTTCATCGACAAGGGGAATCTGGACATTGCCGAAAAACTTCTTTGGCTTAGAAAATTTCTAATTGTAAGAAAAAAATAGCTACAAAAAAAATAAAAATTAAAAGTTCTGAGCAACGTTACATTACAAATTACGGACAGCGCAGGCTGTATAACGTAGTCTTTCGGAACACTCCCGATTTTCGGCGCGTTTTCCTGATTTATGGGTGAAAAACGCAACAAAGCCAGAACGTCGAAATCGACCAAAAATTTTTCTTGATCTATTTGGGCGATTGCACATTCGTCAAACATCACTGCTACTACGCTATATCTTTGGGTCATCACCCCTTTCCCAATCACCCCCTGCAAAGCGCCCCATCCTCCCCCACGGGCTCCTATTCGGCGCCCCTCCTATTTGCAGCATCGTGGCCTCTACGGTTACGTGGAACCGTTGAGATTCCCTCTTTGCGATTTTTGCTCTAGCTTTTCTGCCTAAACTAAAGGCACAGTAAAGCCATTCCCTGGTACCCGGCTTTTCTCGCAGCGAATGACGTTCTTATGACTTTTTACGACCTCTGGGTACCCCCATGGCCTCTCGGGTCCCGGCAGACCTTCCGGGAACTCCCACTCTTTACGCTGATCTTCTATTTGAGTAGCTTTCTCGATTTTGCCGATCTCTATTAAGCCATCAATTCCAGGGTTTTAAAATCACAAGAAGGAAAACATGGCCGATCTTGCCCCCAGCCAGCCCCCGACCCAGCAGTCCATGCGCCGCGGAATGGTCAAGCAGGTGCGTTTGCAAATGTGCTTTTTTTCGGGCAGCTGCTAGCCTTTGCCTCCATTTTTCAAGCTCTCCTATTTTAGGTCTTGTCCGGTGACGCGGTTGTTATTCAAGGAACCGCTACGCAAGGGCCCCCTCCCGAGGCCACCGTATATCTGTCGAGTGTGACCGCGCCCCGCCTCGGGAAGCGGCCGACCGACACCGTCTCCGGGACCCCCGACGAGCCCTACGCCTGGGAAGCCCGCGAATGGTTGCGAAAAAAGATTGTCGGTCAAGTGGTCACCTTCATCAAGGACTACACTGCCTCATCCGGTCGTGACCACGGGAAAATCTTCCTTGGCGGCACAAGTAAGATTTTCTAGATTTTTTCAACTGTTTTTAGATGTGGACAACGCTGAAAACGTGACCAAGACCGGCGTCGCCGAGGGGTACCTTGAAGTCCGGCAAGGAAAGGTCATGGACGAGTACTCCCAGGAGCTTTTGGCCCTGCAGGAGGAAGCAAAGTCATCGAAAATCGGCAGATGGGACGAGAATTTGAAGCCCAGAGAGGTATTCGTTTTTGGGTGTCACGAATCATTTTTTAGGTGACCTGGACAATCGACAACCCACGACAGCTCGTCGAGAAGTATCAACAGAAGCCAGTAGATGCAGTCATTGAAATGGTATGGTCGTTTGAGCAGAGCCATCAACCTTTTTCTAGATTCGTGACGGGTCAACATTCCGCATGATGCTCCTTCCTTCATTCGAGTACATCACCCTGCAGCTTTCCGGAGTCAAGTCTCCTTCCACGCGCGCCCAAGACGGCAAGGCAGAGCCCTTCGCCGAAGAGGCCAAATTTTTCGCTGAAATCCGGCTGTTGCAGCGTGACGTCCAGGTAACTTTTCGCGTAAATCTTGGACGATTTTGTGTAGGTTGTCCTCGAGTCGTCGTCGAACCAAAACCTCGTCGGCTCAGTGCTCCATCCCAAGGGCAACATTGCCGAGTCACTGCTGCGTGAAGGATATGCCAAATGTGTCGACTGGTCAATTGGGCTGTGCACGGGAGGAGCGGAGAAGCTTCGAGCCGCGGAGCGAGCTGCCAAGGAGAAGAAGCTCAGACTATGGAGGGGCTATGCGCCCAACGCCTCTTCGAGCCTCAGCGCGGAAAAGAAGCATTTTACTGGCAAGGTAGTTTTTTTGCATATTTCTGTATATACCTTAACCGCCTCTCTTTTTTAATTATTCCTTTGTAGGTCGTCGAGGTCGTGATGAACGATGCACTGATCGTGCGCAAGGATGATGGTACCGAAATTAAGGTCCACCTCTCCAGTGTGCGTCTGCCAAGGTATATTTTGTGGTCGACATCTCTAAATGCTTTTTAGGGAACAAGGAGATGCTGATGGAGCCAAGCCTACCGGACCAGTCAACCGCCAGTTCCGGCCGCTCTACGATGTGCCCTTCATGTTCCAGGCCCGCGAATTCCTCCGGAGGAAGTAGGAAAACTTTCTTTTTTTCATAATTTTCGTTTCAGATTGATCGGCAAGCCCGTCCAAGTCACCATCGACTACATTCAGCCCCGATCCGAGCAGTTCCCAGAGAAGACTTGCTGCACAGTGAAACAGGTATGTGCTTGTGGCTGACTTCCCATACCTTTTATAGGGTGACCTGAATGTTGCCGAAGCGCTGATCACTCGTGGACTCTCCAAGGTCGTTCGCCATCGATCCGACGATGATAACCGCTCCTCTGCCTATGATGCGTTGCTAGCCGCCGAGGCCAACGCGGAAAAGGCAGCCAAAGGCCTGTTTTCACCAAAGGTTAGCACAATTTACCTCAAGCATTTTACAATTTGATTTTTAGGACAAGGACCGCAAAGACACACACCGCATCCAAGAGCTCGCCGGAGACGCCGCCCGATCCAAGCAATTCCTTTCCTACCTGCAGCGAGGCGGCCGAAATGAGGGTGTTGTCGAATTCATCGCCTCAGGATCTCGGCTGCGCATCTACGTACCAAAGGAGACCTGTCTGATCACCTTCCTGCTCGGAGGCATCAACTGTCCGAAAGGCGCTCGCCCTGGTGGCGCCGCCAGCGAAGGAGAACCCTACGCTGCCGAGGCTGCACAATTCACAAGGAGCCTCATCATGCAACACGAGGTCGAATTTGATGTTGAGGGCATCGACAAGATGGGCAACTTCATCGGGTACCTCTACGTCAAGCCCCAGGAAGGTGGACGTCCGCAAAACCTCAGCGAGCTGCTTGTTGAACAAGGATTGGCCTCGGTAACTTGAGACGATTTCATTCATGCAATTTTCTGTTAGGTCCACCATTTCTCGGCCGAGAAGAGCGGTCACTACAACTCCCTCGTTTCTGCTGAAATCCGGGCCAAGAACGCGAAACGGAATATCTGGGCCAATTTCAAGGAAGAGCCCGAAGATGAAGAGAAGCGTACGCAAAGTGATGACAAGTCCGAGCGTGTTGTTTCTTACAAAAAGGTAAAACATTTTTCCGTATGATTTTTATTCGCTCTTAGGTTGCCATCACTGACGTCCAGCGTGGAAACTTCAAGTTCTCCGCTCAGCTGCTCGATGATGGGCCGAAGCTCGAGAAGCTGATGGGAGAGCTGCGCGAACATCTGAACTCGAACCCACCTCTGACCGGCTCTTACCAGCCACGAAGGGGAGATCTTTGCGCCGCCAAGTTCTCGGCCGACAACCAATGGTACCGTGCCAAGGTCGAGTCTTCCCGAGCTGGAAACGCTGATATCCTTTTCATCGACTACGGTGTGTACCTTCCCTTTATTTATAATCTATGTGTTTAGGTAATCGGGAATCTGTCCCGGCCAACAGCCTGGCGGCCCTTCCACGTGAATTCTCCAACACCGGCGCTTTTGCCAAGGAATATGGTCTCGCTTTGGCGTCGATTCCCAACGATAAGGTTTGTGTTGCCTCTATACAAGATACCCTTAGTTGTAAAAATTATTAAATCCGGCTATTTTTTCTAGGACTACGCTGTCACCTCGGACCAGGCTCTCGAGCAGGTGTTGTTCTCGAAGCCGACGGCCGAGCTGAACGTTGAGTACCGAGCAAACGGTGCCGAATACGCCCAGGTGCTGATCGATATTGATGGGAAGCGTACGGATGTCGGGCGTCTCCTCGTGGCCGATGGTTTTGCGTTGGCAGACAAGCGACGCGAGTTCCGGTTGCAGCAGTTGGTCAATGATTACCAGGTGAGGTTACTTTGTTCGTTTCATTTCTTTTAGAAGATATCTTTCATACTTTGATTTTAGGAAGCTGAACAAGAAGCTCGCAAGCGACGCCGCAACATTTGGGAATTCGGCGACTTCACTGGCAATGACCTCTAGGCGTTTGTATATCGGTTGTTTTTTTCCCCCATTGTTCATTCCGGTCTCTGGTCATACTTCTGTGTTATCTTCTTTCCTCCTACAATTCTTCGACGTTAAGTTATTGTTATTTTTCTTCCGGGGAGGTTTTTTTTATCTATGCCTTTAAAATAAATGGGTTTTATCGCGCGATTTGGCTGGCCGACACAGATATGGTTTTCACGACGCTACTTGTACAAACTAACCGCAAACCAGATTCAACAATGTGATTTAGTCGCGATGGTGCGACATAACCCTGGGCCGCTGGGCCAGAAAAACAAGAAGCACAAGACTGGCGGGCATAAAACAAAGGGCGTCCTGAAGAAGGAAGCTCGCGGTAAATTAACTAGGCAGAAGATTATACTGGGTCCTATTTAGGGAGAACCGTTTCTCGAAGTTCTGTTGCGGGCTCGGCCCATTCGACATTATCGAGGCAAACTCGAAAATGCCAAGCCTCTCAACGTCGTCGTCTGAAGAATGAAGCTGATTCGATTGCCAAAGAATCGCTTGGGAAAGAGAACAAGCCCCCGATTCTTGTGGTATAATTTGTGACCTTAATTTCCATCAAGAATTCAGGCAATCGTCCCATTGAGCGGTGCGCCAAGTGGTAAAGAACTCGTCGAACAGCTAGCCTCTTGTGATTCGACCATCATCCGCTCAAATACACCGGTGGCACAATATTTCACGTAGGGAAACCTTCTTTCCCTGAAATTTGCTTTAGACTGCCTCGGTTCAAGACGAGAATTGGTTTTGTGACACCGAATCCCAATGATATCGAGGCTGTATTGGATTCCCTGAAGGTTTTCATTTCTGTCAAGTTTTTATAATTTTTAGGTGGCTGACGTCGTCTGCTTTGTCTGGCAAGTAAACCACGAGCTGACCAGCCAGAAAGAGCTTCTACTCTCGTTGCTGCTCGCCCATGGCATGCCAAGCCCAATCTGTCTAGTGAATGGCATGGGACAAATCTCGTCTGCTAAACAACGCGATCTGGCTTGGACGAATTTGAAGAAGACGATTAATCGATTGTAATTTCGCCTTAGTTGTAGTTTATTGTCCTTTTAGCTCTCTACCCACCGACAAGCTGCTCAAGGCCGATTCCGCGAACGATGGCCTGAAATTGTTGCGGACGTTCAATGACGGGAAGAAAAAGAAGTTGTTGATGCAACAGCGTCACCCGCATATGCTCGTCGAGAAGTTGGACGCTGCCGACGAGGATGTATGTTTTCCAACATATTAATATTATAATTGCATGTTTTAGACGTCGAAGGGCACCTGCACGTTATTGGCAACTGGCTACATCAGGGGTCCCTCGATGAATGTCAACCATTTGGTGTATCTCCCCGGATTGGGCGAATTCCAGGTAGCGGCTCTTCCAATAATTCTAAAGTTTTTTAGTTGTCAAAAATTTTTGCGCATGAGGATCCGAATCCGGTGAGGGAGCGACAGGTTTGCAATATTTGGGGCAATATATTTGGTATTTTTTTTTAGCGTGAATGGAATCCCGCCGCCGGAAACTTGGCCGCAGAGGCCTCTCCCAGCATTCAAGAAAGCCTTCAATCCGAAATTGTCCCCAACGAAATGGACGGCGAGCAAATTCTCATCGACCAGGATTTGAAGAAGGACGAGAAACATTGTATGGAAAACCTACACTTTAGAAGAACATTATTTAGTATTCGTGGCTCCTGAAAAGAAGAAAATGCCGAAGGGAACGTCTTCTTATCAAGCCGCTTGGATCATCCCTGATGACGAGGAGGGTGAGGGTGAAGGGGACGAAGAAGAAGAGGAGGACGGGGAGGATGAGGAGGATACAGAGGTGGACAGGTTCTTGCTCACTGGAACATCGGTTTTAGGGAAGCAGCGACGAGGGTGAGGGCGAGGAAATCGAACCTGAAGAGGCTGAAGAGGAGAATGATCAAGTAAGAAGACCTGCCATTAAATCCCCGTCGTTGCAGGTAATGGATGAAGATGCTCGAACCGAGGCCGCAGACACGGAATTCGGCGACATCATGGACGATGAGGTGGACATGGACGAGGTGGCAGAGTTCAACGCCGAACGCCAAAATGAACAATGGCCTGATGAGATCGATACGCCAATGGACATCCCGGCTCGGGTGCGCTTCCAAAAGTATCGCGCGCTCAAGAGCTTCCGGTTAGTCCTAGAGCAGAATTCTTGAATTTGTCTTTGTAGTGAGTCGCCCTGGGATGTCAACGAGAATCTGCCGTATAACTACGCGCGTATCTTCAAGTTCCAGAACTTCAACAGGACAAAGAAATTGGTGTTAAAGGTAAGCTTTCATTGGGTTTTCGAAAGTTTAACTTTCATAATGTTACAGCAAAAATAAATTTCATTAAAATTATTTGTGTTTCTTTAGAAAATGGGTGAGGAAACCGCGGATTGCGTGTCGTCGGGGACGTTCGTGACCCTGTTCATCAAGGATGTGCCTGCTAGCTATCTGGGTATGCATATGAGGCTGAACTCCTTAACTATAATTTTTAGCCTCAATCCGTCCAGATTCCCTGCTTGTCCTCTACGCCCTTTTGCCGCACGAGCAGAAAATGTCGGTCAGTAACCTCCGTTCTGGGGCTGATATCGCTTTACATTTAGGTGGTGAACATGGCGGTCAAAAAACATCCGACCTGCAAGACGCCAATCCTCAACAATGGAACCCTGACGTTCCATGTTGGCTTCAGGTTTTGATTTTATTACTGAAAAAACTATGTTTTTTTTAGAAAATTCGAGTCACAAGCCTTGTTTAGTCAACATCATTTGTCCGACAAAGTCAAGGTATGCATACTTTGCCAATAGATAACCATTTTTAAGATGGAGCGTTACTTGCCGTCAACGGGCCCGTGCGTCGTCTCGGTGTTCGCCCCGGTCATCTTCCCACCGGCCACCGTGCTCATCTTCCAGAAGTTGCCTAATGATACGCAGGTGAGTTAATTGTCGAATTTGTGTCGAAGAATCCATTTTTGCCCTTTGAGCAATAATGTCCCGAATTTTCAGCAATTGGTGGCCACCGGCAGCCTGTTGGACAACAACCCGGATCGGATCGTGCTGAAGCGTGTCGTGCTATCCGGGCACCCGTTCAAAATCAACCGCCGCTCGGCCATCGTCCGGTATCTGTTCTTCAACCGCGACGACGTCGAGTGGTTCAAGCCCGTGGAGCTGCACACGCCTTCCGGTCGCCGCGGTCATATCCGCATGGCTATTGGTGAGTCCATTATAGCGTTTATAGGTTCTTTCGCTATCGGGGGGCGCTTTATCGGGGATCCAGTCACCAAGGCCACGATTTCTTATCAGGCTCGATGGGCGGATTTAAATTTGTCTCTGTGCTCTGCCTTGCGCATCTGTCCACCTCAGGGATGCACTAACAATAATAATTTTGCTACACTAATGTTCTATTTGGGATGCCAAGAGTTAATTTCATGAAGTTTTATAATCAATAAAAGATAGTTTTTAATCTTTCAACGTTGTAAAAACACCCTCAAAATATCTAGAAACGTGGCATTTAGTAAAGCTCGAGCCCAGGGAGCCCAAGACAGTTTTGCAGTGTAAGTTTATAAAAGTCGTAGTTCGTATTAAATCTTGTAGTAATGCACTGATACTAATATAATAGTCCAAAATCAATGTCAATGATACTTTAATACACCTCCGGAAGCTCCCTGAGCTCTTTGGGCTCCTGGCTCCCTGGGCTCCCTGAGCTCGAGCTTTACAAACTACCTAGAAACGTGATTAACATTCACCCGGATCTAGCTTACTGAACCTCATTTTCGAACATAAACTTTGCCGAATGGATATTTTCTCCAAAAACCTACAAATCCTGATTTTAGCTTATAAATCCTTGGGTAGAATTTGCTAAATTATAGGTTTCGATAATTCATTCGACCGCACATTGTGTTTATTATAAAACATTTTCTAGCTTATAGGATAATGGTAGTATCCTGAGACGTTGGTGGATCTATAAAAACAGTTTCCTTATATGGCAAGTGCTTTTTGACCTAAAAATGAATTTGATAAACCTTGATAACGCCACAACCAGTCATTAATCGTAAAAGCCAAGCCGGAACTTCCGGTATTTACCGTAAAATTTTATTAGTTTTTTACGATTTGCAAGCTTTTGTTTTTCAAGTTGTAAAAAATAACCAATCCGAGGTTGTAGGGATATTGAAAGCATAGGCCTAGGTGCGCAAAGAATGGTGCGCCTCGAGCAGATAGATGTGCAGATGGCAACGGAAGGCATACAGAGGACTTGATAAAAATCGTGGCCTTGGGGACCGCGCCCCTTTATCGGGTGCAAACTTTTTATTTATTTGGATATAATTTTCAAATTTAAATAGTGGCAGCATTTCTAAATAATTTTTTTACTATTCCTAAAGGTGAACACTTTACAAATTGTTGTTCAAAACATAAAAAATAGATTTTTCGGTCAAAAATGGCCGATTTTTGACCAAAATGTCGACTTTCTTGAAGTTTTTAGTTGCAACTTGTTAGCACTCATTCAATTTCCCGTTTCAGGCACTCACGGCCACTTCAAGTGTCGCTTCGACCAGCAGCTTGACGCCCAGGACACTGTGATGATGAACCTGTACAAGCGCGTCTACCCCAAATGGAGCTACACGTCTCACATCACCAAGCTGCCGACCGTGCTGCTAAACCAGGAGGAGGGGCCCCTGAACGGCGGCCAGGCCCGCGATGAAATGGAAGAATAGCTTTCCTCTTACTAACTGCTTGTTTTGTTGATTTTTGCTCATTGTTTCAGATTGTTGTTGTTGCTCTTGTTGAAAGGATAAATTTTATAACTGTACAATGGAAGCACATCCTGGTACGAATGACAACGTTGTGATCTTATGCATCAATAGAAACGAACAGCTTATTAGCGGAACCGGAAGTGGACGTGAAGTTTCTAAATTAGTTTGTCAGGGCCGAGTCTCTTATCTTTGTTTCCTACCCCCGATGCATTACGCCTGGTATTTCGGGGGCGGATGTAGTCTGAAGCGGCAGAGAGGCGAGCCTGAAATAGGTCGAATCTATTTACTATTTCTATAAGATACATAATGGACCAAACCCGGCAAGGTATGCATAAAAGACAGCTAATCATGCCGAAAATTAGGCCGGGCATGTGAATTGGAGCTGCGAAGATGGGCAAATTTGCTGGAAGCCCTGCAAAGCGAAGGTGCAACGAATGATGAAGCGCCTTTGATCTTTGAGGTAAGTAATCTAAGAAATTTGCTAAAAAATTATAAACTCGTTCGTAGTAACTCTAAAATTACGATGTATCCAATAACACAAGCTTCAGGATGAGGATGAGCCAAAAATCAGCGCCGAGAGCATAATACTCCGGTCAAATCAAACGATCGAAAAGTGCATACTCGCTTTTGCGACACATGCTATTGAGGTTGCTTCTGAAAATTTAATCCAACGTCCGTATGGGTTTAGGCAGAGAATTTCCTTAATCAAGCTGTAAACACTCACTTTCCCACAATTTTGCTGTACGAAGAAATGGGTAAGCCTGATCTATATCACATTGTCCATCAGTTTTCGCCCTTAATAGCAAAAAACTGAGCAGATTAAAGCTCGCTACTTCAGAATCTCCGACTCAGGCCGAGGTAGTCGCTCGAATGAGTCGATTCCTGCCCGCGCTTCATGCATTCGCCGATTTTCTGGGCAGAGTATCGCTGGTTTGTTTAACTTCATATGTGAAAATGGTATTTAGATGTTTCGCAATCTTCTGCAGCAAATTCGCGCGTTCTACGGGCTAAGGTAGGCGTTTTTTAGGGTTTGGAAAGCTATTCGAGATATGTTGATGCTGTTGTAAAGAGACAAAACTATTTGATAAACGCCATTAAGGAGTCTGGTGTAATCTAAGCTTTAAAATTAAGTTTAAACAATAAAATAGCTTCACGAGCTCCTTTTCAGTCAAGCCGAACTGCCAAATTCGAAGGAGTGGAGCCTGACGAGAAGCTGGCGGACGCTCGGCGATCTTTTGGCAATTTTGATGCAGGTAGAAACAATTCACGTTTGATTGAAATGATACAACTTCTAGACTGACGAAATTGTGCTGCACCACGCCTGGGTGAAGCGCGACTGGAACGTTTATAGGAGGTAATCGTTTATTCACACCGAATAACAAAGTTTTGCTTTAACTTTTTCTTGGACTGAAAATAGGGTTTTCAAGGCGTTCAACCGGCGGTAGAGTTACCTAAGTTCGAGTGTAAAATTTTGATTAAAGCTAAAAAAATACCTGAATAGGCATTGCACAAATTTATTTGCACGCAAAACTCCTTGCCGTAGGTGTAGAGGCCGGTGACGATGTTCGGCTCGGAAAGGTTGCCTGAAAGCCGTTGATGTGGTATTTTGAAGCTTTCAAGCTCAGTTTGAAGCCGATTTGCGCGCGGATATTCTGGGGGATATGATTTTTTTAAGCGTTGCAAGCGCATTTTAAACCCTATCAACGCAGAATTTTTGAAGCTCACTTTGAAGGCCGCTGTGCTGGGCTCGATAGCGGGTCTTCAGCTCGTAGTCGCCGATGGCCAGCGTCAGAATTAGTGTGTAGAGAATGACGAAGAATATGCAAAGCGCCGTCCCGAGCCGACACATTTGGCTGAAAAGGGATGTGGGCTACGCATCGGTTTAGAATTTCGAGGTCTAGAATTTCGTAGCTTCACGCTAGGAGCACTTTAAAGGGCCTAGGAAGCGCCAAAATCGACCCCGGTGTATTCTAGGTCTCGACTAGACGTGACTTTCTGGCAAGAAAATGCCTTAATAGCCAAAAACTGAAAAAAGTTAGTATTAGCCAAAAAAAGACATAAATATCGCCGTCCAGGCAATCAAAACCTAATCGATTCTGCAGCCACTTTAAAATATCGAAATCAATGGAATTTTCCTTTTAAACGATTAAATAAATTGAAAATACAAAACATAGGTTGGAACTATTTTGAAAGCCAAATGCCTAAATTAAGCTAGCCCAAAAAAAATCCAAAATACGAGGCCCATAATCGATCAGCTGGCATTGGGCGATGGTCACGATTGCCGGGGTTAAAATGAGCCGATCTCGCGCGCACCGCGCATCGGCATGCCTCTGTGAAATGTATAATTGGTCGATCGTGTCGGGCAGACCGCGCGCTCTTTATGCCCCGTTCGGTATGTTGTAGTTGTTCAGGTCGTGTTTTAGTTAAATTAGCCTATTTCCGGCTTTAGATTCCAAAAATTCCGAAAAATTTTAACTAGTTATGTTTTTCTATCTTTCTAGCGCCCATGCCGCTTGGCTAATTGGTTAAGCTGCTCCCTGTCAGGCGGAGGGTCCGGGTTCGATTCCCGGGAAATTATTTTTTGCCTTTTGCCATGGGTATCGGAAATTATTCGATTATACTTAATCAATGTTTTTCAAGGAATTACTCCAATTTTGTTTGCTCCGGTTTTAGCTAGATTGTTTCATTTGAAAAAATTATTGCTTATCTTTCGTAAAAATCGTAGACTTTTCGCTAATTTAAGGTTTTTTGAGCTTTCTACAGCGTTCGATGTATGTCTAATTGGTAAGGCTCTCCCCGGTCAGTCGCAAGGTCCGGGTTCGCGCCCCGGGCGGCGCAAGACTTTTTGATTTTTTTTTTTGGCTTTTTGACCCAAAACTTCCAAAGTTTAGGAGCGACATTACTTCAGCGTGTCTGAGCGACATTTTACCTCAGCGACATTTTTGGGAACATTTTTTTAGCAATTTTGCTTTTCCAGATGCATCGAAGCCGCCCAGCACAACCCGGCGCAATTCGGCATTTCTTCCGAGGAACTTCGCCCGCTGCTCGTCACCCTGGCCAGTATCGATGCTCAGTTGATGCACGGGGATGCCCTCAGGGTATTTTTTTCGCAATTTTGAGCTTCTAGATGTCTCTAGCTTTTCTAGAAGAATGTCAAAAGTCGTGATGTCGAAAATAGGCATCTCAAAATTACGGAATTCCGGCATCTCGACATACTAAGATTCTGGATTTCGACATTCTGGGCTTCGATATTGTGAATTTATACATTCATAATTTCGATATTCTGTATTTAACTTTCTGATATTCTGAATTTTGGAGATTTTTATACCCTGAATTCGGAGATTCCGGATGTCGTGATCCTGTGTTTCGAAATTCACCAAATTCGTTCGGTTATGAATTTCGATATTCTGAATTTCAAAACGTCTCAATTTCGGCATTCTAGGTTTCGATATTGTGAATTTCTATATGTTAAATGTCGCCATTCTGAAATTCGTTAGTATAGAAATGCAACGTTTTGAATTTCTGCATTTTTTAGGCATTATGAAATGATGAAATCCCGACATTCTAAAGATCAGGCAACCCTTCAGAATTGCTACGAGCAAAGTTTCGGCGAGCTGGACGATGACCAGAAATTCCGGGACCTGATGAAGGCGACGATTCTGGAGATGTATACCCAGTGGGAGGGGACGGCTGGTTGGCTTTTTCGATGAACTCCAGGGTTCATCACGACTTTTCAGCTTCCGACCAGCCTGACAAGCGCCAACTGACCGCGCTGACCTGCTTGGCCGTGTTCTACCACATCCACTTCGGCGGCAAAGACAAGAAGGTCGTCAAGACGCTGTGGAATAGTCATAAAAAGGTGTGGGCGCTTTAGAGCTAGGAGAAATGGAACTTTCTGGCGGACTTCAAACCCGTAATTCCAGATTGTCACGTATCATCTGGTGGGCGACATCGTCTGGCTGCCCTGCTCCTTCATGTTGCGCGAGATTGCCGAACTTGGCGGGCTTGTAGACAAGAAGAGCGTGCAATTTGTGCTCGGCACAAAACAGCAATTGTTCGACGACCAGAGCCCGGCGATGATCAACGAGGCGCATGCGTTTGCTGGAGAAGCCGAGCAGTGGCTGGCCACATTTAGGGTGGGCTTTAAAGGAGGTGTTGCTCCGGCTGGGCGTAGACTTAGGCTTAGGCTTAAGCTTCGCTTAGGCTTAGAACTAGGCAGACTAGCGGAAATCATTGAGGGAAGTAAGATACTGAAATTTACAGCTCCAACTCGGCGTCCACGGGAAGAACGTGGAAAGGACGGCAACGGACTGTCTGAAGCAAGCTGATCAGGTTTTAAGGGTAAGTCGGCGGTCATTTAGCTTTCTACGAGACCGAACTATAAACTTCAAGCTGCAAAAGGTGTTAAAACGCAGATTTACTACGAAATACAAACCGTCGGAACACTAGAAACCACATTTCGCTTTTTCCAGGGTGCCCGCCTGTGCGACTCTATGGTGCGCCTCCTGAAGACCGTCGTCCACAGCGACTCCCGCGAGCGAAGACTCGCCAAAAGCGACGCCATCAAGATCTTTGAGGTCGTCTACAGCATCAAGGTAAATAGTGATTTTAAGGATATACGTGTAAGCCGAAGCCTTTGAACTAGTAAGCGTCCAAAACCAACCCCTCTTTTTTCAGTCCCTAGCCCGCTTCTTCGCCGTCCACTGGTCGGCCATCAAGGAGATTTGCCAGATGGCAGCTCATCAATACAGGTGAGCCAGATGTGTAATTACCCCTTTAAAGGGGGCAGAAACGGGCAAATCGATTCCCTAGGTTTACTGGGTCAAGATGACTGAATCTCAGGCTGAACGCGCTGCTGCTGATCGACAAAGCGAGGGCGAACTGTCGAGAAACCGGGAAAATGGAGAGATTGGCCGCGTGGAATGTTGCTGCTGAGGCGCTGCTGAGTACAGATAGTCGCACTCGGCTCCTCATCGCCGGCGTGTCGTTTGAGATGGGGGTGTACAAAGTAAGTGAACTTGGGCTTCGGCTTAGGCTTAGGCTTGGGCTGATGCTTCAGCTTAGGCTTTGGCTGAGGCCGAGACGCCGGCTTAATTCTAGTCAGGCTACAAAAACGGATGTCATTTAGAAAACATTGCGCAGCGTCGAAGCCACCCAACTGGAGCAGCTGATGAACCGGATGGACACGCTGGGCAGGCCGAGGAAGCTGCTGCACAGGTGCGGCTCCTTTTGAGGCTTGAAAGGGAGCATACACTCGACTCATGAATTGACTAGAGCTCGTCAGCTACACGCTACACCAAATGACCCAAGAAAAACGGGTTTGTAGTGGCTAAATGAGGCACGCTGCAGGCGTGTTTTGGGGCCTCTCGTAGTTGTCGGGATTTAGTGGACCGCAAGCGTCGATTCTCAGCCTTCAATGGCCCTTTAAAGACTCTGGAAAGCCGTGAAAAAAGAGCGCTTCAAAGTCCTTATGTTGCAACAAACATTATATTTCGATAATGCCAATTCGAAAATTCGGCTTGAAGGCTCCGTATATTACAAATTTCTATTTTCTAGATCCTGTATTTAAAAGCTGTAACTTATGTTAATGTTTAGGGTAACGGACTGCTCGTTCCTCTTCTGGGAATGGTCCCTTTTCGACATTTATTTCGATGGGATCACCGAACAAATGCCGACAAGAAGAGAAATTGAGGTATATTATTTGAAACGGCTTTTGAGAAAGAATTTTTTAAATCCTACTACCAGGGTTGAAAAGCCGCTTCGCGACTTTTCAACCCTGGCCCCGTCTGATCCCATGATATTCTGCCCTTTGCATAATTCACGCGATTTTCGATGACAGAAAATGAGAAATGCGACCTCTCTTCTCTTATATAGGCTACCGTAATTTCTGGAATATGCTAATTGTTTCCTAGCAAAGAGGGGGCTCGATTTTTCAACAAAAAAGTTAATTTTAACATCGAAAACACCGAATTTTTGAAGATTTTATGAGTGTGCAGTCATCCCACGGCCATTACGCACCTAATAGGGTATAAAACATAGCCCTAACTGCCCCCCTTCTTGAGATACTGCTGGAACACGCTGACGGAAGTTGCATGCAAATGCACACACATACACACACACACACAGACACTATTTTTTATATATATAGTAGGATATATAAAAAAATAGTGTTTGTGTGTGTGTGTGTGTGTGTGTGTGCCACTTTGCATGCAACTTCCGTCAGGGTGTCCGGAGGATATCTCAAGGGGGGAAGGGTATTAGGCTACGTATGATACGTCATTAGGTGCGTAATGGGTTGGAGATGAATGCACGCTTACCAGATTTTGCAAATTATGTTATTTTCGACATCCTACTATATATAAAAAAATAGTGTCTGTGTGTCTGTGTGTGTGTGCCACTTTGCATCCACTTCCGTCTGTCTGTCCGGAGGGTATCTCGCTAGGGGATGAATTTTAAAGTACGTATGATACGTCATTAGGTGCGCATTGGTCTGGAGATGACTGCACACAAATAAAATTTTACAAAATCAGCGGTTTTCAACATTAAATTTAGGTTTTTGTGAAAACCTCTTTGTTAGAACAAATTAGCATAGACCGGAAAGAGGGATTTGACCATATAAAGGAGCAGAAGAAGTTGTTTTTCAGTTTTTGTGATCATAATGCAAGATAATTATGCAAAGGTTTAGGATAAAATGGGGTGAGACGGGGCCAGGGTTGAAAAGTCGCGAAGCGGCTTTTCAACCCTGGTTAAAAATCAATTTTTGTTAAAAAATCGGACAGCCTCTTTGTTAGGAATGAATTAGCATAAGACGGAAGTGGCGGCAGCCTATATAACGACTGAGATGGTGCATTTTTCATTATTTCTCATCAAAATTCGGCCGAATTATGCAATGTGCAGGATATCATGGGCTCAGACGGGGCCAGGGTTGAAAAGTCGCGAAGCGGCTTTTCAACCCTGGTTAATGTTTAACTAATAATTCTATTTAAAAACTAAATAAATTTCTTTTTAATTTAGGGTCTTTGGCCTTTTAAAGAAGCCACTCACGTTTTGACTACATTAGGTTACTAATTAGCGTCTCTGTTCCAAAAACGCAGAAAATTGGGGTTTCATGTTTTTTCACGGGTTTATATTGCTTAAATTAAGCTTTTAAAGAGCACGAAAGGCATTTTTGCTACATTTTATACCTGATTACGTGACGTAATTCCTTAAACTCTAAAATCTTGACAAAAAATGTCTGGCGTTCTTAGTAGTGGCCATGGGGTTTGAGTCCCCATCCACCGTGTTACCACCACATCACTCTCGGAGACATTAATTTGGCCGATGGGCATGTGAGCCCGAGGGGCCAACTCAAACGCTCCGGGCGGGGGTCGAACCCGCGACCCTCAGGGCCGTAGCCCCGCCCCCTTACCAATAGACCACAGCAATGGCCTGTCAGGGGATCTTTGCCGCCCTTTCGGATTGTGCTGCCCTGGCTGGGAAGGCCGCCCATCTACCGGAACGGCAACTACTCGCCCGATTCCAATCTCATATTTATAATGCTGTGCAGAAGGTTCGTTATTTTACGATTTTATAAGGTTCTTTCGCATTATCGGGTGGTGATCATTTTCTTTTACTTTCTTTGTTTTTCTTAGGATCTAATTTTCCAAATAGAAATAGTGGCGGTGTTTTTAAGTGATTTTTTACTATTCCTAATCCAAAACTATACAACTATTAGAAAAAACATCAAAAATATCGGTTTTTGACCAAAATTTCGACTTTTTGAACATTTTAAAGTTTTTAGATAGTTTTTTCTGGTTTAAGTATTAGCTTTGTTTAAATATGAATAAGTTTAAATATTAATATTAGCGAAAAGAAACGTTTTGTCTTAGAAAAGGTGTATTTTTAAGACAAAACCTGTATTATAAAAATATTTAACCGGAAAATTGCTAGAAATAAATTCCGCCGTTTGAGGGCCTCCTCTACGCGATGTGTGGTGATATCGAGAATGACTTGCGCGTGCTCATCCACAAGCATCTGGCCGTCGGCGAGCAGGACAAGTTGCAGCCGCAGAAATTTGTCTTTTATCAGGTAGGGTTCGGCTTAGGCGTAGACTTGGCTTAGGCTTAGGCTTCGGCTTGGGCTTAGGCTTAGCTTAAGCATGCTTTGTAAAACGTCTTTTGCTTCCAGGAGCTACTCAAGAAGCCAAGGCTCAGACTCTACGACCGTGTGATCGACGTAAAAGGTAAGTAATTCTGGCTCTATCTTCTCAGCCTCTTTAAAATCCATTTGCTCGTAGAATTCGTCGAGCGATACCTGGAGCGCACGTTCTACAACTTGACCGTGGTCGCGCTGCACGACCGACACACGTACACGAGGATGGCCGGGTTGGCCGAGTCGCGCTACGGGTTGCAACTTGTTGACGGTCATCTACCGTACTTTAAGTGAGTCTATCACAGAATTTTAATTTTTAAAATTTAGCCTGGGCCAAGGGCTGGACGTCATCGCCGTCGTGCGAAATTTGGGCACTTTTGTGACGGGCTACAACTACAGCTTGAATCAGCAGGTGGGATGGACCAGGATAAGCAGCTTTCGAAGCAAATTTTTTCCCGCGTTTCGCTAGAGCCCAGTCGGTAAAGTGTGGCTTACCAAGCTAAGGTTTTTTTGAAGGTTCGAATCCTGGCCCCACCATTTTTTTGCTTTTTACTTGCAAAGTAGGTTTCCAGGTGCTTTAAGATTTTCGACAATCCTAACCCGTTCATTTCAAGATTTTCATCGAAAAGGAGTCCACCTCGCGCTCCCTGCGCACGTTGACCGCGCAGCACGCGGCGAACTCGCTACGCTCACACGGTACCGGCGTGCTGAATACGGCTGTCAACATCACCTATCAGCTGTTGAGGTGATTTTAAAGGGGATGGGAAGCGCGAGACTGAATCACGACGGCCAAAAAATCACTCTAACCCCCATATTTCTGTCTATTTCTTGTGACGCGCGGCTGTCGAGACCTAATTGACCTCTAGGATTAGTTCTGAGCTTTTCTAAGGCCTTAAAGCGACCGGAAAGCGTGTGGATCGACCCCTCCCGTGTACTAGGTCTCGACAGCTACTTGACTCTCCAAAACACGTAAAAACGGACTGATTTGGCTCTATCCGAAGCTGCTGAGACTTAGCCGACTTACCGGGTCGACTTCCCCACGCATGGAGGCGTTAAAGGACCATTGAAGGCAATTCCGTTTCCAGGAAAAAGATGGGCATCGTCTCCCAATTCTTGGCCGAAGAGCACATCCGCGCGCAACTGCAGCGTGAGGTCCGGCACTTTGAGGAGAATGCGGAGAGTCTACAGCGCATGGTGAGGTTCGCACGCTAATGGCAGCCATCGGCTTTTCTAGTATCCCGTCAAACGGGCCGAGAAGTTCAACAGGTCGATCGCGCAGCTGGGGATGGAGGAGGAGGAGTCATATCTTGACAAATTTCGGCAGGTCGTCACCCAGGTAGACATTGGCTTAGGCTTACGTTTAGGCTTAGGCTTGGGGTTGGGCTTAACTTCGCTCACCTTTAGATCGGCAACGCCCTCGGCCTCGTCAGGACCTTGAGCACTGCCGCGGCGCTAGTCGCCTCCCAGGCTAAGCAGAGCGACGTCGAGGAGCCGGAGGGTTAGTTTTGGTTCCAGAATTTCTAGTTTTGGCTCAGAAACCCGCGCCGAGGATCCGACCACCGTGACTCCTGATATTCTGGGAGTGGTGAAGGAGCTGCTCACGCAAGTTCGAGACCAGACCGGGAAGAATAGGAGCTACAAGACGGTAGGCTTGGTATCTCTTGCGCGCTCTCTCTCTCTCTCTCTCTCTCTCTCTCTCTCTCTCTCTCTCTCTGTCTGTCAACACCCCACTCGTTGTGCCAAAGAATCCCTGCTAGCCTGCCTGAGCTCTGACTTTCCGCAAAAAACCATGCTAACCGGCCTTCATCACATTTCTCCCTCTTCTAGATGCTAATCGACGTCTTCCGCACCGGATTTGCGGACGAGACCAAGTACAGCCACCTGGAGAACTTCTTTGCGGTGATTCCGTCCTTATCGGTAGGTAAAGTCCGCTCTCTCTCGCTCTCTCCCTCTCCCCCTCTCTCTCACTTGCTCTCTCTCTCTCTCTCTCTCTCTCTCTCTCTCCATCCCACTTCCCCTTAGGTTAACTACGTGGAGCACATGTTGACAAACCGGGAAAGACTGCGAAAACGTTCACAGCAGGGCAAAGAAATTACATTTACGGATGATGGCTTTGTGATGGGTTCGTGAAAAAACCAAGCAATGCAGTTAAAACCCAGGAATCGCCTATCTAACCACCGTCTTCGGGCAGTGGCGCCAGGTGTCGGCACTCAATTGGTTTACCTCAGTCTTGAAGCGGTAAGGCCTAGACCGAATTCTTCTAACAACCGAGCTCCAGATGCAAAGATGAGCGCGAGAAGATGGCGTCTGGAGACGGAGAGTCAGATTCCGGGGGAGTTCGGGCTCTTAGGGCACAACGGTTGACGAGTTATGAGAAGGTATGAGGAGCTACTCGTAGTCTTAGACTTGGGCTTAGGCTTAGGCCTTCTATACGTTTTTTCAAAAGATACAAATTTCAGGAATTCAAACTGCTGGCCTACACCCTACAATCTGCCCGAATTTTCTACTTCTCCGACGCTGACGACCAGCATTTGGTGACGTGATTGGATAGCCAGTTTACATTACTTCACTTGCCAATCCCTTGCAAGCTGTGATTGCCCTAAAGTTGCCAAAAACAGGTCTGAAATTTTTTATGTAAATATTTATTATGGGTATAAAGCTATTCACATTGTTGTACAAACACTGGGGGACCCGTGGAGAACGGAGAAATGGATACGGTAAGGCTACATTTGGGGGGCGGGGGTTCACAGTTTCTGCTGTATCGTCGCGTACTCGGCGAGGGCAAGAAGGGCGGCCATCATTTCTTCGCCTAGAAAGTAGGTTTTCTCTCACTCGCTCTCTCTCTCTCTCTCTCTCTCTCTCTCTCTGTCTCGCTCCCTCATTCTCTCGCTCCCTCGCTCTCCTACCTGTGCTCCTGATATACGACTGCGGGATCGAGAACCCGAAGCTGTTCACCGTATCTGTCGGCCGCAACTCGACTCCATAAATATACGGTACCCCTCTGCTTTGCATTAAATCGATCGAGGTACCGGAAGCTGGGTCTGAAAAAGGACATAGAGAGAGCGAGAGAGAGTGAGAGAGAGTGAGAGAGAGAGAAAGAGAGGAAGAGATCTAGACATAAATCAGATTCCGCAACTATCCAACTTACACATCAATTCCGAAATCGTCCCATGGTTATAATAAGCCCCGGTGGCGTTTTTTATGGCAGCGATGGCCATGTCGGCCGCGTTTTTCTGAAACCCGGGCGTTCAAGCATTTATGTAGCCAAACCCCCGATTTTTCCGGTTACCGTCACCTACCTGATCTTCATAATTTACGGGTCGTTGCTCTGTGTAGCCCCAAGGTGAAAGGAAATGCTGAAAAAAATCGTGTTCTTCTTGAAATTCTCATTCTTACCTGGCCGTAGCTGTGCAGGCTGATGTAGATGGTCAGCCGGTTAATGCGTGCGTCGATGAAATCTCTGAAAAGGATCGGGATAATTTTTGGGGCTTTTAGCGGCATTGACAACAAAAATTCTGACTTCTAATAAAAGTAAGAATCAGCTTTTCCGGTTGTCAGAACAGCAAGAAAGTAAGAATGTTAGAGTCCCTTTCACCCAGAAATCCTCACAAAACTCACTTGAACGCCCGGATCTCGGGCTCGGAGTACGGTGCCGAGCCGCCGTAGATGGCCGAGCAGGGCGAACGGTTTGCTCCGGTTCCTGCAGAAATAGGTGTACTGCGGATTAGGTTGCGGTAGCCCTACCTCCCCATTTATAGCCCCAATTACGATTCGCGTCCGCGCCCACGCACCACTTGTTGATCGTCATGTTCTTTGAGCGAGTCTTGCGCCACAGGCGGTCCTGGAAGCGGGTCAAAATTGGCTTGGAATTAGCTTAGGCTTAGTTGTCTCTCTCTCTATCTCTATCGCTCTCTCACGCTCGCTCTCCTTACCACAGTTCTCGAGTATTCATATCCATCGGGGTTAATCTGAGGCACGATGTACCAGTCGAACCTGTTGACGGCGGCGCGGATCGTCGAGTTGTGCTCGTACTTGGTTGCCAACTAAATTTTGCGCTTAAGCTTCGGCTTCGGCATAGGCTTAGGCTCAGGCTCAGCCTCACCGTATGAATCAAAAACAACGCCGCAGCCGGCGCAATCCACTCTCTCGCGTGCACACCGGCATCGACGAGGATCGCGGGTTTTGACGGGCCACCAGACGACACCTAGGCAAACCGTAGGAAGCTCGAATTTTCAGATACCTTAATCCCATGCAGGGTGCGCCCCTCGTACGAATTGCCGATGGTGGTCATCTCCACGTGGGGCATCTCGTCGCTCAGTTTTTGCATGTAGGCCTCCATCTTAAAAGGGTGGTCAAGTTGGAGAGAAAATTCCGAAATTTTTTCTGCTGGTTGCCTCGAGCTCCACAGGGTTTCGACTAGCCTGCTCTTTCCTAAAGAATCTCTGCTGCATACTTGCCTCTCCATAACTGTGGTATTCATCGACGCTAAAGTCAGCAGAAGAGACCAGCGTTCGTCGTACTCTCCGTTTCGCCCCGTACCTCTGGGCCATGTCGATGTCTCTAAATTCTAAATTTGAAAGATGCATTACAAAATGCACCTCTGTACGTCCTCCTTGAGAAGGCGGACATCGGTGACGCCGTGTAAAACCATATAGTCCCTAAATTTGAGGTTTTTTCGGGTCTGATGAACACTTTAAGGTAGGCATGGTACCAGTGATAATTTAGGAATGGGGTAGGCTAGCGGAAATTATTTTTTAAGCTGTGATGGCTAGCAGAGATCATTTGGGGAGCGAGACCAGCGGGCAGAGAGACTTTAGGAAAGGGTAGGCAAGCAGTGATTTGCAGAAAAATTAGGATAATCGCTAGATAACAAGCACAGACCCTTTAGGAAATCGATCTCGTCGCCAGGGCAAACTAGCAGCGACACTTGGCGAAATTCGAGCTTACTCACATAAAAGTAGGGTAAAACTCCGGGGCGACCAGCACGACGGCCTCCCTCCGGTGTTTGGAAGGCTCAGAGAAGACGTCGACGATCGTCCGTAGCCCGTCTTCCGTCTATTAAAGGGGTACTAAAGTCAAAACCTCTATAGATCACCTCCGCATAATCGTAGCCGTACTCCTCCAAGTAGTGCAGCCACTCGGCCGCCGTCTTAGTTGCCGTGAAGCTGACGAGGCGATAGCTAAAAAAAATTTAATTTGAATTTGGAGCCTTACTTGGTATAACTAGTCCTCGCCGACTCGATGAGGCCAAGAAGTGCAGCGGCCAAGATTGGGAGCAGCAACCGCATCTGAAAAATGAGACATTGGAAGGAGAGGGGTTGGCTAGCAGTGATTATTATCAAGAATATTGATGAGCACTAGATCTACTGAAGGCAAGCTAGCAAATAATCTTTGAGGAACGGCTAGAGATGGGACGGAAGTGATTTAAAGGCAATCTAGCAGAGATCCTTTGAGAAAAGATTGGTTCGCGACGGTTAGTTGGGGGACCAAACCTTCTCCTGCGATACTCTACGGCCAAAATATAAACCATTTTTATGGAATTGTGTATGTATGCCTTATGAAAGCTTTCGGATACCGCCAGATCCCCGAGAAGGAAGTATGCATAGGTTACGGTGGGCGTTGCGTGCGGGGATTCCCCGTCTCCGTCTGCCCCTGTGTCCATCGATGCCTGAAATGAGTGTCAGGTGGTGCTCCTCGGACGGTTCTCGGGTGGCAGTGGCCCTCAGGGCACATTGCAGTAGGTGGACATACAGAAAAAGAGGGCTCAGATACTCTCGGCAGAAGCCCCCCGAAATCCGAACCCCGGCCCGCCTCTGATCTGCCCCCGTCGCGACCCGTCATCCAACGAAAACGCGCCGTTCCTGCACTCAAAAATCGACCCGGCTTGATGCCGATTCGGGCATTGAGGAAACAGTAGGGGAGGGGCAACGCTACAAGGTTTTGCTGAGAAAAGTAATAAGTTATTTGGAATCAGCGCGAAAAATTGGTCTAAAACGACTTAGGGGTAGGGAGGTCGTCCCGGGGAATCGACCATATCGATAGGCTTAGGCTTAGGCTTAGGCTTAGGCTTAGGCTTAGGCTTAGGCTTAGGCTTAGGCTTAGGCTTAGGCTTAGGCTTAGGCTTAGGCTTAGGCTTAGGCTTAGGCTTAGGCTTAGGCTTAGGCTTAGGCTTAGGCTTAGGCTTAGGCTTAGGCTTAGGCTTAGGCTTAGGCTTAGGCTTAGGCTTAGGCTTAGGCTTAGGCTTAGGCTTAGGCTTAGGCTTAGGCTTAGGCTTAGGCTTAGGCAACAAACTTGGCAAAAACCACCCGGATTTCGCCGCCTATCGGTTCTTCTAGTGCCCCAGGTGGGTGGCGTGTGGGGGCGCGGCCCAAAGCAAAATTACCCGTATATTGTTGTAGCTTAGGCTTAATCATAGGCTAAAGGAAAAAGAGCGAAATTTGAACGAAACTTGCGTATGCAAAAGCATGAGAAGAAATTACAGTGCTAGCCTTTTGGGAAAACTGATAAAGCCCCGGGTAACTGGTTGATGTCTGTTGTTTGGGGGTGGTCTTTCGGTTGATTGTGTACCGCCGAGCCTCTTCGGCATGTTTGAGCACCAAATAGGCGCCCTGCACCGCGAAAGAGCAAACGAACCTCCCGACGGTCGCATTGGCATCGTCTCCTCTTGTTTGTTGTGTCTGGAACTTCGAATTTCGCCTTTTTTCTGGGTGTTGTAAATCTGCGGAAATGGTTTTCTGAATCTGTAAGGGAAAATGCCTAAGAATAGGCTTAGCAAAAATTCCAAGTACTGGAGAGAAATGAGAGACAGCGAGACAGAGACAGTAGACAGAGATGAAGATGTTGCCGCATCGTGGCCAACCATCATCCCATCCTGGTGACTGTGTTTGGGCGCCAGATAGATTTTTGAGCGCGCTTCCCCAGAACGACACATTTTAACTATGATTTTTAGAATCTCCCTACAAACTGCGTCCTATGCTTCAGAGCAATTTTTGGAAAGCTAGGTTCGCTAGAATCTTGTCTGAGAGTTGTCAATACCGGTCGACCGACGCCATACAAAGCTATGGGAATGGATGCATCGGTTTAGTGTTGTCATGACCAGGAACATGCCACCACTCAGGGCTTATCCCCGGCCCGACTTCCCGGTTTTTGACCCTATTCTTCACACCCCCCCACAGTCTGCCATTCCCACATCATTTCCGTTTTGTCATGTTGCTCTCTGCCTACAGTATCATATTTCTGGCATTCCCTCTCGTAATTCGCGGGATGCTGATGTCGAATATTTATAGCAATGGGTTTTCGTCGTTCTGGGACTCGATCTGGGGTTGGTACTCAGATTGGGAGACCTGGCTTGGGCTTAGGCTTAGGCTTCGGTTGAGGCCTAGGCTTAGGCTTAGGCTCGGCCTGACTTACAAGTGGACGTCTCTTAGGACGAATTGAGTTCTGAGTCGGCACCAGGCCTGTTTTGTGCAGAATTTTGCACTGAATCCGAATCCGTTTTCAAAAACTCCTAAATGGTCGTTTGAAAAACCTATGCGGCTATTTAGCTAGAAAACGCCTGAAATGGCATACTTTAAAGCCTAGAAGATGTCAGAGAAAATCCCCAGAAAAACCGATTAGCACAGGATGCTCAGAAAAATTTCCGGTTTCGAATGAGCTATCACACGCAAATTTTTCCAAAGTTTCCGAAAATTGGTTCTGTTTCATATGGAGGACCACCCAGTTTAAAAAACTTTTTGAGCAACACCTGTTAAACTCTTAAGAATTTTAGCCGCCCCAACAACGACGACAACGACAACCATCGCTCCGGAATGCACGACAGAACCCCGGAAAAATATCTTCCAAAAGCCAACTGGGAGACGGACGAGAAGGGCAATGTTTGGATAGGCATGTTTTCATTAAGACGCTATCCTACTACAGGGTGTCCCAAAAAAAATCCCCCCCCCCCCTAGCCGGCCGCCAGACCCACCCAATTTTTACGATTTAGGTATCTATCGAAACCTCTCGGAAAGGCGATGTCGGGACGCCTGGTCGATTTTCGAAATGTCGAAATTTTTTGCTCGATTTTCGGCCTTTTTCAGACAAAAAGGACTCGCTTTTTTGTCCAAAACGCAATTTAACCGGTTTAAGCGCTATCCAAGCTGTGTTTTCGCAAACGGCTTTCAAAGAGCTGTCGTTGGGCTGCCAGGAAAGGCATAAAAAAATCTTAAATTGCGATTTTTGTAAAAAACGCCTTCTCAGAAAAACATCAGAAAATCCGCGCTTTTCGCAAAAAACATTAGTAAATGATAAAAAAATTTCGACATTTCGAAAATCGACCAGGCGTCCCGACATCGCCTTTCCGAGAGCTTTCGATAGATACCTAAATCGTAAAAATCGGGTGGGTCTGCGGCCGGCTAGGGGGGGAATTTTTTGGGACACCCTGTATATATAAAAAAATAGTGTCTGTGTGTGTGTCTGTGTGTGTGTGCCACTTTGCATCCACTTCCGTCTGTCTGTCCGGAGGATATCTCGATAGGGGATGAAGTTACGGGTATGTTTGATACGTCATTAGGTGCGCAATGGTCTTGAGATGACTGCACACATATCAAATTTTACAAAATCAGCCATTTTCGACATTAAATTTAAGTTTTTGTGAAAGCTTCTTTGTTAGTAATAATTAGCATAGACCGGAAGTGGTGATTCGGCTATATAAAGGCACAGAAGAAGTTGTTTTTCATTTTTTGTCATCTGAATTCAGGACAATTATGTAAAGTGAAGGATAAAATGGGGTTAGACGGGGCCAGGGTTGAAAAGTCGCGAAGCGGCTTTTCAACCCTGGTTTTGACTCAAATCCCAGCTAATTAGTTTTTCCAAAGAAACGAGAAAGCAATAATTTTAGTAATTGTTTCTTCTTTCAGGCGGCGACGACGCCAAGCTTTTCCTAATCACGACCGGTTCCGCGTGGGCATGGCCCTTCAATATTGTGTACCCGGAGAATAAATAGAGTTAAAAACGATTTTTTTTATCAGAATATGATATCAGCGTAATCCATAATATCGATGGAAACGCCAACATTCAGACATGAAAATATCGACAGCCAAATCCCGACATTCAAAACCGCAATTTGCAAACGGGTAGGGAAAAGGCCGCGGAATTCAAAATTTCTAAAAAAATGTCGTGATTTTGGCTTATCGTGATTTTGGTCGGGATTCTGGCTTGTCGATATTTTGTCTGGCCGGATTTTGGCCTGTCGGTGTCTCGTCTTTCAGTATTCTGGGCTTGTCGGAATTGTGCCTTGTCGGGACTTTGTCTTTCCGGATTTTGCCTTGTCGGGATTTTAGGTGGCGATATACGAGTCAGTTATCTCTAAATTTGTCATGTCGAGATATCAAAGTCTCTCCGCTGTCAAATTTCAAACGTCGAAATCTCGACATCACGCAATTTCGGCACTGTCAATGTTGAAATTCCGAAAATAAGCCATCAAAAGCAAAACAAAACAATTCATGCATGCGGAATATTGTGCAGTGTATTGAAGCTGTGGCCACGTTTATTTAAAGGGACTCCAAAAACACCAAGACTGATTAACGCGGACAATTCGTTCAGTCGTTCTCCTCGAACTCGCCCTCATCCTCGGGGGTGGCCTCTTGGTATTGGGCGTACTCCGAGACGAGGTCGTTGATGTTCGACTCGGCTTCCGTGAACTCCATCTCGTCCATTCCTTCTTCCGTGTACCAATGGAGGAAGGCCTTGCGACGGAACATGGCTGCAAAAAAAATGTATTGAGAGCGAGAGTGAGAAAGAGAGAGAGAGAGTAGGTAGTCAGAGAAAGAAGACAGACAGACAGACACCCACCCGTGAACTGCTCCCCGATGCGCTTGAACAACTCCTGGATAGCCGTCGAGTTGCCGATGAACGTGGCGGCCATCTTGTGACCACGGGGCGGGATGTCGCACACGGCCGTCTTCATGTTGTTGGGGATCCAGTCGACGAAATGGTCGGAGTTCTTGTTCTGGAGCGAGTTCATCTGGTCGTCAACCTCGCGCATGCTCATCTTTCCGCGGAACATCGCCGCCACCGTCAAGTAGCGCCCATGACGGGGATCACAGGCCGCCATCATGTTCTTGGCATCGAACATCTGGAATGGTTGAAATTCGCAACGTGTAGGCTTAGGTACCTGGTGGGTCAGCTCGCCGACGGAGAGAGCGTTGTATTGCGAGAGCCCCTTGGCGGCCAGCGGCGCGAAGCTGGTGATGAAGAAATGCAGGCGGGGGAACGGCACCATGTTGACCGCCAATTTGCGCAGATCGGCGTTGAGCTGGCCCGGGAAGCGGAGGCACGTCGTGACACCGGACATGGTCATCGAGACTAAAGTGTAGGCAGGTAGAAGGCAGGCTTGTGCCGAAGCCCAATCCTAAGCCTACGCCTAACCTAAGCTTCAGCCTAAGCCTAAGCCTAATCCTAATCCTAATCCTAATCCTAAGCCTAAGATTAAGCCTAAGCATAACAACACCTACTCAAATGGTTCAGATCCGGGTAGGCCGGGTTCTTGAGCTGCAGCGTGCGGGAGCAAATGTCATGCAGCGCCTCGTTGTCCATACAGAAGGTTTCGTCGGTGTTCTCGAGCAGCTGGTGGACCGAGAGCGCGGCGTTGTACGGCTCGACGACCGTCACAGAGACCTAAACAACCAGATCAGCACCAGCTGGCTTTCCCACCTTTGGCGACGGCACGACGGAGAAGGATGACACGATGCGATCAGGGTACTCCTCGCGAATCTTCGAGATCAACAGCGTCCCCATGCCGGAGCCGGTGCCGCCGCCGAGCGAGTGGGTCAGCTGGAAACCCTGGAGGCAGTCGCAGTGCTCGGCCTCCTTGCGCACGACTTCCAGCACGTTTTCGACGAGTTCGGCGCCGTCGGTGTAGTGGCCCTTGGCCCAGTTGTTGCCAGCGCCGGACTGGCCGTGGACAATGTTGTCGGGGCGGTAGAGCTGCCCGTATTGCCCAGCCCGGAGCGAGTCGATGGCGCCCGGCTCGAGGTCGACGAGGATGGCGCGCGGGACGTACTTGTTGCCTGCAAAAAAAATAATTAATGGAACTCGTGGAACGTGGAACTCGGGGGTGTTCAGGCTACCGGCAAGTCTGCCCTTTCCTAAAGAATCTCTGCTAGCCTACTTTAACGGAATTTCACTTACCGTTGGCTTCATTGTAGTACACGCTGATCCTCTCGCGCTGAAGGTCCGATTCGCCCTTGTATTGCCCATCCGCCTGTACGCCGTGTTCGTCGGAGATGACCTCCCAGAACTTCGCGCCGATTTGATTCCCACATTGGCCGGCTTGAACGTGGACGATCTCGCGCATCTTGACGAAGAAGTCGAAGTCTTCTCGAGGTCGAGCAGGTAATGATTGGATTATGAACCCGAAAAATCAAGGCAACGCTACCGGAAACCGACTGGAAGGCAAAATTATGCTAATTTATGCAATGATCACAAATTTTAAAAATTATGCTAATTTGTACCTTGCAAAACGGCCGCACTGTGCTCCCCACACTTTGCACTCTCATTTGGCTTTAGGCGTCCGCTTAAGCTTTGGTTAGTCTTAGGCTTGATCTTGCCGATCAATCGTTTCTGATCGCTTGGGAAACAGTTGAGCCAAGTTACTGGCGAGTAGACGATAAAGCCACCCAAAGCAACCTGTCCCGTTTTATGGTCACCCCATCCGGGCATGTGATATAAAAAGCAAGTAGAGCGACAACATCCAAAAATACAGGTCGCCCAATCCTCAAATGAGACTTTTCCTACTTTTCCCAGCCTTCCTAGTACCTTTAAAATCGGATGTGCCCACAAATTGGGAGGCCGATCCATCGGCTCCGGCTCCCGGGTTTTTCGAGTGGTTGGATCAGCTACGAGGCGAGGCGAGGCTCAGTCTTAGACTTAGAGGCTTAGGCTTATACTTAGGCTTAGGCTTAGGCTTAGGCTAAGGCTTAGGCTTAGACTTAGGCTTAGGCTTAGGCTTAGGCTCAGGCTTAGGCTCAGGCTTAGGCTTAGGCTTAGGCTTAGGCCTAGTTAGGCTGCACCTGGGCCTGGTTTAGGCTTATTAGGTTGCTCACACTTTTAAGCTATCAGAATTCAGGCGTGACAACGACCACAGAAGACCCCCTCTCCACCACCACCCTCCCGCCGAACGTTTTCAACGCGGCCGGCTGGGAGACGGATGCCGCCGGGAATGTGTTCATCGGTTGGTGCAAATTTTTAGCGTTTTTTGGTTTATTATTGTTTTCCTCATTATTTTTTACCGCCTTTTTACCCGTTTTCAGGTGACGACAAGTCGAAGCTGTTCCTCATCTCCGTCGGCTCGTATTGGCCCTTTCACCCCGATTTTCCGATAAACGAGGGCAGGGGCGTAGCCAGAAAAAAATTTCGGGGGGGGCCCCGAAAATTTTTTTCCGAAAAACTCAAAAAATTAACGAAAAAACAGCGCCGCAGGCGAAAAATTTTGGAAAAAAGGCAACATAGCTCTATAAATAGCAGTAAAAACGTGAAAAAATAGCGCCGCAGGCAGCAAAATTTTTGAGAAAATAAAAATCATAAGGGTCCCCCCTTATGAAATTTTTGGGCCCCGGCCGATTTCGGGGGGGGGCACCGGGCCCAGGGGGCCCACCTTACGCTACGTCCCTGAACGAGGGTGAGGCTGCTGCGAAAATTGCACAAAAACTGTTCAGCCTTTTGCCTAAAAATACGCGACTCTCTAATTCCTGAATAAAAGAAACCTCACTAGAAGTGCACGCTTTTCTACGAAACATTCGAATTGTTTACAACATCCCCGCAATATAAATTAAATTGCATCTGAAAATCGGGAGAACAGGCGTGCGCGGGCAGGCTGCGGCGGCGGAAAGATGTGACAGCCAACGCTGGGGAGAACGAGTTCCCTCCCCCTCCCACTTCACTATACCTCACGCTCAAAACAGCTAATTCGACTTACTTTTGCTAACGCGCCAAACTCCAAATCCCATTGTTTTCTGGGTGCATTTTAGGGGGCAGGCAAGTGCCCGAAATATCCGCTAGACACCTCATTCGGGTGATTTTTTTAGCATCCGAAAGTTCTTAAAAGACGAAAAAGCATTAGCTTTTACTTTTCTAAAATTATCTAGTATCTTTTTTCCTGGTTTTCATCGTAAAACCATGAAATATTTAAACTTGATTACGATGACGATAACCGGTTTTTCTGTCATCATGTCGTTAGATTTCTATTAAAATCTCTCCCATACTATTTAACGCTTTTTGTATATGTCGTAGTATTGGGCGTTAGATTCCGTGCCACACCTTGAACACAACCACCAACTGGTTCCCCCCGGCGATCTGCTAGATCTCGATGTTGGCGCCCGTCTTCGAGGGCTTTTAACACGCTCTAATTTCCTGCTATACCTTTTTGCGTACCGACTTTTTCGGCAATTTTAGGTACACTTCTCAGAATGGTGCCCGAGACACGGCTTCACCTACTCGTTCTGCTACTTTTCCTCCTACACGTCCGAATCTCACAGCAAAATATCATGATACAATGCGCGTGCGACGACTATATGCCATGCCACAATCTCCTGAAGCCGCGCACCTTCAAGACTTGTCTCAGGGCATGTAAGGTGGGTTAGAATTTCATTAAAACCGTGCAAAACGCGATAGAACTATGGAACCACGTACAGAGTAGCGCCGCGTCGGCACCATTCAACTCCGAACGGTGTTTTTAAACGAGCTTACCCTGTGCGCGCTTTACAAAATACACTTTTTCAGGTTTTCCGAACCCATTCTTGACCATAGCGAAATTTAATGTAAACTTACAGCCCTAAAACCTTTAGAAATACCCTGGAGTTTCGGAATCCGAAGTTCCGAGTAACTACGAGCAGTGTCTCCTCGAATTCAACCATCCCATTTCTAAAATGATACAATGCTCATTCGAGGAAGTGCTTCTTGGGTAGGTTTTCCATACAATTTCTCTCAAATTACCCTATGCTACACCACTTTATTACCATTAATTGCTCCATTTGAAATTGTTAATAGTTTCTAAATCCCCGAAAAAGGCTCTCCTAGCAATTCAGATGTGGAAATTCACGATTTGTGAATGTAGTGGAAGACCGGAGCCTCACGGAACTCTATAATATGACTATCCAACGGCTGAGCACAATCACCACGCGTGTTGGTATGTACGCTCCAGTTTCAGGTTCTTTCGCATTATCAGGGAGGGCATCTTTGATCTAATTTTTCAAATATGAATAGTGGTAGTGCTTCTAAGTGATTTTTTTACTCCTTCTGAACGTCAAAACTTTACAAATTTGTATTAAAAATATCAAAAAATATCGATTTTTCGAACGAAAATGGCCGATTTTGGACCAAAATATCGACTTTTTCATCATTTTTTAAGTGTTTAGATTTTTTCTAGTTTAAATATAGTTATAGATTAGTAAAAACACTACTAGGCATTCCTAGCATTCTACAAAAAAGTTCGCCCCCCGATAATGCGAAAGAACCTCGAAAGAACTTCAGCTACTTTTCAGCCTAAGCATTTTCAGGCGTAGGTTTTGACTTTAAAACGCTCGGTTTGCACACATATCACCGTTGTCTGTTCAACTGCATCTATCCGGTCGAGAACAAGTGCACCAGAAAGTTTGGGTATCACCCTTCTTCGATTCCTCTATAAAGACATCCTTTTCGGTGCGGACTGCTGTTGCCGGAAAGTGAGGCGATGCTCGAAAAGATGACAAAGTGCGCCTTCAAAACGGATATAACTCGCGGGATATTGCTGGAAATTGGGCACTGCATGCGTTAGTGACTTCAAAAAAATTTCAATCGTAAAGCTAGACTTACAAAATATTTTGCTATAGGAGAAGTCGTCAATGTTGCCGAAGAAGAGACAGATGACCCGGAAAAATCCGCATCAAATGAGGAAGATCAAGACAAACAAAAAGCGGCTATTGAGGCAGAGAAGAAGGAGCTCAACTTTCTGTGGCGCCACTGGGGCCAAGAAGAGAAAATTGAAGGCCTGAAAAAGGAGGCGCAGGCCATTGAGAAACTGACGAAGCAGGGGAAGATGATGGCTGATAAAAATAAGGTTTTCTAGACCGTTTCCCGACGTTAATTTTGTTTAGAAAGACGATTCCCCTGATTCCGAGGGTGATTCGAACGAAAAAAGTCTGGCTAGCGGATCTAAGGAAAATTCTGGGCAGGAAAAACCTTCGAAATCTAAGGAAAAAGAGGAAAAAGAAAAGAAAAAAGAAAAAGCAGATCAACCAGATAAGGCTAGACATGGAAAGCAAAAAATGGCGACTCGAAAAGATCGAACCAGATTATCGCAAAGATTCCAAAAGAATGAAGAGGATGAGGACACTTCTGAAAACAAGAAAATGCAGAAGAAGCCGGAAGTAGGGGAGGAAGTGTCAGAGAATTCAGAAGAAAATGGGAACAAACCACCAGAGAAGGAGGAAGACGCGTTCGTCGAAGATTTCCAGCCTCAAGAGCAGGACAACGGTCCGCCGGCAGACAATGATTTGGCTAAGGACGAGAATATTGATCGGAAAATGGTTCGAGAGGTCAGGATACAGCTTTTTAAGGGATAAGGCCTAATGGTTCTATAGAGATAAGAGTTTACCTTAAGGTAAAGAACGTTTTTCAAAATGCCCTAAATGCAACCAGCGCAACTACTTGTGGTGTGTGAAGCATTTGCGTTGCGAAATGAGTTCAATCAATTTTTCAGGTAAACGGCACGGCCTCTGTGAACACGCCGATTCAGCAGAAGCATCGAGAAGAAGCGGAAGAACCACAAAATCCAAAACCTAAAGATTCAGAGCGGAGAATAGTACCTCCTCAACACAGAGAAAATGAGCAACCTCGAAAACCACAGGGAAGACGATTTTTTATAATTACAACAACAAAAAAACGGAACGCGTTATTTCAGACGCAGTCGGTTCGACAGCCCACTTCGGCAACGATCCGGAAAACCGGGCCACCGGCGCGAGCACCTCCTCGGCCTCCAAAAAAGGAGCAACGGCAGCAAGAAGACAGCAGTCCGACTTCCAGCGAAGAGGAAATTGACGAACAAACCGATTATTGGTTCCGGCAATAAATGGCAAAATTAAAAAGGGATTCTTTCGCATTATCGGGGGAGGGGGACTAACTTTTTTGAACGAGTTTAGAAATCTCTAGTAACTTAATAGAACGTGTTGACGAGTGTTACATTTACATTTTAGTATATAACCTCATTTTAACTAGAAAAACATCTAAAAACTTTAAAAAAATTCGAAATGTTGGTGAAAATCGACCATTATCGGTCGAAACATTGATACTTTTGATTTTTTAGTACAAATTTGCAGTTTTCACGTTTAGGGATAGTAAAAACCATTTAAAACACTTCCACTTATTAGATTCGAAAAATTCGCACCCCCCCCACCTGAAAAATGCGAAAGCACCGAAACAGGGTCTATAAAATATGATTGACGAGCTATCGGCTCTCTAAAAAATACTTCAATCGATGCAGAAATTTTTGCGGATGTTTCTATGCTAGGTCTTTTAATTACGAATAAAAAATAACATTTGCTTTATTACACAGACACATCGGCGTGTAGTAAGAACTGTTGCGCATGAATATAATCAGGAAAGTGTATGATTTTTAATGGTAGGCGTCGCGGTGGACGCTCACTGCTCCCAGTCGTACGGGAACTCGGTCACATTGGGCAGTTGGAAAACCTGCAAACGGGCTGAAATTGCTAGTTCCAAATTCTACACCCACTTGGCGCAACATCCCGTAAATCTGCTGGTAGTTCGGGGCGTCGTAGTAGCGATAATTGTCGATGAGGCGCAGGACCGACTCGTACACCGCTAAAAACGCGGTTTTCACACCGAATTTATTGTTGTAACCATGCTTTTTAAAAATATGAGTTAGATAACTTACCGAATATTTAAACGTAATTTTAGTGAATAGTTAACTAAACTAAAATTCCGCGCTCACCCGGGCATCCGGCGAACAGCTCGGCGACATAGGGATGAGAGCGGCACCGCTTCTTGAACTCGCCCACCTAGAAGTCGTTCAAACTTCTTCAAGGATCAATGCTAGCTCTTCATTAAGTAAATATTGGTAATTTAATAAACTAACTCCTTAAAAAAATTTAACCTGATGCGGGTCGGTGATGCTGCGCCACGGAAGGGTGCCCGTCGTCAGCTCGACCAGCATGTACATCCACGTCTCCAGATCGTCCTGAAATCAGAACTTGGTTTGTTTGCTATTTAAATTTAAGTTAAGTTAGTATTGCCTTTCTCGACAGCTCCCGCTCCAGATGGCAAGAAATCGGGGCGTAGCGGACGGTGCCGCGGAAGCCGGCCGCCTGCCGCGGCTTCCGGATCACCGCCTAAAATTACTTATATGAGCTGAAACTATACAAAAACCTGTTCATTCGTATACTTGCGGCACAACCCGAAATCCAGTACGTAGACTTTGCGCAGCTCGGCCCGCTCGCGACGCCCGATCGTGTAGTTGCCCGGCTTCACGTCGCTGGAATGGCTACGGTAGCTGGAGCACGCTAAAAGTCTACCGATGAAGATAACCGATCGAGTGGAGATCCTCTAGCGCTTCCAGGGCCTGAATACCGACGCTGACGGCCGTGCCGAGACTCATCCTGCCCTGGGGGCCCGCCTTTCGCAGATCTTGCAACGATTCCCCGACCAGCGTCATCACCACGAAGTTGAACGTGCCGAAACGGAAGTGTTTTCATAGCTGAAAGCTTTTGTATCCCACCGCCCCTTGTCGTAGATCTTGCAGAAATGACGGCCCCCGCGCTTGCCGAGCTCCTGCAGCACGAACACCTCCATTTTCAACACCTAAAGATGACATCCACTTGAGAATGGCCTCCAAAAAGAGTACCTGGCACTCTTCGTTGACGGCCTCGACCTTGAGCGCATACTCGCCGGACGCGTCGGCCACCTTGTAGACGGCGCCGAAGCCGCCCTCGCCCAGCTTCTTCACCACGCTCCAGCGGTCCACCGGAAAGGCCGCAAACTGATAAGCCCGTCAGAGTCAAGATACCTGGGTCTGCGGCTCTAACTGCACAAGTTCGGCCGACATTTTTGGAATGGGAAAGTTTCGTAATTTTTGGGGCGAACCAACAAATTGCAGATGCAAAGTAACTCGTTGATTCGAACTTCATTGAGTGTGTGTATTTTTTTTCTCTCCAAGTCATTCCTTTACGCTCTTTTTTGTTTTCTTGATTTGGAGTTGAAATTTTAAATATTATCAAACTTCACTTGAAGCAGCGCCCGAGAGCACGCTTACGCTATGTTAATACAAACCCACAGCCTTGCCCAAAAAAACTCTCAAAAACTTCTTCAATCTTTGCAAAATCCCACAAAATCCCACAAAATAATGTTCAAATTCCAGATGATCGATTGCCACGCACATCTCGTCGACAACAAATTCAAGGAAGACATCGACGATGTGATCCACCGAGCAAAAACCGTAAGAAAATGATGGTTTGCCGAATCTAGCTTTTTAGGCGGGTGTCGCAAAGGTTGTTGTGGTTCCCGAGTGGCCCTCGCAATTCGATGCCGTTTTCGAGCTACACGAAAAGTATCCGGATTTTGTTGTGCCATCGCTGGGGCTACATCCGATTCGTGTAAGGATTAAATTGTATATATTTCTAATAATCTTTTAGAAAAATCGTAAAGGCGTCAATCGAGAAGAGATCGCGCAATTGGAAGCGGCGCTAGTCAAATATGAGGGGCGAACAAAGTGTATTGGCGAGGTTGTTCTTAAAGAAAAAAACAATAAAGAAAATACAGGTCGGTCTCGACTACACGACAGAACTATGGAAGATCGACGATGCGAGTATGGAAGCGATGCGGGATGTGTTGAAGCATGAAGTCCATTTGGCACTTCAATATGATCTACCGATGTAAGGACGGATTTAAGACCAAAAAAAAAAAAGTTTCTAGGACGGTCCATTCTCGCACCGCCCATTTGGGAACCATCGAATTGTTGGCGGCTAGCGGTGCGAAACGAGTGGCGATGCATGCTTTTGGAGGTTTACTGGTCCGGAAATTGCCTGAAACCATCTAGGCTCGGCGGATGAAGCCCTGGTCGGCGCGGAGTACGGCTTCTACTTCAGCATTCCACCGTCATTCTCGATCGGCGATAAGGTAAGGATTCTCTTAAAGATACTTCTAGTTAGTTCTAGTTGAAATATAATTACTTATTACTTAAAAGACTAGTAAACTAGTTTATATAAAGTTACTAGGCATTTCTAGACTTATACAAAAATGAGCCCCCCCGCGATAATTCGAAAGAACCCAGTTTTTAGGGCTCTGCCGTTGTCAAGGCCATCCCATTGTCGAATCTACTTTTGGAAACGGATTCCCCAGTTTTGGGCCCAGTTAAAGGTAGCTAGATTAATAAAGATCCCATTTTGCCTTTCAGGACAACGAAATGAGCCTGCCAATCTCATCGAATCGGCCCGATTTATCGCCCGAGTAAGGAGAAAAACTCTATTTATTTCTGCTTTCAGATCAAAGGCATATCCGAGCAAGAAGTCATCGACGCGACAACGGCAAATGCAAAAAGTTTATTTCGGTTGTGACATTTCAAAGTAAATATACGTAAACATACCTAGCGATAATTAGGGGACACATGCTATTCGAAATATGCAGAGCTATTATTATCTGGGCTCGGTTCGGACGACGACCACTCGAGCCGGTATCATGTCCCCGTTGTCCCGTTTGATCAACAAGGGCTGAAATCGATGGATTTGCTAGGATTCTTTGCAACTAAAAAAGCATCAACTTCGACTCACCGGGACATTGCCGGCGTACTGCTCTTGTAGCTCGTTCCATTCCATTTCGGAGAAGGTGATCACGTCATCGCCGAGCTATGAAATGGGTAGTTTTCAGAGAATCACCTCTTCTCACCTCTTCTAAGCCCGGCTCGTTTTTGACCAGGCCATCGTCTTCGTGCTGCTCAGCAGCTTCAAAGAATTCATTCGCATCATCCCCAACCCCGTCATCAGTTTCATCGTACATATTGGCCGTCTGGAAGGAAGTCAATATAAGTCGAAAAATTATGGAATTTAATTGAATATAGAAATTTCATATTGCGAATCATAATACCGAGAGTCCAAAATGTCCAAATTTCTAAAAACGGGACGTTTACCATGAGAAAACCCGGAAAGGCGTCCAAATGTATTGCCAAAAATTTCGACACTCAATTTCGATTATAGCAATGTCGGCTTTCTGAATCAGATTTCTGCCTCACCCGCAATAGCACATTCTTTTTGCCGCTATCTGCCCCCTGACCATCATCGAGCATGACCAGCGTGTAGACCTGGTTGATGTCCATCGCATCCGAGACGATCACCTGCATCGAGCCATCGGGCCCAGGGACAAGCTCGCCCTGAACCGTGCCGTCGTTCGGCTCGTAGTCTAAAGTACTCATCAATTTTCTAAAGTTCTCGTATTCTTACGCATATTCGATCCTGCGGCCTCTTGCTCGTCCGGCTGCTCGATGGGCATCGGGGCGAATGTTGGCGGATGTGTAGCTCGGCGGTGCATTGAAAACGCGTCTCTGTAACGTAATATTTTGTGTCGGAGCGTCATGTTCAAACCGGTCGTTGAACTCCTGTTGGCAGCAGATCCACGTCAATTGGCCGCCATTGACATTGACGTTGTAGGGGATAGAGTCTCGGAATTGGATCGTTGCCTAAATTTTGCTGATTACTTTCAAAATATCATCGGGAAACCTGGTAAGCTATAACGTGTAAAAATGTTGCGATACTATCATATCATTAACATACCTGATATTGTGCTTTATTGTGAACTCGCAGCATATGTCTGATGAGGAGAGAGGGGCGGACCATTGAGAGGCCGCAGACTTGACAGACAGTTCTGAAATTCAGCTTACAATGAGAGAATTACTATATACTTACAATGGTTATAAAAATATAGCGTTTATCTATTTTTTTAATACTTTCTCCACGGTGACCCACTTGCAAATAGAAGTTGGCGGCCTCGCGCCCGCAGTGCCAAAATATTGCATGCTAAGCGCCGGATTCCTCAAGCCAAGCGGGGCGGCACTGTGCAACAAGGGTTTTGTCTAAAATCATTGATAATCTTGAAACACCTTGCAAACCATCGTCGAACTACCGCGGAATAAGTTAACCCCATGCATGTCCGCTTTGTGCGTGTTCAGCTCGGAAACGGACTGACAAATGTGTCCGCACCACTTGCACACGTATCTAAAATCAAACGGATTTTACGAGGTTGGAAGGGCCCACTTTCTCTTCTTCAAATGCATCGATTCGGTGTGGTGGCGAAGCTTGAATTCGTCGGTGAATACTAGGCGACAGTCCGGGCATGACAATCGTTGCACAATCTAGATTTTGTTTAGACCCTCAAAAAACGGATAGGAAACCTCGGGGCCATACTCGCGGACCATTCGTTTTCTCAATTCGTCATTCTTTTTATGCGCCCTCATGTGGTTCTCCATCGCCGTTGGATGCTTCTGATTGACCAATAGGCCACACATGCAGCAACTTTCGAATTTATCCTGGAAAAACTACTGTTTGTCTACATACACTCACGCCAGCTGAAAAGGTTATTGGCTTCGTGCTCCCTGTCATCCGCCCAAGCTTCGCCTAGAAAAAAAAGATCTTGCTAGTCAGGAAAAGCTCATACTTGTCTCAAAGCAGCCCTCGTCACTTCTTCCTGTCTATATCGGGCCACCATCGCTCTTTCGCGATATCTAAGATAGTACAGCCTCTAGAAAGGCTTCTACTATGTTTCGGACCTTTCCAATTCTCGCTCTCTTCGCCGCCATTCAGAAGCGATTGTTTCGATGTGAAAGATAATCTGAAAAAATCGTTAAAGACTTCAAACTATTTTTCGGACTCACATCAACGAGATGATCAGGGTGGACCTCCTTCGCATGCCTCAGCAACCCTTCGCCAGTAAGAAAAAGGCGGTGTTCGCAATATTTACACGGGTACGCTTCAACATCATTTGCGACGCCTAGACAATATCAAGCATAAAGTATTGCAAACCTGGTAACTGATTGCTTAGACCGCTCGGCACATTTCCAGCGGAACTTGTGGAAGGTTCAGGGTCGATGATTTCCTCGTACAGACCCTCCTCTTCGTTGCTTTGCACAAATTCCTGCTCGGGCAGGAGCAGAATAGCTTCGTCGTCCGGCTTCTGAACGAGTTCTTAATTTGACAGTTTGATCACCTCAATCCCCTGACTGTCTGAGAGCATTATTTCATTCATGGCCATGCTACCTTCTGCTCTATCGTCCATTTGGGATGAAGCTGAAAAAAGCAATCAAAACACCAATATTCAACCCACTTCTCATGTACTCGGTAGCCGAGGGTTGTTTCCTTCGAATTATCAAGGGTTTCCGGGCTTCGGCCTGCATGGAAACTAACGACAAAATCCGTTTTATGTTTTCTAGGGTCAAGTGAAATTTCTAATATTTTGATTGTAAACGATGGCGACAGCAAATGCCCAGAGCGCACCCATTAGTTGGGTGCATCGGATGCCTCGTAGCCACTCCCCCCCACCGCGGAAATTATTGCAACTGGACGTGCATCAACGGTTTCTGCATTGTGTTTTCAAAAAGACAACGTTTAAATTTATTCAAGCAACCGACAATGACATTCTCACCGAGCTAGAAAATGACACGTTTCTGAGGAACCGTCAAAAGGTCTGCACAATTTGGAAGTTCAAGACAACAAGCCTTCACAAACATTTTGACGCTATGGACTCGTAGCACAAAAAACAATCGAGATCAGCCCTGGCTGGTCAACAAAGTATAGTTGCGAGGAGACAAAGTAACAATGGTAGAAATGGGCAAGCAGGGCAACGAACGGGCTAAGTGTTCTGATACATGGGGGAAATTTCGGAGGCTTCGGCTCCGCTTGATGGGGTAGCCGTGCTAACAAATTCGGCGGCTACCCGGCCGACGACTGGCGAATCGGTCGTAGAGTGTGGTGTGGTGCGGTTGGGACCGCATAGGTAGGGGCCGGCACCATGGTCGACAGGCTTCGGCTGATTGCTCGTCCCCTTCACGTACACGTCGATTGGTCGTTGGAAGCCTGAAAAAGACCTTAAAAGCAAATTTAGCCAAGCAACCTTTCGTTTTTGCGGGCGGCGCATCGAGGTGCTCCACCCTATCAAACCCGACCGTCTCCAACAGGTACATCTCAAAATCGGCAGGCTTGAACTCGATTCGCGCGTAATTTTCGCGATGCACGTCCTGAAAATAATTTTCTTGCAAATCGGAACACGCGCAACCCACCGACATGCTGGACCGCTTCTTGTAGGTGGAAAAAGCTTGCGGTTCGAGGATGAAGCGACCACCCGGCCTCAACTGCTTGAAAGCACGAATAAAGAATCTCCTAAACAGAAACATTCTCAAAACGATCTGCTCTTTTTACCTCATCCCATCGTCGCCCCAATTCAGGTGAATCCATTTTGTCACAGACAACGCCAGAATGACATCAAATTCTTCTTTCACCTAAAAACAGACTAAATTTCTGAAATAATACTTACCTGTTCAAGGAATTCGTCTTTTTCGAGCACAAAATTTTCTTTGCGGAACCACACGTTGTCCGGAAACTTGGTCTTGAACGTGGTCGGCAGCGTGGAGACCGGTCCGAATTGATTGCAAAATGAAGCTGGGAACTTTCCAGACAACTAAACACAGGTTTAGTCAAGATGAAAGCTACATACTTGAATGTCATGATCACAGTAATGACGGATGTTCTTCCTAGCCACGCCCACCAGATGCTCATCGATGTCAATGCCAAGAATTCGCCGCGGACCGTACTCTTTGGCAATTGCTAGAGTCACGAAGCCGACGTTGCAACCTAAAATCAAAAATGGGGCCGGCATTGGTGGAAATGCTTACCAATATCTAGAACCGTCTTCTTCTCAAACCATTCCCTCTGCAGAACCTCTAAACGACTATCTTTTTGGCCATGGTCAAGTCGCGCGCCATAGTAGCGGTCGAAGTTCCCGTAGATATACCTTAAAACCGAAAGTTAGTGAAATTATGACAACTTACTTTTGATTAAAGTACTGCTTTTTCGACTTGCGAGTCTCCTGTTCTTCTGCTTTCGCCCCGTCCTTAGCTGGGTCGACTGCCTCACTCTTCTTGCTCTCTGTCTCAGCTGGCAGACTTCCGCCATCCGTAGAGTTTCCCTTTTTCTAAACAAATAGTTTTCTCTAACCAAACAACAAACCATTTTGGCAGGAATCGGCGAATTCGATCGTGATCTGTGCTCCTTGACTCCTCGCTTCCTAAAAGAAAATTTTGGCTAGGAGGTTTCTTTATACCTCTTTTCTTTCTTGATCGTACGTAGGCCCAAAGGGTCTCTGACATCTTTCGGCACGAAAACTTCCTCGGGCTCTGAATTGGCCTAAACGATCCGGTATCAAGACGGAAAAAGTACGCACCCCATCGGATTCCTCAGGCTCTTCCTGCATTCCATTCAAATTCAGGGGATCATCTTTGGTGCCACCAGGAGCGTAGTGGGCCTCTTCAAACTTCCTTCGAAAACCCTCAGCGTCTAAAACGACGATTGCGAATGTGGAAAAAGACTTACTAAAAGTGTGGCGCCGGACGCGGCCACGTCCGCGGCCTCGATGATGATCGTGGGTCGTGCGACTGGATTCACCTCTTCCCATCTCCTACAATAAGCAATTTATCCGAATGTAGAATTGGGAAGACACCAAAAATCAAAATAAAAATTTTCGGAACGTCGACTTCGAATTTCAAGAGTACGCAGCGCTTCAAATTCCCGGGTCGATATTTTCCTGGCCAAACCGAATCCGGGAAAAATTTTTCGATTGTTTAGCCAAAAATTATAAAGAATGATACATTTTACAAAAGCTTGAACAAACACTTCATTTTCAGAAGCGTTTATCCGTGCGAGCCGCAATCGACGCGACAAGGAATTACCGGCCTCCGGCGGATGTTCAGTACCGAATAAAACCTTCCGGATGAGAGATCGTGTACGAAGACAAGACAATGAACTCCGAGCAGCTTGTTGTGAGTTTTTGGGTCGTTAATTGACTATTCGGGTTGTTATGAGGTTGCGAAACTGTTCCTTTTCAGGATTTTCTGGCAAACTTGGAGAATGGATGCCCTAAAATCGATTCGAGCAAGGATTTGGGCGATGAAGCGATAGCGGTATTGACGTAGAAACGGTCATCCAAAATTATGTGCTCTAGATTCGCCGATTTCTCAGCAAGATGTCTGCAAACACGCTTCTCTGCTTTCAATATTTCAACGTCAACTACACCGACGTGGATCTAACGCTACCCGTGCTTGACCAACTAATGTCAATCTACATGAAAGGAGGTAACGTATTGTTAGCTTTTATTGAATTCACTGTTTCAGGCGCCTTACGCCAATATGCGCTGCAATTTCTACCGAATTTTGTGGCCACCTACCTGTTGGCGGTGACCAAGCGTCAACACAAGAGCGCCGGGATGTTTGAAGCCTTGTTTTTGCGCATCTACAATGAGGAGATCAACAAAAGCGCCGATGGGAGGGAATCGTTTGATAAGCGGACAGAAGAGGTGTGAATTCACTTTCGACGTATCTGAGCTTTTTAGGTTCGTATTCCCACAGTCCGATGTCGCTCAATCTACCACGACCCGATGAAAATAAATAGTCTACCTGAGATTTCTACCCTTTCTTTAGATGGTGGTGTTGGTTTGCAGGTAGGAGAGCTTTGATTTTAATCGAATGAAATTTAGGCTGTCCTTCGGATAGGGCCCTTCCCGACGATCGAACATTTTAACAACGAGACGAAATATATGATTCTTTCGAGGGTTCTAAACATTGTAGGCTTTTTTCCCCGCTTTTTCTTGAATGTTTTGAAGGTAAATTCTTCGTTGTGCTCACTGTCGGAGCCAGTCTGCCGCGCAATGTGTCTCTCAACTCTGAGCATCTGCCATAGCGGGTATGTCTTTTCGACGTTAACCTAACGCATTTTAGGTTTTCCTTTGCGGAATCGAATCTTCGGTCCCGGATCCTCGGGCGAGACGCTAACCAAGAAGTGCTCGACAATTTCAGCAAGTACGAGATCACGTCCGACTTCCAACGAAATGGATTTTTAGGCGACAGCGTCAACATGTCACCTCAACGCTGCTGATGGAGCTCTTTACCGGATGTTATATAGCACTGTACAATGGGATGCCGGACCTCGCGCTACGGTATTTTTGACATCGTCTCTTTCAAAGCAAATTCAGTGCCATTGATTCCTTGCACCAACGGGCTCGGTATGAAATGTTTTCGGACGTTTTGCTCGTGACGAATGCCACACGCAACACCCTGCTAGAGAATCCGCTCTCGAAGGACCGAAATCATGAAGAGCTGATGTGGCGATACCAGCACGCTAAGGTATCGATATCATGCGAGGAGTTACAACCAATTACAGAACCACCGTGCAAAAGATTGTGTCACCAATGCTTCGTTACGAATTAAAAAGATGCCAGAGGACATTCCGATCCAAGAGGAGCCACGAGAAAAGGGCAAAGGCGAAAAGATCATGGATGACCTTATCGAGGACATAGCTGGAGGTAACTGCTGCAAAAATTTTCACTTTTTTTCCTTAGGTGTTGATCACATCAAGAAGAAAATGCATCAATTGTCGCATCACCGAAAGAAGCACGGGAATAAAAAGGAGGGAAGGGAGGGCTCTTCACACAAGGCACACAAAGACAAGGGAATCGATGTTGATGAACTGGAATTGTCGACGATTCGGGAGGAGAAGGTATCTTATACTTTTACAAGAGAAGCTTGTTATTTTAGGGAGGAGACGCGTCTCTGACCAGCCAATCACCACCCTCTTTTGAGAGGCCGAAGCGCATAGAGGGCGAGCCAATGGAAATCGAATACGAGTCGAAGGTTTCTCCAGATTAAATTTTTTTACGCTATTTTCAGAAAAATGGCTCGCATCACGATACTGGAGACGGTAGTGACGTTGGCGAATTTTCAAGGAGCAGAGAACATTCCAGTGTATGTATTGAATCTATATTTATTTTTATGTGTATTCTTATACCTCCCTGAAGTAATTTTTTGTAGGGAACGGAACGAGGCACATTCTCGGTCGGCAGCTTTCGCCACATGGACAGCGGGAGCGGGACGGAAAGAAGCGTAGATTACCCATAATTTTCCGCAATGCTGTAGTTAATTTTGATCCTTGCCAGAAAAATGTGATTGTTTATGAGTATGCATATTCCCCCACAGGCGTTGGCCTTGTTGCTGTAACTGATTCCATTCCAGTCGTTTCTCAGTGTTGCATATTTTGGAGGTGATGTTGTAGGTACTTGGTTTTAGCAGAGACGTATTTGATGGAGTGAATATAAATTTTTGAATTTCGGACCGTCCCCTGATCTACCCGAGATTAGGAATATGCCCCCGACGAGTACTTTTGATCAGCGCGACCGGAAAAATTGTTTACGTCGGTTTCTGATAAGACAGTGTTTTGGAAGAAAGAGGTAAACAGTGGCGCAGAGAACGGGGGAAAGAAGGCTGGCAGCTGAGCCGAGTTGTTTTTCCGCATTGATTACACATCCTGGGGGGCAGACGGGATGCCTGTCTCATAACCTCGACCCAAGAACGTTGCGGCGAGGCGATTGCTCTTGTTGGTGCAGACTTGTTGTTTTGACCGCGCGCTAGTTTAAAGGGCTGCGGACGGCATGTGTCGATCCCCCCTCATCAACAAATTGGCAAGTAGCCAACAGGGGAGAGAGCGCGCCCAGGGGAGAGGCGCAGAGACATTTTCTTTTCCGCGCGTAACCGATTGACTATGCCGTCGGCATCCCTTTAAACGTTTTTTTTATTAGAAACTTTTGCACACCCGTTATCACAATTTTTTGGCCTATTCCAATTTGATGGAGGCTTGGCGAAAACTGCCTATATCTTCAGAAGATGAAAAAGACCTTCCTTCTGGAGGCTTCTGCTGCTCCCGAGAAGGGTGCAGACGCTTCCTTTTCTCCCCAATCCCTTTTCGCCTCTTACGCGCAACTTCGATTCTCACTCCGCCCCATCCGCTTTTCAGAATGTCCTCAACTAGAAGCGAAGTGAGAATAATAACCCTTGAAAAAGGAGCCCACCGTGAAGCCATCATCCATCGGATTCAGAAAGGTATCTTTTTGTCTAGCAGGATTTTTCAAACCTGGCCATCAAAATGCACAATTTTAGGTTGGAAAATCCGTTTCGTGCGTGGCGCATCTCTACTCGGCTGCTCTGACGTCAAGCTCAAGTGCGCGGTCAATGGCTCCGATTTTTTGAACTGGTCCGACGCAGAAGATCCGCTATCGGCAACCACAGAGGTAAATTTTCTCCATTTTATAGCTAGTTCGTTCAGGTGCTATGCGAAAAAGCTGGCGCGTTCGAGTACAGCTTCACCATTGATGAGGAAGAAGCATTGGCGGGCAGTGGTCATCTGCTCGTTCTTCCCTCGTTGTCCGTCAACGGCCAGCCCCTTTCCCTTGATGGTGTTTCCTGCATCACACATATTGTGAAACTTTTGGGTATGATTAAATTGCCACAGACTAGAAAAGGTTTTAGGTCCACTTTCTGAATGGGAGGGGAGATTGAGAATAGCGCACGAGAGCGGCTACAACATGCTTCATCTAACCCCAGTTCATCGTCTTGGAATCAGCCAGAGTGCTTATTCAATCATGGATCATCATGCACTAAATGATTCGCTACACCAGGCAAGGTCCATGCAACGCCTTTCAATTTCAAACGTTTAGGGTAGTCAGCAAGCCACCTTCGAAGAATTAGGCAAATTCATCAGCAAAATCGAGCGTGATTGGGGTATTATCACAGTGCAAGACGTTGTCTGGAACCACGCTGCGAAGAATGCGCCTTGGTTGCAGGTTTTCATTTTCTTCAACTTCTCATAAATCTGAAATCCAGGAACACCCGGAATGCTCGTACAATTGTAAAAATAGCCCGCATCTCCGCCCCGCGTATGCCCTCGACCGGGCCCTACATTATTTTGGGAGAGAGGTAAATAAATGCGTCGGGTTTTGTAATTGTTTTAGGTTGGCGAAGGCAAATGGGAAAACAGAGGTGTTCCGGCGGTCCTCGACAACGTTAATCATATTCACGTAAATGAACCGGATTTTAGATGACCGAAAATTTAGAGCATCGACTATGTGCTTCGAAGCGAAGTTTTTCCGAAGCTCCGCTTTCACGAATTCTTTCAATGTGATGTGGAAAAGACCTTGGATATCTTGCGGATGAAAATTAATCGTAAGTTTTATAGCGGGACTTCAATAGATTATTACAGATGCCGAAAGTCAGAAAGAGTGTGTCGACCCGGTCAAATTATTGGTCGATCCCGAATGGCGACGATTTGGCCGGACGGTTGATGTTGATGCTGTAGCTACGGAGCTGCGCGCCCGGTACTAAACTTTAAAAGATGCTCAAAATATATATAGACACGGCGGCCGTCCTCCCAACGTCGATGAGCTGGATCAGTACCTCAACGAGTTGCGTGGACGACTTAACTCGATGAATGATGAGGGCGCGAAATATTCCTGGGAAATTCTGATGAATGCGCTGCAAGCCATACTCGGGCACATTTCCTATGAACGCGTAGGACATCAAACTCGGACCTTTGATCTGTTTTTAGGTGGAAGGGCATGGGCCAAGAAAAGGATTGGTCAGAGAGGACGAGCCGTTGTTATGCGAGTAAGCGTCTAAAAATGTTCTAGACATTTTTTTAGTTATTTCTTGCACCTGGAACCAGTGAATTCTTGGGAGGAAGACGAAAAGCTAGCCTATATTCCGGAAAAGGCCGAGAAGCTGATGGCATTTAATGGCTGGGTGATGGGCCTAGATCCGATGCAGAATTTCGCGCTCTCGTCTTCGGAGGTTGTTGTTTGGATATCTTAACTATAATAATTTTCTTGTATTTTAATAGGGCTACTCTTTCAGGTCTATATTCGACGACAATTGGTGTGCTGGGGCGATTCTGTCAAGTTAAACTATGGGAACAAGCCCGAGGATACGCCATACCTTTGGGAATACATGAAAACTTACACGTAGCGTTTTCTCCGCTCCGCGAGACTGGACGTTTTTAGGGAACAAGTGGCCGACATTTTCCATGGCGTCCGCATCGACAATGCACACAGTACCCCAATTCACGTCGCTGAGGTTGATTTCGATGAGTTGGCGATGAAAATGGCCTTTAAAGTACCTCCTCAAATCCGCCCGCGCCAGACGTCCTGACCTCTACGTCTTCGCCGAGCTCTTCACCGGCAGTGAATTCGCGGATCACATGTTTGTGAACCGGCTCGGGATCACGTCACTGATCCGAGGTTAGTAGTGTTCTTTAAAAAATATTGTTCTTTCAGAGGCGATGTCGGCACCCGATTCGCACGAGCAGGGCAGGCTGATCTACCGCTTCGGAGGCGATTGTGTGGGAGCGATGCGCCAGCAGACGATCCGCGCGGCTGAACAATGCGTGGCTCATGCCATGCTGCTCGATCAAAGTCACGACAATCCGACGCCGATCAAGGTGACTGTTTTCTCAAATAACTTAATAAAATTTATTTGAGACACGTTCGCCTTGGGATCTCCTCCCGACTGCCGCAATGGTTTCGATGGGCTCGTGCGCCATCGGCTCCACGCGTGGTTTTGACGAGATGGTCAGACATGCTGTGGGTTTCTTATGTTTTATATAATGTCATTAGCGACTTGCAAGCAGTGTTGGTTGGGTGCTTTTGAGGTCTTTTTGAAATTACATATTTCATTCAATAGGAAATTCTGAAGGAATCCCACTTTCAACAAGTCTTGTACGGATACGGTCGTAGGCAAAATTCTCTCTGAAAGGGCCGATTTTGCCTAATTTTGGCCCCCGGTTAATAAAATATGAACACAGACATTTTCAAATAAACCCCTAAAACATTTCTTCCTAGATTCATGTCGTGTCCGAGAAGCGACTTTACTCAACCTGGGAAAAAGAAGTGACGCTCGATGATGGCCTCATCAAAGCCAGGAAAATCCTGAACAACCTGCACCAACGCCTGGCGGCCGAGGGCTATACACAAGTATTTTCGCATCCGGGAAAGATCCTCGATTATTATGTTTAGGTATTTGTTGATCAAATGAATACGGATATTGTGGGCATCACAAGGCACAATCCAGCGAGCCACAAAACCGTCGTTCTCGTCGCGCACACGGCTTTCACTGGTCACAAGGACGGCAATGTCGACGTAAAATGGATACCGCTAGGAGGTAACTCACATTTTCCCTTCGAAATTTTTTTCCAGGACAGCTAGACGAGATCCTCTTTGAAATGAAGTTGGTGCAGACGCAGGATGAATCGCGTCCTGGTATGTCATCGCATTACGATAGCCGAAAATTGATTTTCTAGAGGGCGATAATTCTTTGATCGGCCTCTCCAATTATCGAACGGACGTCCGCGAACACGTGCCGCTGGAAGAGACAAAAAGTTGTAAAGTTCACGGAGAACACCTACAGCTCACCGACTTCCCCGCTGGAGCTGTGGTTGCATTCAGGTTAAATTTTGGTTAGAAAAATCATTGTTTGTTTAGCATTTCACTCAAGGAGGATGCGCAAAAAGCACTGGCTTTTGCTAGAAACTTTGCCGAAGGGCTGTGCACAGAGATTGATGACGGTACGCAGCTTCCGGAAATTACTGATGGCCGTCAGTTTTTAGCGCTCCACTCAACATTGGAAGCTCTACCCTTCTCGGCCTTCCAATTCCTATTGTTCTCCTCGGATTCAGAGGAAAGGGCGGTGATCGGAGACGGTGCCTTTTCAATCCCGAATTACGGGGCGCTGGTGTATTGCGGGCTTCAAGGTTTGTCGTCTGCATTGAAATTATATATTCGTTTCTAGGGCTCATCCCACTGTTAAATCGCATTCGTGAGCACAACGACTTGGGGCATCCGCTCTGCCAGGTATTTCCCGCCATGCGTACATTCTTTTTTTTTAGAATTTACGCGATGGCTGCTGGCTGGCCGACTATGCCGTCGGACGGCTAAGAAAAAGAGGCCATGGACTTGAGAAGGTAAAAAAATACCCTTCGTGTTCGTTTTATAAACTTTTTTTTAGTTGGCCGATATCTATGAAAAAGTGCTGTCTGTCCTGCCCGCGGTCCCCTACTACCTCCGCCCCAGCTATTTCGAGTCCCTGATCCAACGCCTCTACATGACCATCATTCAAGTGCTCAACCGCAAATTTTTCAAGTATCGATACCTTGCGATAGAGTACTACTTACTTTTAGGGCAAACCCAAGCTTACCCACTTCCTTCCTGGCCAAGGCGCTCTTGCTCTCTACGACGTCATTTACAGCCGAAATTCCTGGCGCTGGGTTGTCGCTGTTGCCGGATGAGGAAGAGGTTGCTTACCTTGAAACGCGAAAACAAAACTTTAATATGATAGAAAGTCGCCTCCCTTGCAGCCGGGCTGCCACACTTTGCCACGGGCATTTGGCGCAACTGGGGCCGCGACACGTTCATCGCTTTGCCGGGTTGTCTTCTCGCCGCCGGGCGTTTTGAAGAAGCCAAGTACACTAATTTATTATTTCTTTATTTTCTTTCTTAGAAAAACCATCGTCTCATATGCCGGTTCGCTGCGCCATGGCTTGATCCCGAATTTGCTAGCCGAGGGAAAAGGTGGTAATCTATCTTAAGTCTTATTTTTCTAACAGGCGCTCGCTACAATTGCCGCGATGCGACGTGGTTCTGGCTTTACGCCATTGTTCGCTACGTCAATGAAGCTCCTGATGGAATGGCACTAATCGAAGAACCGGTGCGACGTGTCTACGCCACCGATGATGCCGAATTCAACGTGGATCCGCGGGTATGAATTGTTTACCTGTTTCAATTGTATTCTTAAGATCGAACCACTGAAAAGCACTATCGTCGAGGCGCTGCAGCGCCACTTTGCTGGCATTTCATTCCGCGAGCGAAACGCGGGCCATGGCATTGATGAGCATATGCGGGACGAGGGTAACGCTTCTTACGTAGATTCCCTAATTTTTGTTTAGGCTTCAACGTGGAAGCGCGTGTGGACAAGGAAACGGGTCTTATCCACGGTGGCAACCAATTCAACTGTGGCACCTGGATGGACAAGATGGGAAGCTCAGAAAAGGTGGCAACCTTTTTACTGGTGTTAAATTTGTTATATTCAGGCAGGTAATAAAGGGCTGCCCGCAACGCCTCGTGATGGAGCCGCAGTCGAAATCCAGGTACGAGTTTTTACGTTTCAGATTTCTTACCGTTTCGTTTAGGGATTAGCCCTGGCGGTACTGAAGGAAATGGCTCGTTGGGCTGAAGCAGGGAAGCTCGATACGCCATCTGTCTCGCACGGTATTTTTCAAAACATACGGTTTAATGTTAGACATGCTTAGACAACCTTGTTTGGTCGTGGTCGGAATGGGCCGAGAAAATCCGGAGCAACTTTGAGTCCGCATTTTTCGTCGACGACGGCTGCACACACGAGTACGTCAATCGGAAAGGGATCATCAAAGATACGGTCGGATCCACGCATGGCTACACGGATTTCCAACTGCGTCCAAACGCATGCATTGCAGTAGCCGTCGTAAGTACGCCAACCGCTTCTTCTCAATTAATTTCCAAGACCCCTGAACTCTTGCCACCAGCCAAGGCCTTGCGTGCTCTCGACGTAGTGCGTGATGCCCTGATGGGGCCATTGGGAATCAAAACGCTCGACCCAACGCAAGTTTACTTTTGTCATTTGAAAGGTTTCCCGTTCCAGCGATTGGGCATACAATGGCTTCTATAATAACGATGACGACGGTGACGATAAGAAGACAGCCAAGGGATGGAATTATCATCAAGGCCCGGTAAGATGCGCGCAGAAATATGGATATCTGTATTTAGGAATGGTTGTGGGTGGCTGGCTATTATTTGAAGGCGCGCCTGGCCGTCACAAGGAAGATTGATGATGAGGAATGGGTAAAGGCGAAAAAGGAGGTAACTGAAGCTCTGCAATTCTTTCATGCTTTCAGGTCGAGACCCATCTCGGACGCTGCCAAGAACACATCACTGCCTCCGCCTGGAGCTCTTTGCCCGAATTGACACAGGTATGTGCGGTTTTACCAAATCTTAAATGATCGAATTTCAGGAGCGCGGTGCGGAATGTGGAAACAGTTGCCCAGCGCAAGCCTGGAGTGTGGGCACGATGCTTGAAGCCTACTCGGATCTCGTCAATTTTCAGAAGCACCGATAATCATTAGATTTTATCTAGCCTAGCACACCTCGCAAAACCCTTATGTAACCTTGTTTCTGGTTTGTGTCAAACTTGTCCTTTCGCTGTGCCATTCAATTTCATACATTGCCATTCTGTGAATCGTGAGAATAAAAAAAATACCTAGGATGAAACTAAGAATTTTATTAGAATGTCACCGAAACGTGTTGGAATACGCAAGATATGTACAGCAAAATCACGTGTCAGTGCTTTTAAGTTCCTGAACGCGCGAGCGAGATCGACTTGCAATGGGTAAAATGGGAATGGAGTAAGACAAAGATTGAGCATCGATGGAGAGGGTTAGAAGGAGATGAACTTGATAAACAAACTTGGGATGTGCTCGATGGGCTCACGGTGTGGTTAGGCCTTCGTTGGTTCAGCATTGGCCTTCTCACAAGCGTCGATCCAGTCAGAGTATACGTCAATTGCCTCGGATAGGTAGTTGATCTTGGTCTAAGCAAGAATATTAGAAGAAGTTCACGTTCATACTTGGAAATCCTCAAGGCAGACCCGGCATTTGACGAGTCCCACGTTACGTTCTCGATCCCTAGGAAAGGAATAATGAAAATCGTTCATATACTCACATTTTGACTTCGCAGACCTTCTCGTGGTTGCAGAACGGGCAGTTGAACTGCGTCTCCAAAGGCACAATGTTCTTATTCTTTGGCGGCGGTTTGCGCTGCGACTTCTTTTTTGCCATCTAAAAACATAACATTATTGATGAGTCAGGACGTGCATGTGTGATAGGAAGAGTAAAAGAAACGGCATAGACTGAAAAAATAAATAATAAACTAAATAAAAAATAGATAAAAGGGCGCCGAAACATTCTCGAGGGAAAATGTTTTTGAAATGTCTGGGCGACGAAGGAGTCCTCTGGACGCGTTTGCCGCGTTGCACGGCCACTCACTGTCCCGAAATTTGACCAAACCCGAGTAAGGGCCGCAGTTTCGTAAAAGTATCCAACCTTTCGCTTCCAAACAAAGCAAAAACAGAACCGATATTTGGTTTTTATTCATCCGCGTCTTTCCGATCATCCCGGTCCTTTGAGCAGCGGCAACATTCGAATCCTCGCCATCTTTTGCTCCTTTTCGTCAACCCGGCTTAAAACCGTCTTCTTTTTCTGCTTTTCTTTTCAATGGTCAGACTAATCTGATAATTTTTTCCAGATGTCTGACGCCGTCTCAGCCAACGACATCTACGTGCGTTACTACGTCGGGCATAAAGGTTTGCTCTTTGTGATAGGTTTTTGACGAGTAATTTTAGGAAAATTCGGCCACGAATTCCTGGAGTTCGAATTCCGCCCCGACGGCCAGCTGCGGTACGCGAACAACTCGAACTACAAGAACGATACATGCATCCGCAAGCAGGTATAAATTCGTGTTGAACCGTCAACTTTTTTTAAGGCTTACGTAAGCCCGGCCGTGCTCGCCGAGCTGAAGCGCATTGTCGAGGACTCTGAAATCATGCAGGTAGAGTCGACGGCATTTGTTTTCGAACTTGAATTTTCATTATGATTTTCTTGGCTATTTACACGTCCCGTTTTTTTTTAGGAAATCGACGAGCAATGGCCGGAGCCCGACAAAATTGGCCGGCAAGAACTCGAAGTTCTGGTCAATGGAGAGCACATCGCCTTCACGACCGGAAAGCTTGGTTCCCTCGCGGAAGTCAACAACAGCAAGGTACATTTTTTGATTAGATAATAATAAAACCGATTCTGGGCCATTCTAACGTCCTTTTCAGGACCCCGAGGGCCTGCGCTCGTTCTACTACCTGATCCAAGACCTGAAGTGCCTTGTCTTTTCTCTCATCGGGCTCCACTTCAAGATCAAGCCAATCTAAAGAAGCTGTTATTTTTTGTTTTGTTTGTCTCCAGTAACTTATTTCATCCTTCCTAGTTTTTGAATTCGCAGGCCAAAACTGTTCATTGATTTTACGCCGATCTCTCACTCATCAATAAATTTGTCGACTGCCCAAAGCCGCAATGACAACGGGAAGCACATCCCTCAGATCCTGAAAACTTATGTATCGGAACCACACTAAAGGTTGCTTGTAGGATGGCGACCAGCTTCGATTCTGGCCTCAATCTTGGCGCAAGTTCCAGCACGACGCAGGCCCAAGGCTTTTCCTTCCGGCTTTTCCGGTAATCGGGTTGATCGTGAAAGAATTGTTGTCAGACACCCGGCGGTAGCGATCTCGCATGTGGCATTCCGCTCATCCGCCATCCTGTTTTATATTTTCTGCGGTGTGTTCACTTCAGACTTCATCGTGCAGTTCTTGATCCTGGTATGGTTATTTATTACGCGTGTCAATTTCCGGCGTTAGCTGACCCTCTTGTCGATGGACTTTTGGACGGTCAAGAATGTCACCGGCCGCTTGATGGTCGGCCTGCGGTGGTGGAATTTTGTCGATGAGGAAGGCAAAAACCACTGGAAGTATGAGAGCAGCAAGGCAAGTCGCGCACGCCTGGAAATAACGTTGTTTAGGATCCCACGCTCTACCCGGCGCTCGATCGCAACTTCTTTTGGCTGGCGCTGTTGGCGGCACCTCTCGTCTGGGGATTTTTCGTGACGGTCGACTTTATGACCTTCAAATGGTAAGCTTTTTTTACGTTAAAATTACAATCTGTGTTAGGGAATGGATGATCGTCTCGTTGTTGGGCTTCGCAATGACCGGCGCCAACCTCTACGGCTACCTGCGCTGTCGATGGGCCGACACCAACCAGATGACGAACGCCTTCAGCAAATGGGCCTTCCTAAACGTATGGAGGATTTCTTTGAAATTATTTGGTCGAGCGTTTAGATGCTGAGGCGCCAGGCTACCCCACCAGCCACCCAACAACCGACCCAGCTCAATGTCTGAAGGCACCCCACCGCTAGGAAAGATCCACATCGCGCTTGCGCACTGGCAGCACACGATGCTGCGATGTATATGTTTTTTTACTTGTCTGTGACATAATATCCCCATCCGATCCCGAACGCTTCTCTCCACTAAATCACTGTGATATCTCCTTGCCCCTTCGTGGGTTGTGATGCATTGTGTGGTCGGGTTCTGACAGGCCACCCTCCTTGTGCAACGGTTTTTCTACTAGCCTGGCCTCTATTGATTGCTTTATTTTCCTCGACTAGTTTCTTTTGCTGATAAAGGTTTGAACTTCGGTGAATTCTGAAAACTGCAAAGGACCTGATAGAACATTCGTAGTTGTATCTAACTATCTTCATTGCACAGCCTAAGAATTTCGGGGACAGGGGTGGTTGTTTTTGCGGGTTCGGTTTCCTTCCTTTTCTGGGCAACAGGGGGAGGATGTTTTCATCCTTTTGCCCTTTTCGCAACCTCATTACTCGGCAGCGATGCAAATGTTTGTTTCGAGGACATCGCGTTACTTTGGGCAGCTAAAATTGGCTAGATTTTTATTGCCGTTCCGGACAAACGATCCCCGAGTTGATCAATACCGGGGTATTGAAATTGAATAGACTAGAATCGTTCATTGTGCTGACGTTTGCAGGGCTTTCAAGGCTGAGCTAGGTTCCATATTGTTATTCTCACGTTATGTTGCAGGGCTTGCTGGGCGGAATGTCAGATGATGATGAAGAAGAAACACAGAAGTCGAACGGCTCTATCAGAAAGGCGTTTCCCTCCCGATCGAATTCAACCAGTGAGCGACCCTTCTTTGTGAAAATGCACACTAATCAGGCTCATCTAGTTCGCCAGGCAAGCCCAGTGTCGCCGAACTTGTTGCAGAATTACGCTCCGTCACCAAGTTAGATGAATATTGATTGATGAGAATAATTTTTAGGTACACATTTGGCGAGTTGGTTGCTACCGTACTAAAGTTCGATCTCCTTGATCCCGAGGATCCGAAATCACTGTAGGTTCGTCCAGGTCCATTGGTTTATTTGGCTTTAGGGCATTTTGTAAGAAGACGCTTCAAATGGCAATGAATCAGTTGGACTTGCCGGCACGATCCCAGAAATTACCCACGTTATTTTTGGAGGTAAGTTATCTAACGATATGACACCTCTTGTTTAGGGCGAAGTCGAGCTAACTGAGGTGGCTACGCTTATCACAAAAATCAAGGAGGACCCAATTATTGTCCGAGAAGGCGCAACTGTTTTGATTAGTGCTTTGTTGACCGGTTTTGTAGCTTCAGGCAAGTTTTCATCATCGAGGAGACCATTTTTATTTAGGGGTCTATGATTGTCGGTATCGGGTGCTTCTCCGGCATTTGACCACGTTGCTCGCAGTCGTTTGGGATGAATTTGAAAAGGTTTGATTTTAATAGGCCTCTGTTAATCCGCTCTAACCTAATATATCAACGCTTTAGATAGAAGATTCAATGGTCTGCTACCTTCTAGAAGAACCATTCGTCGAGTCAGAGTGAGTTTGTCTTGAGTCTGTTTTAATTAACAATATCTAGTGAAACATCAGGGGGAGAAGGGTGAGTTTCGTGTCGTGTTGAGTTGCTTCGTTGAGCGCATGTATGCCGCGCGGTATGAATATAGTTGTTTTTAGGCAGGCCAAAAAGGCTCGAGAGAAGACGGCTCGCAAGAAGAAGTTCAAGCGCTACCTGATGATTGGCGCGGCCGGTGGAGTTGGTGGTGTTCTGATCGGTAAGTAACTTTCTGTTATATCTATCATTGCTTTCTAGGGTTAACAGGTGGGCTGGCGGCTCCACTCGTCGCTGTTGGGGCCGGAGCAGTGATTGGTAACACCTATTCTAGACCTATTTTTAATCATAATTAGGTGGGGCTGCGACGGCGATTGGAACTACTGCCGGTGCTGCGATCCTCGGCACGACCTTCGGTGTGGCAGGAGCCGGACTTTCTGGTTACAAGGTCTGCCACTCACTATTTTTCCAAACTGGTACCTTAGATGAAAAAGCGCGTGGGAGCGATCGAGGAATTTTCTGTTGAGATCCTGAAGCAAGGCCATTCCTTGAACTGCATAATGGCCATTAGCGGTTGGGTCGATAAGGATTCAGTACGTTTACGTTGTCAATTGGTCAATCTTTCGTGCTTAGTCAAGCGAGCAGGCCTTCGTCTACCCCTGGCGCCATCTCGAACAAAGCCACGAGCAGTACACGTTGCGATATGAGTCGACCTACCTGGCCGAATTGGGACAGGCCATCGACTATCTGATGAGCTTCGCTGTCAGTGTGGCTATTCAGCAGACGTTGATGGAAACAGCACTGGCCGGTTAGGGTTTCTATGGTATGTAATCTGAGTTTTTAGGTCTTATGTCGGCCGTTGCCTGGCCAGTGGCCATCCTGTCATGCGCGAGTGTTCTCGATAACCCCTGGAATGTGTGTATCGCTCGTAGTGCCGAGGTATCAATTTTTGAAACACAAATCAGAAATTTAGGTTGGCGAGCACTTGGCGGAAATTCTACTCGCTCGCTCTCACGGTGCCCGTCCGATCTCGTTGATTGGGTACTCGTTGGGAGCCCGTGTGATCTATCATTGTCTGGTGGCCATGAGCAAGCGGGCCGATTCGGCCGGTAATGACATGTTTTAGCTTTATTGCTGTTTTCTCAGGAATCGTCGAGGACGTTGTGCTACTCGGCGCCCCTGTTTCCGCCTCGGCAAAGCAATGGAACCAGATGGCGAAGGTCGTGGGAGGGCGCATCATCAATGGCTATTGCGAGACCGATTGGCTACTGCGGTAACTTGGCGCGAAGTTTTACCGCAAATCCTTCAGCTTCGTCTACCGCACGATGTCCGTCCAATTCGGAATTGCCGGCACGAGCCCGGTCACCGGTGCAAGTAAAAAGATTGTCAACTACAACGTGTCGCACATCGTGAAGGGGCATATGGATTATTCGAAGAAACTAACCGAGGTATCGTTTTTGCGCTGCCGCCAATTCCAAATTTTCTAGGTGCTGAAGGCCGTCGGCGTCAAGGTGTCTGCCCATTCGCCCGACTCGATCAGTTCATTGGCGTCAATGTGCGAGGAGGCAACGGAAGCTTCAGGTCCCCAAGAGTAGCAGCTAGTTCAGGTTTACTAGCCCGATTAGACTCTAGTTTACCCCCCCACCCAGATTTTACCACGGAATTTTGATGCTTGGTTCTCGGTTTCGACGGAAATTCTTACTCTACAAAACATTTTTCTATTATTCACATCTCACAAGAGAGAGGATCAAAAAGGTTCAAAAAATTCCCGAGTCGCGGGGGACAAACTAGAGTCTTACCCTCCCGATACGCAAAGCCCCTTCAGATGCATCGATGACTCAGATCGAACCATTTTTTAGAAGGCGACACGACGGTGTCAAACTCACATATCCCAGGTCCCGAACTCACCGACGAAATATCAGTCCGCGATCATGCATTCCACGCCCACGACGAGTCTTATACAGCTTTGCGATAGTATTTTTCTGTGTTGTAAATCAATTATCACTCACTGTCGTATATTTCTGTGCTTGAATTCCAGTATCACTCATTCACTAGTCATTCCTCATTGTCATCCTAGTCACTTGCTAGTCATTCCCCCTGCCTTTCTGTGTTTTCCCCCCGCTGTGATTCTTATAATCTATGCCAAATCTTCCGTTTCTTCTGTTCCCGCATTTTATGAAGAATAAAAGCTGTAAGCAATCGCGGGTTGCAAGACTATCACAGGTTTTACTGCCCGATCCATTTCAGCCCGCATAATCGCTCCTATTGTTATAAAAAAGGATACAGGTTTCCTGGGCCCATTAAAACAGTCCTAGGTTACGCGCCTCGATGACTGGGAAGGCAATGGCTCCAATGGGAAGCCATTCCGCCGATCTTGATTATGAAATGGATGCAAGTGACGAGCCCGCACCTTTTCTGATGCCAACGGTATGGATCTTTAAAAACTAAAAATCGTTTTGCTAGGCCGCCGAAGTTGTCGAGCTGCGGCAAGCCCGTTACGAAGAGGCCGACGTCCAAATCGAGACCTCCGAAGATATGCGCACGATCATTCTCGATGTGAGGATTGTGCCAATCGTGAATAACGTGTAAATTTTAGAGATGCGACGTGTTCTTTGAATGGGTCTTGAATTGCGAAATTGCCTGGCTTGATTCGACCGACGCCGGTGCTCCGTCCTTTCCAAGATTCCCACATCGGGTAGACGATTTGCAACCTCATATTTTAACCGGGTTTGCAGCTGCCACAACCACTTTTCACGGGAATGGAATCCGAACCGGAAGCTTGCCTTGAGCTATATGCGCTGGGAAAAAGCGTAGAAGAGATCGCGGTAGGGAGAAAGCCATTCGCCATGAAAAGATTTTTTTAGGAAAGCCGGTTTCTCGACAAAAGACGAGTCCTGATGGGTATCATCCTCAGAATTTGGGAAGGTATTTTTTTTGACGGAGTACCAAAATGAGGATTTTAGATCGGAATAGTAAAGAGGTGTCCCTCGAAACCATCATTGCTCATGTTGATGTCGACGTGGCGATGATTGCGGTAATTGGTTATCAGTGATATATAGGTTTTTTTAGGAATGTAAGAATTACCTGAGCCGGCGAGGGGACTCCAAGGTGTCTCCGCCATGTTTGGTGGAAAATGTATTCATCACCCCACTTGGCTTGGCTTTCGTTCTACTTGTTGTCAAAGCGGAAATGGAGCAGTGGCCGCTGGATATCGACTGGCAAGCTGTTTCCTACCACGAAATGTCTGAATCGGAAGTGCGTTTGGTATGCTTGAGAGCTTATTTGATGATGTTCTTCAGTTGGGCGCTCTATTTGAAGAAGGCTGTCAATATTTCGTCCCTGCGAATCTCCCTTCCACTTCCAGCCTTGATGCGAAAATTAGGCGAGTTGCTGGCTGCTGGTCGAACTTTGCAATTTAGAAAACTGGCAATCACCGCTGAAGAAGAAAAAAACGCGCACGCCAGCTTGCGATATGCTTTCAACAAGTCAATGCAAGAACTGGAAAAGATGAAATCAGAACTTACTGCACTGGTAGGCTCCAGAGTTCGCGAGTTAAACTGACTGTTTAGGCGGAAAATTCGGCAAATGCTCAACGGGCGGTCCTTCATAGGATGGAAATGGCGGGCGACGAGCTTGGCCCACCCAGTACACCGTCTGAGAGGCAACAGGTTTGTCATTTGAACGGATTTTAGAGAGAGCTATTTTCCTAGAACGAGAAGGAAATAAGAAGAGTTAACCAGGAGCGCAGTCACCTGGCCGTGTTCGATCAGGTAATTTTCTGCCAACAAAAATTTGTATTCTACTTAGGAGGGCGCGAAAGCCACATTGACGTCGCTCCGCGAGCTGGCGATTGGCCAAACGGTGTTGGCAAGAAGGGAGCCCCGTGATAGTTGTCCGTTCGAAACAGCCGTTGTTGATGAAATACGGGTAAATTTGTGGGATTCATATGACGTAATTTTTCACTTCAGCTTCCTCTCCACTCCTACCTGATCAATTTTGGCGATGGCAATCGGGTAAAAATGATTCTGGGTTGCGAACGTTGTTTTTAGCAAGTCATCGAGGTGGCCGATCTGGCACTCAACCAGCCGGGTGTACACACCCTCTTTTCTGAGGGCCTACGCGTTTGTGCGAAGGTAATTTGCAGGGTTCTCGTCCTTTTGCGTAGGGAAAGGCATTGTTCCGTGTTTTTCGACATCCTGGTAGCGCCATTCGAAATTTTTCATGAAATCTATTCAAAATTTGATTGCGGCGCAAGATAGGGTACCCTCCCCCACGCTAACGCATCAGACTCGGGATTTTGCACACACATTTAGATTACGCATCCATATGCCGTGTCAGCCTCGAAACGTGACCGCGTCCAGAACTACTATTCCGGCGTCATCTCAAATCGCCCGGGACTGCACCACAAATTTCAGTTCCTGGTAGCTCAGCTTTGTCTATCATAAATTTTTTCAGATCTTTTTTGACGATGACTTTGACGAGTACGTTTCCGGAGCCGACATACAGCCCATGTGTTGCCAGCCGATTTCTAATGGCGCTTTGAACAAAATGATGGCATCGAGCTTCATCAGGTCCGCCAAAAGCTTTTTCTTGTTGTATCACCGTATTTAGGCAGAACCAAAAGAAGCAAGAATTTGTCCGCATGTATTTCGAGTCTTACCCTGAATGGAACTTGGCGTTGTTCCGAAAAGCAGACATTCACAAACGGATAGCTTGTCGCAAGAGGTAATAATCGGATCTAGGGTGATGAATCAATATTCTAGAAATGGCGAACGATGGTCGGCTATTCTGCTTTCGATCGATCGGCACATGTGCACGCTGCGTTTTCCCCCGTTGGGACGAACGGTACGTGATTAGAGTGATTCGTATTTTTTATGTCTGTTTACATGGTTAATATATGCACGTTTAGATGGGCGTTGGCGCCAATTGTGTCGCCAGCCCATGCCATGCTCACTTCCACACCGACGAGCGCATCTACCGCGGCTCGAACAGACTGCTGACAGTGGTGCGTTTTGTTTATTCGTTTTTGTTTTGATTTTTTCAATGTCATGGACTTGGCTTCTAGGAGCAAGGATTGCTGCCTCAAGGCACTCACCCTGGACGTCATCGCCATTTGAATATGCTGGAAAACGCAGTGCCGGCCCCCACCGCGTTCCCTGACACGGAAAAGACGAAACGCGTTATGACGGTATCAACTTTTTTGGCTACATAGACAACCTCGGATTTTCCGGAATGCGAATTTGGAATTTTGAGAATCTAAAATTTTCGGCATCTTGAATCTTGAAATCTAGAATTTTCGAAAAACTAAAGATTTTCGAAGATTTTGATTTTCGATATTCTGCATTTTTCAGAGAGTCCTATAGGTGATCCCGATTCTAATATTTTTTAGGCTCGAAAAACGACACATGGCAACGCGACCTGCCCAATCGCAACCAGCAAGGAAGCCGCGGCCTCGCGTGAGCTGGAAATCAAAAAGAAGAACCAAGCAAAGGTGATAGCTTTCTGGAAGACGCCAAATGTTCACTTCTATTTTTAGCTGATATACGAGACGTTGACCCCGAGCACATCGGCGACTACGCAATTCTGTCCCCACACTTGTAACGCCGATTGTCTTCAAGTAAGTTTGTGAATCTTTATCCAACCGGGACGTTTAGGTTTCGGCGGACTTGCCGGAAACTCTTGCCGGCCTTAGCCCCTTCTACATTCCATTGCTGTTCGGATGGCGCCGAGAGGTGAGCGCTTGATTGCTTATCGGAAGCGAAAATAAGAATCACGGATTTTTAAATGCTTCGAATTTCAACTTAGAATCTTAAGCCTGGACTAGCGTATGCAAAAATTGGAGATTATCAAAATTCTAGAATGGGATTTTCGAGATTCTAATGGTTTTCCGGGCTAGCCGACAATGAATTGACATACGTTTTTAGAAAGTCGAACGCTGCCCGAAGTCGGTGAAAACGGGCGGGAGGGGCCGTCAGCGCAAGCCCGAGTATAGCATCCAGTATACAGCACCTTGCGGTCGTTCGATGAGACGCATCGAGGATATTGCAACGTTTCTGAGGGTACGGGGAATTACACTATTATTCAGTCCCATTTTCAGTTGACCGGCGCCGAGCTGTCCATCGACAATTTCACTTACGACATCAATGTGCGCGAGTCGTACATGGCGAGGGCTGATCCGCAATACCAAGTGATGGCCGACTTTTCGCGGGGTGTGGAACAATACGCCATCCCTGCCATCAACTCCGTTGATAACGAGCCGGTGCCGAAGGTGGGTTCTGCTCTTCATTTTCTGGGTATTTCGCAGTAACGGCGCCGGGAACAAAAAGAAAATACCGATCTAGAATTTAGATTTTTCGACCCAAAATAATCTATTTCTATGTTTCTTTTTATAGTTTCTTTCCTTTTATATCAGGTTAAGATTGAACGATAAAATTTGAGCACTTCATATTCATTGATAGCACTTGAGCTTTTACAAAAAACAATCGACTTCCCCTGTAGATATTTCGGAAACGCGATTTTTTATCTTTCCAACTTTACGATCGCGTGTATCCATTTTTTGCAGATCAAATACTCGGGCGAGCGCTTTGCTGAAAATGACGCCGTTGACATCACGACACTAAATAAGGAATGGTGCAGCGGATGTACGTGTACTGGTAAGCTTTTAGTAGGTGACAAATTCCCAAATTCCAGACGACTGCGCGGATTCGGAACGCTGCGAGTGCCGAATTTTGACGCGAGAATCTGTGGAGCGACTGGCGGCCGGGATTCGACCCGACGACCCAAAAAATCGCGGCTATGACCACCGTCGACTCTACGACTTCATCTACTCGGGCATCTACGAGTGCAACCAGTTTTGCGGTTGCTCCAGGAAAAGGTTGATCCGAAATGATTCGATTAATGAATTTTAATTTAATAGATGTCACAACCGAGTCGCCCAGCAGCCGATCATGGTGCCGCTGCACCTGTTCCGGACGGCGGAATGCGGATGGGGAGTGCGAACGCTGTGCGACTTGCCCGAGGGGTTAGCGCATTCAATTAAACTGTAGGAAAATTTAGAACGTTCATCTCCAACTACAACGGCGCCATCCTCAGCGACACGCTGGCCGAACAGTTGAACCGGGGCGACGAGTACTACGCGGATCTGGACTTGATCGACGCTGTCGAGAACTTGAAGCTGAACGGAGGCATCGATTTCCTAGAAGACCTCGGGATGGCCGATTTGGAGGGCCAAGAAGCGGATGAACGTGCTGATGATGCGCCTTCCGTCGAGTAGGGATTTGGTTAAGCTATATTAGGATTTCCTCTAACGTTTTCTATTTTAAGAGGATGTTATACCTATCCCTTTTTAGCTCGGATGGCTACCAATCCGGCGACAACTCTCCAGAAAGAGGCGGCAGGAAACGACAAAGAATTGACGGAAGCGTGCCGCCGGAGCAGCCTGAACAGCCAGCTGACGTCGCGCCAGCCTCGGCTCCGGGTAGCTTGGATACGTTTTTTTTATAAATACAACTGTTTTAGCGGACGCCGTACGTGGATGGGATCGAGATCGATTTGAAAAATATTTTGGCGATGATTATCTTTTCATCACGGATGCCAAGGAACGCGGAAATATTGGCAGGTTGGAGGCTTTGTGGCTTTTACTATCTTATCTCTAAAATCTCTAAAAGCAACGTCTTGAAAGTTGATTAACGCAAATGACGCGCTCAAAAACTCCTTAGAGGTCTAAGCTTGTAACTCCCCAGCTCGGGGTTCCATTTGATGCCATTTTCGAAATTTTCGAATTTCGAATTTTCGCGACGTTGGATTTTTGCAATTTGATTTCCAATAAAATATAAAAATTTTCCATTTTTCCTATGAATCAACCCTTTTTTAGGTTCCTCAACCACTGCTGCGATCCGAACGTGCGGACGCAGCACACGTTCATCGAGACGCACGACTTGCGCCTGCCGTCAATATCCTTTTACACGAACAGCTTCATCAAAGCTGGCGAGGTTTGTCTTTTTCCGTTTTTTTCTCCCCTTTCTGAATAATCCAAATATCGGATTCTCACACTTCAGGAGCTACGCTGGGACTACAAGTATGCAACCGACGTCACCAAGCCGATGCGTATCGCCTGCTTCTGCGGCGCTCAAAATTGCCGACGCCGTTTACTTTGATCGTTGTTCACTTTACGTTTTTCACATATTGATCTCACAATTGCCTATTATCATTTTTGACCCTAGCTCCGCTTATTTGATTTGCTTCTTTGTATTGCCACGCACTCTATTGCGTAGAATAAATGCGATTTCCCCGAGGCCTCAAGATACGTGCGGTACGCACCACACGCAGAAGACGGAGCACTAAAGTTTTTTCTGCAGTTATGAATTAGTGAAGCAGTGTTTCCTACGAGACGGGAAGTTGTCAGCCCATCTTATCTTCGAACAGCCTGACTCGGCACGGCGAATTCGTGCAGGGGCGTTCTCGTAGCCGTTCCCACGTTTAGTTGAAAATAGGGTTCGAGCGAGAGCAAAACAATCGCAAAAATTTTTTTGATTTATTTTTGCGGTAAAAGATGGCTTATACTGGGCTGGGATTTATATCGAGTCATATATTACCTCAGGAAGTGAATTTACAAGCTGTCAAGGTGAAATAACGAATTTATACTATTTTCTTTTCTAAAGAAAAAGAAGCTAGGCGCAAGACGGGCATTTGAAGGAAGAATTGTAGAGCAATTTGCACGAATAAAAGCTCTAAAAATACCCAAAAACCTCAAGGATTGGAAATAGGGCTCAGTAATTTTTAGCCTCATTATTGCCAAGCGAGTCATTCGTTGATGTGATTTCTAAAAGGAAGAAGCCAGGCGACTAACGGGATTGAGGATCTTTTTCTGACTAGAAGAACGATGCGATCAGTGGGGTCTGAGCTTATCGACATTTGCCATCTGGGAACGGGGCGTCTGCGCGTTGAACCTCCTGGCGCACTCCCACGATTGATTCCACTCTTTTGCTTTCAACGTCTATACCCCGATATGTCTGTTAATGCGTGGCTTCTTCCAGAGTTCACATCTGCCCCACAAGCACGTTGGCGGTGTTATGAGCGTTGACCCCCAAGCGAACGACGCGGCAGAAATGTGGGCGCGTTCGTGTTTCCTCACGAGACTCGTCGCCTCATCCGTCAAAATTTCCGAGACGGCCGGCGGCGTGATCAAGGTTCGTTTAGTTGCTTGAATTCCAAGGTTTAGTTCGTAGTTTAATTTAGATTTTGCACTTCGATAACACCTTTTTCCAGGAAATTCTTTGCGGAGGCGAGCTGAAAATCGTTGACAAGGGCGGAAATGGCAAACCCGCAGATCTACAGGTAAACCTTGGCTCTTTTTGTTTTCAAATTATTTTTAAGACCGAAGCGGACCGAGCGGCCCAGTACTGCATAGTTCGTTCCCTGCACAAGGTCTTTGGCGATAATTTGACAATTATTGGAGAGGAGGTAATTTTTTCCATCTTTTCTGCAATACCTGTGCCCAGGATGTCACCTCCTACACGCCGAAAATTGAAGAGAGTTACTGCGCGAAGGTCTTGTCGCTCGACGAGCGGTGTCCGGCCGATTTGCGTGGAATTAAACCGGAAGATGTAAGGGCTATTTTGCTTCATCTAATTTTTGCCTAGGTGGTAATTTGGGTCGATCCGCTCGACGGCACCGTCGAGATCGCAAACGCCGCAAAGAAAACACCCGGTAAATTCATGAGAATTTTTATTGGGGTAAACTTATTTCAGCCGTACTCGCCCAAGTGACGGTGTTGATTGGGATCGCGTACAAGGGACGCCCTGTAGCCGGCATCATTCATCAGCCCTACTACGAGGTTTGTGTTCTTTGTTGGCATCGCGGGTTGGAAATTTGCGCCTGAAATCTGACGGAAAGTAAAAATCTTAGACCGAAATCAGGCGAAAAATTGTTGGATGCTTAAAGTTATACATAATGTTTTTTTTTGCAGGGTCATGAAACCGGGCGGACAGTGTGGGCGATTAACGGTGTCGGCACGTACGGCATGGACTATGTGAAAGGTAGATCAATAGAGATAGTTGAAATTCGATTTAAATTTTAGCTGACAATAAGCAACAAAAAGTGGTGGTGACGACAAGGAGCCACGGCACCTCATCAGTGGACGCAGCCCTCGATGCGTTGAATAAGAAGGGACTCGCGGATCAGGTCGTTCGGGTTGGAGGCGCCGGGTATAAGGTGAGCTGAATGAAAGCGTGAAGTTATCATGATTTCAGGTGATGCGCGTGCTAGAAGGGGCGGCGGCATACGTGTTTGCCAGTCAGGGCTGTAAAAAATGGGACACGGCAGCATGTGAGGCGGTGATTGAGGGCTCAGGTGTGTATAGGCTTGTTTTGAAGCTTGAAGCGGCTCTCTAGTAGCTGCCAGAACGGGCTTGAAATTTGCAGAAATATTCGGCTTATGATACTGATATTTTTTTAAACTTAGCAAAGACCGTTTAAAACTTTAGAAAAGCAAGCTGAAAGTAGCCTAAAACTTCAAAAATGATAAATATCAAGGCTTTACCGCTTCCGGCCGGCGTATTTCGAGTTTTCAGTGCCTGCAGGAAACTGTAAAATAGGCCGAGTGGGCGTTTAGTGGGCGTATATTTTTGAAAATTCTAGCATTATCGCGGCTATTTGTGCAATTCTACCAATCGTTTTTAGGTGGTCGTCTAACAGACATCAGCGGCCGGATGCTCAACTACGACAAGGGCGTGCAGCTGAACAATTCTGGCGGCGTGTTGGTGACGTCTTGCTGGGTTGATCATCAGGTTTTTTTTAAATATAAATAACTTTACAATTTTAAATGTTGTTTTTCATGCTTAATTTTAAATTAAAAAATTGTTTTGAAAGGCATGTCAGTGTACTTGAACAACTTCGCGGCGTTCATTAACCAACTCTTTCCAGGAATACCTTGGCAGCATACCGCAATCCCTGAAAGACGGACTGCCCGAATTCCAGGCGAAGAACTAAGCCGTGCCTCCGCCTACCGTAGTCTTGCCGGGTAGACGCCCTTGGGAATCTATCTATTTTCTACCATATCCGCCCCCTTGCATTGTGATCTTCTTTTTTTTGTGTTACCGCCCGTTTTTTCTGGTCTCAATCATTTTTTTATTCTGCCGCGCACAAGATGTTGGGAAATAGAAGAGTCATAATGTGTGTTGAATATTTGGAAATGGCAGCAAAATAATGGACAGCGCAAAATTGGCAGTGATGCGACGGGGAGGGGGAAAGAGATGACGATAGCAAGCTAGCGACAACAAATCGTCTACGCAAGTATTTTGGTGATGCTTTTGTCGGGGGAAGGAGGAGGGCGGTAAAAATGGCGTAAGCGGTTCACCCCCACCGCCCGCTACACCATTTGATGGTGGCGGGGAGGGAGGGAGAAGCGGACGGGTTTTCAGGGCTTAATAGTCACGGATCTGGATTCCCTGGATCTCGACGTCGCCGCCAATCTGGAGACCGTTGATGCCGTGGGGCTCAACGCGGTGGGCGTACGAGCAGAACCGCTCGCCGTTGACGTTGATCTGAATGTTCGGGTGTATTTTTCATTTTTAGCTTTTTATATACTAAAAAGTTACCCATTTTAGCCCTGGCTTTGTCACAATGTAAAAATGACAAAGATAGGTATTGTTTTCGAAGTGACTCCCGTTCATTTTTGAACTGTTGAGTCGTCCAGACGAAAGGACATTTTTTCCGTTGAAAAATGGTTATATCTGGAGAATTTTCGCCAGGTAAAAATAAAAGCTACATAGGGTTAGCGAGTGACGTTCATTTTTGAATTGTTTTGTTACAGACGAAAATATGCTTCCTTTTGAAATTGAAAAAAGCCTAGATCTCGAGAACTAGCAACAGTGGTCAAACATTGGCTACAGATTCAGAGCGAGCATGAAAAACCCCGAAACTTACGGTGAAGGCGAACTCCTCGTTGTGGATGTCGAGGTCGAAGAGGACCGACTTCTCGAAGGGCAGCTTGCCCTCGCGCTCCTCGTTGCCCCACTCGTTGGCGATCAGCGAATTGCGGACGACGGCCTAAAACTGGGTGTTTCGAGCTGGTTGCTCGGAAAATTCACTTTCAGCTTACCTTCACCCCAAGCGCCCCAACATTCTTATGTCGATTCCCCCTAGTGCTACAGAGACATAGAATATACAAAAATGTTCGCCTTGGTCTGGGGAACATTTTTGTATATTTTACATCCCTGTAACTTGACGGTGTGCTACTATACGGTTTAGACTCAACTACCGCCTTGGGAAACCGACCTTCTCGTCGAAGCGTGGGTTGAAGTGGAGGGCGATGTCTCCGTTCTGCTTTAGCAGATTGATGTGGAAACGCTTGGCCTTCTTCTCGGGCAGCCCGGTGATGACCAATCGCTTGCCGGGGGCGATGCCGTCTCCGGCGAGTCCGGTCTCGTATGGCACCGGCTGAAATGGCATGGCGAGGTTTAGGATTTGTTTATTTTTACTTATATATCTTTCTAAGCGGTTCTTTCACCTTTTCGAGGTATGCTTTCATTGCCTTTTTTGTTTCAGGTTACACAATTTTCCAAAGCATGCATAGACAACTTACGTAGTGCTTGCCGCCCCAGTGGATGTTGTTCACGAGCACATCACCGTCAATCGAAAAGTGCGTGATGGAGGAGAGCGGCACGCGGTGCTCGTACTCCTTCAGCTCCTTCTGAAAATTGAAGTTGTATGCAGTTCTTTTTCCCAAATGATAGACAAATTAGAGGCGTTTTTCGGAGTTCTTTTTGTTTGGCAAAAGCGGCATTGGCATTTAGTAGCTTAATAAACAAACTACAGCGTAAAATACTTTTGTTTATTGTCTTAGCAATGATGGGCTTTTTTAATCGAATTTCGCCTGTATGTGTGAAAAATTAAGGCATGCCCCCCAATTTCAAACATTTAGTCGCCCGGAGTCGGTTATCAATTGCGTTGGTTTTCCGGTGGTTTCTTGTGTGTGCCGCGCGTGGAATGCAATTTGCTGCTATTTGTCCTTGATGGCCTGTCGGGACGGTGAGGAGGAGCAGCAGCTACGCCCTCCTGTTGCCCCCGAGAGAAGCGTCGTTTTTTGATTTCGCAGCCCTACGGTAAATCGGGTGCAATTTCAGAATGAGAAGGTATGGATCAAACAAAGACTTTTTTTTGATAGTGTTTTTGCTAAAATTCAGCTAATTTTTAAATCGAAAACTTTTGAGAAAAGTTGGAAAACTGTTTCAAAATAGAAATTCAATAAAAATAGACCATTTTTGGTAGGAGAATCGATATTTTTGTATTTCTTACCGAAAGTAACTGCGTTAAGACTGAAATTTCGGGGGAGCAATCGATAATTTTGGTATTTTTTTGATAAATTTTCCGAAGTTTTTTTGACGTGTATAGTAAAAAAGTTTAAACAGTCTTCTCTTATTTTTTAGAAAAATTAGATTACAACGGAACAAGTTTGTCCCGCCTGTTAAGGCAAGAGATCCTAAAAAAATGGCTCCATAAGTGGTTTAATAACAAAAAACATGCCAAACCTGATCGACAAAGATCTGGAAACGGTTGTCGTGGGCGCGGACTCGGATATCGATGTCGTCGCCCTTAAAAATTGCTATAAGTGATTTTATTTCCATTTATTTATTGATTTAACGTATCCAGAAACATGTGATCCCAATTAAACCGAGAACGAGTTCTTAAAAACAAAAATGCTCCCCACCTTTTTGTAGGGGTTCGACTTGCGCTCTTCCTTGCCCCACTCGCCCTTGCTGAACGTGTTGAAGACGATCTGAATAATTTCGGGGTACGATTTTCTAGTTTTCTAGTTTACCTTGCCCTCGTCGAAGCGCACGGAGATGTGCAGGGGCACGTCGTTGCCGGAGAAGTCGGCGGCAGAGTTGTGCAGGTTGACGGTGAAGCTGTAATTTTTGGGATCGTTGATTGTAGCTTCGCGAGGGTAAGAATTGCTCTCAAAGAATCGCTGCTATGTCGTTTGAAACTGGAATCCCTCAAAGATCGTTGCAAGCCTGCCTAGTGCTAATTGTCGTGCTAGCTTTCTCAGTGCTGGTGTTCCTCAAAGATCTCCGCCAGTTTGCCTGGTTGGCATAACCGATCCTTAAAGATATCTGCTCGCCTGCCCCGGCTGGAAATGGTTCCAAAATCATCTTTGCTAGCTTACCTAGGGGGTGCTACTCATCCTCAAAGATCTCTGCTATTCTACCAAGGCTTTAAATTTTTCTTCATTAATTTTTGATTTAATTTGATGTTTAATTGTTCCTAAGGAATATGTGCTAGCTTCCCCAAGATTCGGAGTTGCTCATCAACGATTTCGGCTAGTCGTTTTTCGCTCGAAAAATATTCTACGATTTTTTAAAGAATTCCCGCCTGCCAAGTAGCTTTAATTCGACTTCTCCCTACTCAAAAAGCCTAATTTTTGCGCTGCAATCCAAAAATTGTTTGCCGTCCTATTTAGCGCCCTCTATTGCGCTATTTACCATTCGAAAAACGACTGTTTGGGGCCCCCAGTTTAGGGTTCCATTTCTTTCCCTTCGGCCTCCAAACTCGAGTGCCGCTTTCGAAAGTAGGCGGAAAGGCCAGGGTGACTTGTTTCCTTCAAGGTGGCTCATGTTGCCCCCGAGGCCATCGGCTTTACACCTCGGCTGCATAGGGATCGGGACACTAGCTGGGGGACTATGACTGAGATGGCACACGGCCAAATGGCCTTTTCCCCCAATACAATGAGTAATGACCACAATTGGCCACTTGTTCGCTGGGTGATGGGTGGCCGCGTTTAAAGGGGTTCGGAAGTTGAAAATATACCGATTCCAACAATCGGATTTTATTGAATTTTTGAGAATTAGGCTTAGGCGTAGGCTTTGCGTAGGCTGTTCTTAGGCTTGGACTTATTTTTAGACTTAGGCTTTGCTTTGCCTTAGGCTTAGGCTTTACTTAGACGTCGGCTAGGCTGAAGCTTCGTCTAGGCTTAGGCTTAGCCTTGAACTCACCGGACAGAGTCCTCGCCGGTCTTTCCCTTGACGACGAGCGTCTGGCCCGGCTCGAACGGCTCGGTCAGCTTGCTGCGGTAGGGGACGGGCTAAATAATCATTGTTATTGGCCTTAGTACTTTCCCGATATTTGTGGAAGTTTTTGGCGACCTTAAGAAGCTGAAAAAACGAAGGTTTCACTGCTTTTCCGGCCGGAAAAATCGCCGGGATTCGATTACGCTTCAAAACGAGCGAGGAGCTAGTTAAGGCGTTTTATTCGGGTTTTAGGGTCTAATAAGGCTTCAAAAACACCCACGAAGCTCGTCTCGAAGGCCATTGCTGTGCTGATAGTTGTCGGGTGGGTTGACTGGTCGACACTGGCGGTTTACCTGGAAATGATCCCTCAAAAAAAGCACGCCGGCAGGCGCACTCTGCGCAAATAGACCGCGAAACAAGCCGACGACAAACAAAAGCGAACGCGGATGATAGTCTCAAAAAATGAAGGGGAATTTCGCTCGGGAATTATTGGAGAAGCCCTCGGGAGTCGTTCTTTTATAAGAGCAAAATCATAAAAATGAGCTGTAAATTTTTTGGGTGCTGAAGAGATTTGCAGAAACCCGCAGAAATCTGCAAAGATTTAAAAGTGCGATTTTTGCATGAAACCTGCACGATATGGACCTAAAGGCAAACAAAAAGGAACGGCAGAGCGTTACGCCGGAAATGGTGGTGATAAATGTGGGAATCAAAGGGCAGGAGAGTTCCATTTTTAAGGGGATAGCGACAGGACGGAAAAGTGTAGCGCCATGTAATTCTTTGAGGATTTATGCCCAAAGAGTCAATTATAGAGATCGTAAAAACCCGTTGCCTCTTGTAGTCGTTGGTCAATTAGGTTTGGCTTAAGCTTTGAATTAGGCTTACTCCTAGGCTTAGGCTTAGGCTTCGGCTTAGGTTAGGCTTGGCTTAGGCTTTCGGCTTAGGCTTAGAGTTATCCATAGCGGGACCTAAGGGACTTCTCTTGGTTTGGGGCTGGCTAGCGGAGATCTTTGAGGAATGAAGCAAACGAAGACAGGGAGAATAAGGTGTCTAAAAAACCTCACAAACCCAGAAAAACGAGCGCTCCGCTTGGTTACAAATCACTGTATTGTCGAGAGTGCCGTGGGGTGGTTGTGGCTAATGGGGCGTGTCCCGCTCCCCGTATCATCAACCGGTTCGCAAAAATTTTTCGCGCGCCCTGCTCGTGGAGTCGGTCTTTTTGGGGAGGGGGCAAGCCAAAAAAGACGAGGTGGGTGGAAAGGGAATAAAAACAAGAAATGGCCGTAAGGGGGAAAGGTAGCCTAGCGGAAACCGGGGATAAACAAGTGAGGAATCGGATCTGGCGGGCATTGAAATGGATTCGGACTTTGAAGCAGGAAGGCCGCAATGAAATGACTGCAAAGCATAAATTCGCGTCCCATGACCTTTTAAAGGAACTGTGATGGCGCTGACAAATGCTTTTTTTAGGGTGCCAGCAACGCAGGAGTCTCTTTTAAAGGAATTTGGAAGCCGGAAACCCACAAGCAACGGCTCGAAAAGCATCATAACTTTTAAAGGGGGCTTGGAAGTTTCTGAATCTATGAAAACGGTTCAAATCTTTTTAAAGAGACGTGGAAGCCAGGATTCGATTGGTATATACAACCCATAGCACAGCAACAATTATACAGTATTGGCGGGCTGCCAGAAAACCGTTTGAAACCAGTCACAAGGGAGATGGGGCGGGATTGTATACGAAAAGTTGGAAGAGAGGCGGGCGGGATAATGCGAGGGTTGCGCTCTGCACCGGTGCTTTCGAATACGGGGTGAAAGTTTTTTGGAGGGGTCGTTTCGAGGGAAATGGAGAGAGAGAGAGAGAGAGAGAGAGAGAGAGAGAGATGCGAAAGCAGTGAAGGCAAAAAATGGACCTCCCCAGCCGCCGCACAACAACCTAATAGACAACAAGCGAGAGATGGGGCTCAGAGAGAGGATGATAGAGAGAGCAGGAGAAAGTGAGAGAAAGTTAGAGAGAGAGAGAGAGAGAGTGAGAGAAAGAGAGATGCCCACCGGCGAGCGAACGCCGAAATGGAAAACATCTGCATTGAGTGCGGAGAGAAAGTGGCCATGGCCAGGAGGCCTTTTTAGCGATAGAATTGTTCTCAGCCGGCGGTTTCCGATTTTTTAAGAGCCTACCATCTGGGCCTAGGCTTTAAAGTCTTGGAAATCAACGCAAAAATTTGTTCGCTATATGCGATATCCAAAAATTTGACGCGGGATTATCACGGTTTCCGAAAAAATTGGGTTTAAAGGGAATGGGAAGCCTGAGCCTAAACCTAGCCTAGGCCTAAGCCTAACCTAAGTCTAAGCTTAAGCCCAAGCCTAAACCTAAGCCAAGCCTTTAGCCAAAATACGACACCACAGCAACTGAACACCGGACGATTGGCATGTTGTTCTTGTAGTGAGGAGGCGGGGCTAGTGGCGGGGCACGAAATAACAAAGTGAGTCACCCGGTTTTAAAGGTAAAGGCAACCTTTAGGATTTCTAGGCTGATTTTTTTCGACTTGCCGTCGAAAGCAAATGACAATTTTAGGCCCCGATTCTCGAGGTTTCTGCGCCCTTAAACGTCGTCTAAACTTTACACCTGATAATAAAAGTGTTTGACTCATTACATCAACCGAAACTCTGACTGTCCACAGTTCTCTCGAGCGCCCCCGAAAAACACATCGAAGGGCGGATTCGAAATTTGAAATGAGTCAAGGATCGGGGGGGTGAGTGAGTGGCTGACCTTGTGAGATGTCAGTGACGGAAAAGGGAGAGACACTCCCTGAAATCCAATTAATAGGTAGATGGCGGGGGGAGGGGATTCCGATTGGGGATTTTTGGTAGGTGCGATAGGTTTTGAGGGGCGAAACCGAGAAATGGGTGGGTTTACCGTGACTGGGAGGAGAAAAGCTAGCGAGCTGACATTTAAGCTTAGCTTATGCTTAGGCTTAGGCTTAGCCTTAGGCGTAGGCCCAAGCGTAGGCTTGAGCTTAGGCTTAAGTTTAGGCCTAGGCTTCCAAACAATCACTCGCCAAAAACAACGAAAATGAATTCCCCGTTTCCCCAAAAGGGAGTCGCCCCGAACAATTAATTCTAAGCATTCTTTGACTCCTTGGAAAACTAATTAGCATAAAGGAAATGGCGGGGCTTGGGTATCGCTAGTGACGACAGAGCCTAAAGCTGCAAAGCCGTCATAAATTGAAGGAAAACAATGAAAAATGTAGCAAGGGCTTTCAAGGTTTCGTGCTCGTTAAAAGTTAACTAAAAAGGTCGATTGACACACACCGAATCGGGCGGGCGTATTTTTTGTTGTGCGTGTGGATGTTGTTGATGGTGGATTGTGAAAGTCGGGGGAAGGCAGGAAAGCCAGTGGCTCTGATTCAGGGAGTGGCCACCCCCCGCGCCACCGAAAAAAAGGAAAAAGGATCCGAGCCGGGGACATTGCGTGTCGGACGGCCATTTTGAAGGGATGCGGACAACTCTAACAAGGGGAGACAGATAGACACTCACACAAACAGACAGACAGACAAACGGATAGAGATGGACTGGGGAAAGGGGGGCTGAGCCGAAAAAGGGGGATGTTGCAGTCAGCCCATGGCTGGGGGAAACCAAATGATCCGCCACCGACAGCGACAAAGGCACGAGAGTAGTGGAATGGAAATAAAATGAAAACAACAGCTTCAGGGGTTTGAAAGTTTTTGAAGTGAAAGTTATGCTTCAAAATCGGTTAGACTTAGGGCTGTGCTTTGGAATAGGCTTAGGCATAGACTAGGCTTAGGTAGGCTTACATGATGCTTAGGCTTAAGCTTCGATTTAGGCTTCAATTAGGGTTAGGCTTAGACTGTACATGGGGTAAACCTAAGCTACGTGTGCTTAAGCTGAGGCCTAAGCCATCAGAAATGAACCCAACAATGAAATGCCACTTCTTAAAACCACCAAAAAGTTCAAATCCTCCCTGACTCCCTGGGGAGTGCCACTCCTTGCTCTTTCCGGCTCGCCCGACTGGCTTATCAGGATCGAATTATACTCCAGTGAGCAAAAGCAGGATATGGAGCACGAGAAGCCGAAAAGAGCGGAGTAACCCGATCCTTGGCAGCTGATATTTTTGGAAGGGCCCGGAAGAGGCTTGAGCCAGGGGCCCATGTGCCCTAATTTTCCAGTAATGGCCCATTGACGGCCCATTCCGGGTGTTCCCCCCAAAAAAATAGTCATTTTAAGAGGGACAGAAGGGCTGCAGGGCGATGTGAGACTGCGTTTAAAAAGAGATAGAACTGACTGGAGGGAATTGCTAGCACTTTGGCTTTGGCTTTGGCTTAGGCTTAGGCTTAGGAGGGTTAGGCTTAGGTCAAGCGTTCAAGCAAGGTGCGAGAAATCCGAGGCGTCAGGCCACTATAATGAAAATTTGATATCGAGATCCTGCTGCTAATCTCTCTCTCTCTCTCTCTCTCTCTCTCTCTCTCTCTCTCCCTCTCTCGCCGAATCAGGCCGAGATTCCGAGACCTGAATCCGTGGCACCCAGCTGGTAACAGGAGCGCCGCGCAATAAATTAATCGCGCTCTCGTCTTGGACTGGCTTTGATAGTCCGTTACATTCCGTTCGTTACGTTAGCTTCATTTTTTCTTCTGGCTTTCCCAGGCTCGACTGCTTTCCTTGAGCAGTTTCAGAATTCATAACTTCTTATTTCAATACTTTCCCCCCAGGACGAGACAATCCCAGAAACGCTGACGCCCATTCCATTCAAAGCCAATCAACAACTAGCTATACCACAGCCCGTGTAACGGCCTTCATCCCTCCAAAAAACGAAAGCGATCGGTTTGCCGCTCCCGCAATCCGCTGTCCGCCAATCGACTTGATGATCCGAAAATTCAGCGCTGACAAATAGAGGGAGATCGGGACAGAAACATGCAATAAGCCGGGTGTGCTTAGGGTTAGGTTTAGGTCTAGGCCTAGGCTTGCCATTGTGCTCGGGCATAGGCTTGGGCCTAGGCTTAGACCTAGGGCTAGGCCTGGTATTGGGTTTAGGCATAGGTTTAGGATAAGGCTTAGGCTTGGGCTTCGTTTAAGCTTAGGCTTAGGCTTAGGGTTCTTGTCCCTAACGGCCTGGCAATGAACTTTTCCGGACACGCTGAGCTCGCTTAAAAACCGCGCTCTACAACCTTTACAAAAGAAATATCACTTCTTGCAAGGCGTATACATTCCTCTGTATTACGCAGCAGTACAGTAACACCGCTCCGGCATTTCTCCGGCATTTCCCCCCGGCCAACCCGATATGTACGATTCGCGCTTCCGGTGGTGTCCGTCGCGGGAAAGGGTGAGAACAAGACGCGGTTTCGTATCGGACCCGCAAAAGGCCTTCACGCCGGGGGCTCACAATGTGGCTACTTGGCGCTCGGAGGGGAGGAGGAGCAGCAGCACAAAACGACCGTGAAACAGGCCGCCGGGAAACGATGGAAACCCCGGGGAATGGGAAGGTCACATCCACATTTTTCGGCCGCCCCATCACCCGGGGAATACACACGCATCTCTCGATTGGGGCTTTGACAAAAAACAAAACCGATTATGGGGGATTCGGAAATGATGTGAGGTGCAATAAAAAAGCTGGAATTTTCGATTTGTTGTGTAGTCGCAAAAAATCATGCTAAATCGAGAAACCCATCGGTGAAGGCCGAACACTGTAGAGCAAAAACGGTGGGGTAAGCTAGCAGAGAGTCTTTAGGAGCCTCGGAGGACAGTGGGAAAGCGAGAATCAGCGAAGAAGGTAAGCTGTAGTTCTCGAGGAGCTTAATGTTATGCCAAGAAAAAAAGATCAAGCACTACACCTAAGCCTAAGTGTAAGTCGTAGCGAAGATTAAGCGAAGCCTAAGGTTAGGCCTAAACTTGAGCCTAAGATAAGCATAAGTCTAAGACTAGGCCTAAGCCTAAGCTTCCTAAACGTAAGCCTAAGGGAAGCTTACACGAAGCCTACGCGAACCCTAATCGAATCTTAAGCTTAGGCCTAAGCGATGCCTAAACCCCAAGCCAAATCCTAAACCTAAAGGAAGGTTAAGCGAAGCTTATGCGAAGCCTGAGCGAAGCCTAAGCAGAACTAAGCCTAGGCCTGCCCAAGCAACAATCAAAAACAGGATTTCTTGACTTGAGCTACAGATTAGAAAGTAGTTCCAAGAGCACTGACGATAACAATATAGTTAGTTCGTTGAGGCTCCGCTTGTCTTGACCTAGCATCGACTGCAGATCCATCAACGATTGTGGGGCCCCGTTGGTTGGGGCTCTGCCGTGGCTGTCCTGAGCGGCATCGAGTGAGTGGCAACATCACACAACATGGCCCTCCGCTTCGTTCTCCCCCTTCGGTCAGCTAGCCATCCCCTGCGGGTGGCTTCTGCAGAGGGATTGGGATGCGCTGTAAAATGGATTGGGACGGAACGAACCAGTGTCCCATCACTGGACAACTCTTTGTTTTAGAGGGCCGCTGAGAGGGGGAGGAGGGAGAGAGTCAAGAATTATGACCTGCCAGCTGCTTGTTGTGGCCTGGAAATGGGAACGCAAAGTTAGAAAGGAATTTGAAGGCCGTGATTTATGCTGTGATGATTGTGAAATGTTAGGCTTAGGCTTAGGCTTAGGCTTAGGCTTAGGCTTAGGCTTAGGCTTAGGCTTAGGCTTAGGCTTAGGCTTAGGCTTAGGCTTAGGCTTAGGCTTAGGCTTAGGCTTAGGCTTAGGCTTAGGCTTAGGCTTAGGCTTAGGCTTAGGCTTAGGCTTAGGCTTAGGCTTAGGCTTAGGCTTAGGCTTAGGCTTAGGCTTAGGCTTAGGCTTAGGCTTAGGCTTAGGCTTAGGCTTAGGCTTAGGCTTAGGCTTAGGCTTAGGCTTAGGCTTAGGCTTAGGCTTAGGCTTAGGCTTAGGCTTAGGCTTAGGCTTAGGCTTAGGCTTCCGCGAGAAACTTGGCAAAAACTACCCGGATTTCCCCCGCCTATCCGTTCTTCTAGTGCCCCAGGTGAGGGGCGAGTGGGGGCGCGGCCCCAGGCAAAATTATCCGTAGATTGTTCTAGCATAGGCTTAGCTTGCCGTAGTACTTCAACCATAATTACTTTGGGCGTGCTGAAGCGTAGCATCTCACGTTAGTCAAGCTCACAGTGCTTGAATACATGCTTCAGGCTTGAAAAATTCCTCGTTTTTAACCACAAACATCCACCACAAATGGGTCCCCTAACGAGTCGTATTTTTTAGCCGAATCCCGTGTTGGCACATGGAATTCCACGCGGAATTTACGCCGATGCGTACGCCGGCTGATAACGGGGGAGGGGGAGGACAAGCCATCGATTCGGCTCAGCCCTCGCCTAGGAGGGTAAAGCCGATTGGGGCCTCCCGGAACACAAGATTTTCGGCTACTGAATTTGTGAATTTTGGGCTTTTGCCGCAGCTGTTGCTCCACGGATGTCGAGATTTGGGGACAGCTCTACGGAGGGATCGGTGTAAGTGTGAGAGCATAAGCCTAAGCTTAAACCTATGCCTAAGCCTAAGCCTAAGTCTAACCTAGGCCTTGGCCTAAATTTAAGCCTAAGCCCAAGCCTAAACTTAAGACTATCCCTAAAATTCCAGAGTCTCGCGCCGAATACAAGAAGATTTTGGGGACGATGTTTCAGTACTCTCAACAACCGGTGAGTCGAGCTGGCGGATCACGATTTTTAAGGTAAGTATCACGTCTAGAAAAGCGTGTAAATGTTTTTTTTTCAGGTAGCCCTCGGGCTATTTTTCATCGGCGCCTGTACGGCGGCGATCATCTATTCTGTCAATAAAGGTAAGTTGGGTGGAATTCTAGCTATCTCTTTGCTATCTCTCTCTTTGCCTGTCTCTCTCCTTTCTATCTCGCTCTCTCTATCTCGCTCTCTCTCTCGCTCTCTCTCGCTCTCTCTCGCTCTCTGAAAAATACATCCATTCAGCTGAGGCGAAACGTGCCGAGCACGGCGTCAACCACACGAAGGGTTTCCTTCCGTACGATCTCACGCAAAAGGGCGAGGGCTACGTTCATATATTCATGCAGTCGCCCGACTATCGCGTCAATAATACGGTGGGTTATGAGGTTTTATAGAAAACAGCAACTTTTTCAAGAGCAGAGCTTGCTATATAGCGCGTCCTCTATTCCCCAGAAAATCGGCATTTCGCCGCATAATTTGTAATTTGCCTTATTTATTTTTGCTGTGAATTTGAACAGCTTTTTGTATAAGTCTAGAAATGCCTAGTAACTTTATAGAATGGCTTTAATATTGCTTTTGGTAATATATAAATGTATTTCAACTAGAAACCTATGCAAAAACTTTTAAAACTTCGAAATTTGGCCAAAAATCAGCCGTTTTCGGCCGAAAAATCGGTATTATAGATATTTTTTAACACAAATTTGTAAAGTTTCCACGTTTAGGAATAGTAACAAACCGTTTAGAATTAGATTCCAAGAAAAAAGTTCGTTCTTCTAGCCCACCTATTCGTATCCGGTTGAATGGCTCCAGGAGGCGAACAACAAGCGTATAATGTACAAGTTAGTGTCGATCAACCGAAAATTAAAAACCTTCTGTTTTTTCAGGGTGGGCCATGGTGAGCATCTACAATATGCTCTCTACCTGACGGCGACGGCTGGCTACAATCAGACCCATTCGGTAGGTCTGAGGTTTTTAAAGGACTGTGCAAGGCAGGATGCGCCAAAAAAGAAACACCACATAACCATGAGGCCGGCTTTGGCTTAGGCTCAGGCTCAGGCTTAGGCTTAGGCTTAGGCGAACGCCGCCAATTTTCAGGGCTGCTCAAAAATCGGGATGGTCTACGACGACTTCTTCGATGCGATGGGGCTAAAATACGTGCAGCTGCGGACGAAGGAGCAGATCAAGGTTGACGAGGAGATGGAGGACGTGAGAAAATATTTTTACGAAAACTGCGATTTTAGGCCTACGTCTACGAGGGCGAGCCGACAAGCACGGCAAAGTTCTTTGGGTACGGCCCATCGTTGGTTCGAGGGTATTCGAATATTGATCAAGGTAAGAAAAGAGAGGGAGAGAGAGAGAGAGAGAGAGAGAGAGAGAGAGAGAGAGGGTGGAGGATAGAACACGAATCCGCATTTTCAGACCGTCTCTGGGCCTTCGAACTTTTTTTTTATGCTAGCACCCCTTATTTCAAGTGAGCCACACCTCCGCCTCCCCAAATTTCGACGCCAACTTTTAGAATCGAGCACTGGTTGCCGGAAATGGGGGCCAACGACGAGTCATCAAGCGTGCTGGACGCAATCCCGAAGGAATGCTTAAATTGAGAAGGTTTTCTAGGTGTGCATAGTACTGTCCTGGAGAAATTGTATGATATAAAAATTCTACTGTAAAGGGCAGAGTTAATACGTTGCTATGCATGCTTATGCGACATCTGAAGCAGGCGTTGTAACTTGATGTCGCTGTCCCTTTCAAAGATAGCCGGCTGGAATAGGCATTAAACGCGTCGCGGTCGCGTCGCTTGCCTTTGCTGGTGTTCTGATTCCCTAAGTTGGAGCCAGAAGTAAAGACATAGAGGGTGAGCAATTGTGAAAGAGTGAGAGCGCGGGAGAGCGCGAGCTTGAGAGAGACCGAGAAAGAGAGTAAGAGATAGAGAGAGAGAAGGAGAGGCGACTCTTTAAATCCTGGATTGGTGTCAGCATCCCTTTAACAAATCGTAATTTTATCTAACGAAAGTAACCCGAGCAGCCGACGATAATGCCGGTGACTACATACACACATAATCAATCACAATTTTCTCTACACAACGCGTCAAACAATCGGCTTCTATAGTCACAATTCCGGACTACAACGCTTTTTTCGTCAATTTGGAACTAGAGGGGTGGGCTCCCAATTTAGGCCTAGAATTCGGTTTGGGATCATGATCACACAACATATAACGGGGGTGACGGACGGAAGGAGGAACACGTTTCGGCAACACACTCGAATCGGAGACAACGGGGTGGAAATCAGGGGATGAATTCTTGTCTATTTTGTACAATTTGAGGGAATGGTTTTTGTACATTGGCTATACGGTGGCACTATTCTAGTATCGGGGGAGGCAATTTGAAGATCCTAGGGTAGATAGGGCTGTGTAGAGCGGTCAGTAGTCGTCCTGAAAAGTAGGAAAATATAACAATTAGCGAAGAATTAGTTTTGAGGGGATCTTAAACATAGGAGTGAAGGGATCGCCTAAGCGCAAGCGTAAGCCGAAGCCTAAAACAAAGCCTGATCCTAAGCCTAAGCTTAACCCAAAGCCTAGGCCTAATCATAACCTACGCCTAAGCCTAAAACAAAGCCTAAAACCCAATCCTAATCCTAAGCCTAAACCTAACCAAAGCCTAAGCCTAACCGTAACATGAGCCTAAAACAAAGCCTAAACAAACCTAGGCATAGCCAAAGCCCAAGCCCAAAGACCCTTTTCAAGAAATTGCCACCAAAATACCTACCGTATCCGGGGCGCAGAACGACCGCAAGTACTCCATCGTACACCGCTCCGAGCAGCATTTTCGGGCAACCCCCGCCGGGCTCGAGTCACCAACGTCGTTGCCTGAAAACGAAGAAGTTAAGATAGTTTTTGCTGTTTTTAGGGACTCCCATTTTTCTATCATTCCCATGCTAGCCAGGCGTAATTTGGTGTGTTTAGTGGCGTGGGACAGGCAGACCGGTCTTATCGTTATGGGAAAAAGGCTTCCCGGAACCCAGAAAGATTGAGGTGTGAACTGAGCAGACTCGGATCGGGAATTGTACAAGGAGGAGGAGGAGAGAGAGGGAGACGGAGACAGAGTGAGAGATAGCTGGAAAGGGGGAGACAGCTAAAGAAAAAAGCCAGAAATTTATATGCAACTAGAGATAGTCGGAGAAAGCACCCATAAATTTCTCAACACCAGGCCTAACAGCCCACTTAAATTTGGGCATAAAGGTAGACAATTAAAAACTCACTCTCTTTTGGCGGGTTCAGTCGATTCTTGCAAATCTCTCGGATGGCCTTGGTGAGCTTGGAGCCGCAGAGCCGATGCTCTCGCGCCGAGGCGGTGGGGCATAGGGTGGCGACGAGGACGAGCAGTGCGAGAAATACCATGGGTAGACGCGGAAATACAGCTAGAACGGGCGGAATTGAAATTTTCAAAGGAATCTGACATCGCGGAACTTTGAGAAAATTCTGAAAGCTCACCTCGCCGTCGTTCCATCGGCCGGGGGTGAGGTTGGTGGGGTTGAGATCTGGAAAGCAATTTATAGAGGTTAAGCTAAGGCTTAGGCTTAGGCTTAGGCGTCGGCTTAGGCTTTCGCAAACCTCAAAGAATCCAATCACTCGAAGAACTCACAGCTGCATATCCGGCTGGTGGGGCAAGATTCGGGCGAGGGCACCGGGTGTCGACATTTCCGCCGGGTGAGACTGTGTGTCTGCTGCTGTCTGATGGGGGGAGACTGTGGAATTGTGGATAGGAGCGGGGCGGAGTCCCGGATGGCCCCTCATCGGCCTTATATGCCCCCCGGGGCACACGCCCGGTCCCCACCCCCTCAATTCTTCGTCTTCTTCGACGGCTTCGTGTTTTGATGGGCTGCTTGCCTTGCAAAAATCCGGGCTGCAAAGATGAGCTATGGAAAAAGGCTTGTGCGGGTTGAATTTTGGTCTTTAAGGGGATCAGGAAGACCATTGTTACAGTTATTTTTCGCTTGAGCTTAGAAGTTTTTTGAGAAGCCTTAAAATACTAGCTTTCAGACACAAAGCTAACGCCTTGCATCTTACGTCAAGCCTAAGCTTCGACGAAGTCCAAGCCTAAGCCCAAATCTAGGCTTGAACCTAGACCCTCGCCTACACCGAAGCCCAAACCTAAGCAAGCTGCTGGAATTGCGTGATTTAGCTATATTTCCAGTCCGGCATAACCGGTTTCCGGTCTCGAGAATCCGTGCATGGAATTGTCTTCCCTCTCGCCGAGATGGGTACCCGGGTCCCTTCTATCCAAATAAACACTCCAGCTGATTTGGCGCCCCCGGGCGGGACCCGTCGAATTCGGACACTCTCAATGTTATGCAATTTGAACTTGGGTAGACAGAGAGCCAGCGAGAGATAGAGCGAGAGAGCGAAAGAGAGACGTACAGACGAGACAGATGGAGAAACAGTCGGATAGCCCGGTTACTTGTCCGGCTAAATCGTGCAACCGACCGCGTAGATAGTATTCACTTGGAAATCTTCCCTCATTCTGATTCATATAGATTCTCTCATATAGATCGTCGTTTCCGGAAGGTCCAAGAGCCTCAATTTTAAATGTCTTAGGTACGTGGCAATAAAATTCCAGCCGCTACGCTAGACTACCCTACACAACGACCCGCTTGACACATTTATTTGGTTCTTTGCAGCTTTTCATTCACGAATATTTTCCCAACTTTTTGGTGTAGCTGTCCCTTTAGACGCGCAAATCCTGATCCGCCATGGACAAAGGTCATTGCTTCCATCGATGCAATTAATAAAGCGACCCCTGCCTCTCTCCTACAGTACCCCGGGTTCGTTGCGAAATCACGAGCCACGTCCCTCCATTCACATGAAAACTGGCCGGCTTCCGGCCATTCGAATGTCCCATCGGGCTTCAGGTCCGATAAGTCGCTCCTCCAAAAACATCACACCCCCCACCAGCGCGGCAGATGGAGGGCCGGCAAAGTGGAAATGCATTGAATTCTGTCCGCGAAACGTGGCATAGGGGTGGGAGTTCATTGAACACCGGTCTTCGCGCCGATTACGCGTTTTTAAAGGGACTGAAAAGGCCGGGGATCGAAGACTTGGACCACTAGGTATCGACTACGGCTTTCCATTTTATCATTTTGTCCAGATTACCTTCTCTTGAAAAAGCAATTTACCAAAATTTCAATGCCTTTTCGTCTAGGTTATTCATTTCAAGCTTTCGCTAATGAAAATTTCAACGCAAAGAAATCTCGTTTTCGATTTCGTCGATTGCTTGCTGGCCAATAGAAATGTGTGTTGAGGGAAAAGCCTACTTCGATTGCCTTGGTAATTTCATGTGTCCCGTAGTGTTCAGTGTCAGTAAATAATACGATAAATTGATTTCCTCACTTCGCCGTACCTTTAATAAAAGTCGAGCCTTGAATCACAAAATTCCTTGACAAATTCACTAAAGTGAAGCCTTTGTTGTTTTGAATATGTTGAACAATTTCGGTTGAGGCATCGACCCTTTAAAACAGTGCTATCTCTCTCTCTGTCTCTCTGTCTCTCTGTCTCTCTCTCTGTCTCTCTCTCTCTCATTATCCCAACCAGCTGGCCCACTCCCTTTAAAACCCGGTTGACATTCGGAGATGTGCGGTGACTGTGCGGTGAGCGATATTCGGCGGTCCATGTGCTGTGTTTGTGCGTAGGGAATTTGAGGAATTCGAATTGGACCCCCCCGGCCCGGCCCCCTCGATTCAACCCACTGTCCCTCCCCGTCCATGATACAGATCAGTAGGGGGGATCAGAAAACATCCAACGGAATTTTTGGAGGCGTCCAGGGATTTTGGGAAGCGTTCGGTTCGCAAAATTTTGCGGGTAGGTGAGGTCTGCCGGGCCTAAACTTGTTAGGTTTAGTCTGGGCCCAACTTCCGCTTGCAAGGAGCGTTGTTGGTGAGCTAGGAATTTTGCGACGTGACATAGATCATTCGATAGGGCTTCAAATTCTGAACAGGACCCATCTTTCAAAAATTGGTGAACGATAATGGTCTTCGAGAATCAGCTTATCAAAGTCCGCTTTTTTAAGCGGTGGTGAAAAATGGTCGGGCAAGTTCTTTCAGAGCGTAATTTCCTTGAAAACCGGTGTCGGATTTTATAATTTGGAAATTCTTGAATATCGGAATTTCATACTGTCGAAACGTCCGGTTTCCGATCGAATTTATGAACAAATCCCAAGGCAAATCTCCCAAATACTGTTCAAAAATCTCCATATGGGTCTGGCAAACACGAAACTACGAAGTTTCGACATCATGAAATTTTGACCCTATGATAGGAAATCGGCTAGAACTTAAGCTTGGGCCTAGGCAGATGTCGGCTTTATTTTTATCTCAGTCCAGGTCAACAAGACTTACTATCGACCCCTCAAAGTTTTCTTATTCATGCCGCGAGCCGGAAATCTCGTGTGAAGCCGACTAATTAAGGAGCTGAGTGGGGGGATGGGTCTCTGGACTGCTTGAGACATGTCTGGAGGGTTGTTTATTTGTGCAGACCCCCCCCTGTGGCCGGTTAGCATAGGTTAATCCCCCCTGGCTGGGATGTTGCGCAACCTTTCGGCCGGATGGGGCGGATGCGTCGAATTATCGAAAGTCAAGAAGGGATATTGGCAGCTACTTGGGTGGGTATAGTGGCCACCTGAGTGTAGTCTTAATTAAGAAACGCTACCTTGCGGATATTGATCTCCAAGGTAAGGTTATGGAAGCGGAGCCTGGCTGTAGCATAACGATAGCTTTTATTTAACGAGACTTTTACTACTAACTTGTAAGCTCCGTTCAGTCTAAGCTACCTAAGCCAAAGCCCAGCCCTAAGCCACCCCTAAGCCTAAGCCTAAGCCTAGGGATACATAAACAGAAAAATACTGACATTCTGAACACTCTTTTCGAACCAAAAACTCTGCTTTTTTCCATTAATAACGTGCCTTGGAAACCGAGTTTTGCCGCAATGTTTAAATTTAGAACACAAGAACACACAGAATTTATCCCACGAAGCAACGGTCACAACACGGAAGGGACGGAGGCGGAGAAAGGCGGAAATGTTGGTCGAGGCACTGTGAGGGCGGGCGATGAGCCGAGCGAGAGTTTAAAGGCAGCATGCCAGGAGAGTATCACAGGGGCTCATCACTGGGGTACAGGCGGGGGGGGCAAAGAACAGTGCGCTTTTTAGGGCAAACACTGTCGGCTACGGTAGAGGTACGGGGGCCAGGGTACATACGTACAGCGTACATGCATTAATGGAAATCACCGGTGACTGTATGTGGGGGTTTGGTCCGGAATCGTGGAATCACAGAAATCGAAAAATTCAGGTCGAGGGCAGTCGGCTTGGTTTTTGCTAGTGGACCAGAAGAGAGGGAAAAGATTTGGAAGGCAAGAATAAGTCTAAGCCTAAACATAAGCCTAAGCCTAAGTCTAACAAGCCTAAGCCTAAGCCTAAGCATAACCTAAGCCTAGACTTAAGCTTAAACCTAACCCTAAGCCTAAGCTTTCCAATCCAAGCCCTTTTGAAAGTAGAATAATTTAGGCATCCCGTCTGGCCTCACTATCTGTATGGCCGGCTGCCCCAGCGAGTCATGGACTCATCGACCCTTCCGAGTCGACGTCACTGTCAGAATGGTGAGCGAGATCGTCGATGAAGCGGTGCAAGGAATGTAGACCAAGCAAAAAGCCCTCATCTGCGCCGGAGTGAAGCCCACCGCCCAGCGTGGCGTTGGCAAAGTCGACGATGCGGACGCAGAGTTGCTGAAAATATAAGCTTTAGGTTTTGCAGGCTGTTAGAGATTGACTAGACCAAAAATCTCTTTGTCTAAATCTTCTGGGAATACAGTACCCGGTCGACTAGACTACATAAACGTACCTTATCGGCCTCCTCGTCGCTGAGCGGCTCGAGCGTCTCGTCGCCCTCGTAGATGACCAAAAGCGAGGAGCCGAAGAGACGGACGCCATCGAGGGATTGGACCGCCTAAGGATCTGAGTTTGGACTTGGTTAGAGTGAACGAACCTCTTCAACAGCTTCAATTTTGCGCAGCAGTGCGCGAATCAGGGCTGTTCTCAATCTGCCATCAGGGTAGGAGAAGAAGCCCTTGATTGCTTTCCAGAGCTCGAGGACCTGAAAATACAAATTTATCTTGTTTTCTTCTCGCTGTCTCTCTCTCTCTCTCTCTCTCTCTCTCTGTCTCTTTCTCTCCCACCTCAATCCGTCTCCCCTCGTACTTGTCGATGACGGTGCTGCGTTCGGTGCACGCGTCATAATATTGGAGGCCTAAACTTCAGATGTCCCTGGTATCTCAAGACTACAAACCGCATAGTCGGAGCCCATACAGCAGTGACGTGCTGCGCGCACACTTGTCGGTCTGCCTGCGTATCTTCTCAGGCGCTGCCGCGTCGCCGTGCTGTCGTGTGCCCATCTTCAGGTCGACGATGCAGGGGTGCCGGAAACCGGCAGTAAGGTCGGATAACACCACGTATTCGGCGCTTGCACTGAAATTTTCGCTATGAATTACAGCATTTGAAGCCTTTTTAGTTTTTCAGAAGCCGTCAGCGTAGGCTTAGGCCTGGGCTTAGTTTTAGGCTTAGGCTTAAGCTTAAGCTTGGGCTTAGGCTTAGGCTAAGGGTACAGTAGCAAAACCCACCTCGGCTTGCCGGCCCTCATTCTCGATATGGAAGCGGTCAGCCTTGACTGCCCTGCGGATCCTCCCAATAGGCAATTGTCGCACATCGTACTCGTCGACGGCCGTACGGTCTCGGAGGAGCCCTGAAAATTTGATAGATTTGCCTGCAATGGGCCTTTAAAATGAAAAACTTGGCTTGAAAGGTCGCACTCGCTCGTGCTCGATCTCGCGCTCTCCGTTTCTTTCGCACTCTCTCTCTCTCTCTCGCTCTCTGTTTTCAACCCATAATTTACTAACCTCAGTATATCCGCACATGTGGGCCAGGTGTGGGATGAGCGCAGGTGGGGCGTGGAGGTAGAAGTCGCGCTCATCTACGCCGGACGGCTTGGCGAGGTGAAGCCGGCCGACCTGGTGGAGTTGATGGTGGCCGCCGACCTGAAGACTTGATGTATGAGGGCTTGAACTGTCTTTCTCTCTATCCCATTCTCTCTCTCTCCTTCACGATTCTTGAAATTTGAGCCCGATTTTTATTAAAAATTCTGCTTGCTGCAAAAAGTTCAAAGCCCGAACGCTATTTACAGCGACCGCACCCCGGAAATTGGGTGCCGAAAACAGGTCCGGCTGCCCCGCGGTACCGCCGCCTATCAATCAAATCTATTCCACCGGGCTCACGTGGGAGCACGAGCTGTTTTTCGGTTCATACTCGACGCGTAAATGGTAGTCCACCGGAAATGGGGGTTGCCAAGGGGTCATCAGATGATTTGCTGGGGATCGGGAACGTTGAGCAAGGCTAGGGTATCCGGAGAGGCCATGAAGCCTAAGCCTAACCCTAGGCCTATGCCTAAGTCTGTTTAATAAATCGAAGCCTAGAAAGCCTGGGCCCAAGTCTAAGCCCAACCTTCAAAAACTCAAGTCCGGCTCACCTGATGCTTAAACTCCTCATCCCCTTCTTTGTGGTAGGAGGTCGAGCGTTTCCGGCTGTTCAGCAGCTGTACCATTCGCGATTCTGCAATCCGGGCATTTATAGAAGATCCACATTCCGCACAAGAGAAGCGACCAAAATAGAAATGGAAGCGATTTTCAAAAAAAGGCGTGACAAAAGCAGGGTGATTTGCATCTTCGATCGGTTCCCGGTTGCGCGGATGTATAAATACGAAAAATGGAGAGAGAGAATGAAAGAGAGCGAGAGAGCGAAAGAGATGTGAGGTTTAAAGGGTTTGTAAAGGTAAGTATTTAATCGATTTCCGAAGTTTTCGCGACTGGCAAGGAGACATTTTTCAGCGTCGTCCGGATCTTGGGATAGGACCACGCCTATTTCGTGCAAAATTTGGTGCTGATTCCGAATCCGGCTTTTTTTTGCGGAATAGCCAATTTTCGAAAGCCATTTGTTTCGATGTAGAATTTTCGGTTTCGGTAAAATTCGGTAAATTCGGTATCGACGCAAAATTCCACACAAGATAGGCTTCACTCGTCCCCGGCGACACTCAAAAACGAAGAATTTGCTCGAGCTGGCCTCCCTGGATTGGCGTTGGTGCCTGATTCCGGGAGGGTCGGCCCGCCGTCGAGAACTGCCTATATGTATCTGATGGGCCTTATCTCGCGTCGGTGAGGCGAGGAGGGAACGGAGTTCAGTGACGCATCTACACTCCGCCAAACTTGGCGAGACAGCCGCCCGGAGAGACTTTGTGGAGGCAATGAACCCGCAGGCAATTTCGCGGACATGTCTCCATATCGGGGCCCGGGAAATGTTCTTTAGTAATCGCGGATGGGCCTGGGTTTTGATCGTGGTGAGGCCAGGCATCGCTATGGATTCCAACCACCGCATGGTACGCTACGCGCACGCGCCGCTTGCCCTCTTTGGCATATTGCTTGTCTTAAGCGAGGGAAAATCGGGGTTCGCGTTGCGTATCGCGTGCGTGCGGCGGATTCCAGGGTTAAAAGTTTTTAAAGGGGACGCGTGGTCGGGTTTTACGATTTACGATTCTCTCTCTCTGCTCTCGATCACTAACAAACTCCCATACCCACTTCTCTAGCTCTCTCTTTCTCTCTCTACCCATGTCTCTCTCTTTCTCTCTCTCTCCGCTCTTTCTCTCTATCTCTCTCCTAATTTCTTTGGGCAAACTAGGATGTTTCAAGGCGCAAGAAAGGAAAATCCTAAAACTTTCCAGGAGCCAAACACACTTTGGTTTTTGGTAATTCATCCCACTAGCCCGCTTATCACAAAAAAGCGCCGACCCAAGTTGTATTTTGGGGTTGTTGAGCGGAGCAAAACAAGGAACCAAAAATGGAATTTGGCGCCGAAAAATGGAGCATAGGATCGACATCCAAACGCCTGGAGAACAGATGCGAATCGCGTGAATCGATGGGCAAACATTGAAGGGGGCTAACAGCGTCGTTTTCACGGCACGTTCTTCTGAATTGGGGCCGGTTTATTGGGCGGGGGGGGGGGGGGGCAAGGGCTGACTCAACGTACACACATTTAGCATGGCACCAGGCGTTCGCGGTATGCTCGTCGTGTTCTGATCCCGATGATGGCACCTGGGAATGGAATCGGGAATGAGGGTGGGATTGGCGGAATTTGGCGCGTCGCGGAATTTTGAGCAGCTGCTGAACTTTTTGGAAGGGGGCGTGGGAGGAATTGAGTTGGAAGTGGAAACAAGAATATAGTAGTAGATAAAAGTGAAGCAGAATGGAGAAAGTGGCGTCATAGGCATAGGCTTAGGCCAAGGCTTAGGCTTGGGCTTGGGCTTAGACTTATGCTTCGACTTAGGCTTAGGTTATCCTTAGGCTAGGATTCAGATTAGGCATAGGCATGGGCATAGGCTTTGCTTAGGCTTAGCCTTAGACTTATGGTTGGGCTTAGGCATAAGCATAGGCTCAGGCTTAGACTTTAACTTAGGCTTACGCTTAGCCGTAGGTAGCCCCGGTAATTTTACAGCTGTTGCCCCGAAATCAATGCAATAATCAAACCACCCGGGGGATTATCGGTCGGTTCGCGGGCGTGCCGACTGTTTTGGACGATTTCTGATAGCGCGGCTGGCGATTCGGACCGGGGGTGCAATTTGATTGATGGCGGGCCCCACCCCGCGGAGATCGACCTCCCCATTTTTGAGCACAACTTTTAAAGGGAATCAAAATCCGGAAGGTCACGGGATTTACGAGAACGTGGACCCACTAGACGAATGATGGGGGCGAAAGTTTAGAATTTTCTGGGGATTAGGGAGCACCGCGTCAGCTGGGGGTCTATTTTATAACGTCACGTTTTCCTTGCTCATTAAATCAAATGGGGAAAATTGCGCGATAGAATTTAGTGGTTTAGATAAGATATGAGGACCGGGCGGTGAAAGCAAAGCTTAGCCAGTTTTATGAGTCATTTTAGGGTTTAGAAAAAGCGAGCAAAGAAATATGGAGTCCGGAAGGGTCGTCAGGAGGATGAGAAATAGAAAATCCAAGCCTAAGCCTAGCCTAATCCTAAGCCTAAGCCTAACCTAAGGCCAAGCCTAAGTCTAAGCCTAAGTCTAAGCTTAAGCCTAAACTTAAACGCAGGCGTAAGCTTGAGCTTAGGCCTAAGCCTGTTCCCGAAGTTTCCAGCTCATCATCGTCAAATATACCAGCTTTTCGATAAATAGAAAGAAACTAAGACGCCGGGGTCAAGAGGTGTACATCGTACTACGCTTAGAAACGAGACCAGACAACCGAAAATCAAGAACGACCGAGAGCCAGGTGATGTTGTTGAACCGTGTGATTACGTCGCCCGACCTCCCGGTCATGAGCTGTACTTTTCGGCAAAACGGAACCCGACTCGACCCGGACGGTGACCAACCAAGCAGGGTGGAACTTTGAGCCCGAAGGCCGATCGATCGGCCCTGCTCCCGGCACCTGACCCTGCTGTCGGAATGGGAAAATGAGGTGAGATGGGTCGAAAATAGAGCCCCTGGGGGCTATGTTGAGGCCCAGCTGGGCCCAGGGTGCTCGGACAGTTGTTCCGAAATGCTACGATGGACACGAGGCGTTCGAAGAACCGCGTCATCATAGGGGTAATGATGATGACGAGGGGGAAAAGATTAGGGTGCTAGTATCGGGTTTCTTTCAAAATGTCGAAATAAGCTAATTTTCCCGAAAACCCCCCGAATCCTACGCACAAAAAATTTGACGTTATGAAATCTCGATACTATGAAATTTCGACATTAAGAAATGTCAGCATGATGGTTTTTGACATCACGAAAGCAAATCCCAAAAAATACCGGCAAGAAAAACACCGACAATCAGGATTCTAAAAGCGCAAGATCCCGACAAGCCAAAACCCCGACAACCATAATCCCGACAACCAAAACCCCCGGCAGGGAAGGGACATCTCGATGCTCAAAATACCGATGGGCTCGATTAAACCGATAGCCCTAGATAGAATTTAAGTTGTCGAACTTCCGGATTTTCAATCACGCTAAATGTCGGTATTTTAGCGTTTTTCCGCTGGATTAGTATCACATCAGCAAAATCGTCGTTCGAATCGTCAGAAAAATTCAGAATATCACCGTCACTAAAAAGGCGCTAGCCTAGATGAGGAGGGAGGTGTTTCCCTATTTTCTCCCTACTGACGCCAACCCCGTAAATCTGATTTCTGGGGAGGCGGAGGATGGGGCAACCTCCCGAAAGGGTTCGAGAAAATAAGGTAAAACCCTAAGAATCCCAGCTTTCCGATCAAAACAACGCCAATCCCGCCCCCCCACTCCTCCGCAACGTTCTCACGCTCGAGAAATCTTCTTCTGATCTGGCTGAGGACACTAGGCGCTTTAGGGGGATGTTTACCTTGCCGTGGCTCGGCTTGAGGAAAAGGCAAGAATGTTCTATAAATATTAATAAATTGGGAAAGCCCATCGTACTTTTTAGGAACGCTATTAGTTTCAGCGTTTTTTGGTCTTAAAAATCTTAATGACAAAATTTGGGTTTAGGCTTTTCAAGGGCGAGGAAGAGCTCTAAAAGATTTCGAAGCTTGGCTTAGGCTTCGGCTCAGGTTCAGACTTGTCCTGAGGCTTAGGGTTCGGCATACGCTTTGGCATAGGCTTAGGCTTAGGCTTAGGCTTAGGCTTAAGCTTAGGCTCAGGCTTGCGCTTAGGCTTGGCCTTAAACTTAAGCTTCGACTTAGGCTTGGGTGTTGCTCCCAGGCCATACGTGGTGGGAAGAAAAAAATATAGCCTTTAAAAACACTAAAAATTGACGAAACGGGCTAAGTAAGCTAATTATCACCTTTTAGAGACTAAAACTAGATAAATGCATGATGCAAGGAACGTCCCTCTTCAAGAAATAAGGTAACATTCTAAAGAGCACGGCGCGCAAAAATTGGCACGGGTCCCCGTCAGTGTGAGATGTTGGGGGTGAAGTGTGTACAAGCGGCTACTCGGAACGAGGAGGGGTCTTTTCGAGTGTCCCCTTCCCTTCCCTTCTCCCCTCTAGGTGTGGGGGTGGATGATCGCTTTTAACTAGGAGGAGGAAAAGGTGGACAAGCAGCACATGGGGGGACCCTGTTGCTTTGAGCTCAGAAATCTCGGTCTCACCTGACATCTGGGGTGGACAAAGGGACAAACAGGGGGATATACAGACAGACAGAAAGAAGACAGACAGACAGAGAGAGAGAGAGAACGAGCGAGCGAGCGAGAGAGAGAAACAGACTAGATACAAACACATATGTCCCGGACGTACATGTGGTGAGGGTGAGCAGCAGCGGATTTTTGCGAATTCCTGGAATGATTGCAGGAGTTTCTGAAGTTGTTTGTTGGCAGCTTGCCAGCGACTTTATAATTTGACCTTCAAAAGGCAAAGGTTTGGGCTATGATTTGGATTAGGTATAGGCATAGGCATAGGCTTGGCCTTATTAGGTCTAGGTGGAGACTTGGACTTAAGCTAGACTAGGCTTCTCTGACTTGGCTTGGCTTAAGCCTAGCTTGGCATCGGCTTAGGTTTGTGCTTAGGTTTGCTGAATTTTGGTTTAAGCTTAGGATCAGGCGTTGGCTTAGGCTTAGATCCTTTAAAATTTCAAAAATCCCACCCAATCTTTGAAGGCACTTTCCCGCCCCCCTTTTTCGCGGGCTCTAAAAAGCGAAAAGTATCGGATGATGGTCGCGACCTCTGAGCGAGGGACGGCTTTTGTTTTTGTTTTCCAAACGGGACCCGGGCAGCCAGCCGGGGAGCGGCACAAGGATGGCGATCTGATCTATGCAAGTGCCACACAAAACCTCACTTTGTCTCTAAGGGATGTTTGCTGAAATGGTTGCCCAAATGCATAGGAGGCGCCGGCTGTTGGGTCTATGAATGCGCAGCGGTTCCGAGTTCCGAGCCTAAGCCTAAGCTAGTTACTAGTCCGCAGTTCACTGTTCCGAGTCAGACACCCATTCTAAAGGTACTGTAAGCCTGGTCTGCGATATCGGGTGCATTCTAACTGAACAGTTTATGCTGATTTCACAGGAAGTTTGCAGGCACGTCTGCAAGCCGTCCAGGGCGGGCCTTCTGAAAGATGCGATTTTCGAAAGGAAAGTGAGGAACATACGGTACTAGGAATTCTTAGGAAATTTTGCCCAACCGAGAAGTCGGAAAGCTACGCTGAACGCTTGTGGACGGGGTTCACGAGAGGGAGAGAGACAGAGAGAGAGAGAAAGCGAGAGAGAGAGCGAGAGAGAGAAAGAGAGACAGCGAGGGAGAGAGAGAAAGAGAGAGAGAGCGAGAGAGAGAGAGAGAGAGAGAGAGAGAGAGAGAGAGAGAGAGAGAAAGAGAGAAAGAGAGACAGCGAGGGAGAGATATAAAGAGAGAAAGAGAGAGAGAGAAAGAGAGAGCGAGAGAGTGAGAGAAAGAGAGCGGCAGCGCAGCGGCGGCTCCAAGGCACTTTTTGCAGCCAGTTTATGCAAATTTAATAATCTGAAATTCAAACAGTAAAAACGGTTGCGAGCTAAAATAAGCACCCCAAAAGAGCGTTGTTTATAGCGAAGGTGGTGTGGGGTTAGAGAGCGGCTGCTAGTGTTTTTCGGAATGAGAGGCTCTCGATTCGGGGGTCCCGCAAATTCCTGTGGGCCCGAAGTGGGGCCCAAGCAGTCGATCACGTGTCAACAGCCCATCGCGAAGTATGCAACCAGTATGTAAGCGCGGAGTGTTTTGTACTTATCTCGGGGCTGCAAAAAATCCCTGGGGTGATAGATGGAGATCGGGGCTTGCAGAGGGTGTGTTTTTCGGTTTTTTTTATGTTTAAAGGAACAGAAAGCCTAAGCTAACCTAAGCTAAGCCTAAGCCGAGGCCAGGTCATAAAACATTCCATTCACTACGCGAGTTCTGTCCAATTGCTTTCAAATTTTCAGCTTCTAAACAACAAAAAATTTATATTCCATTTCTGCACGAAATAACAGGAATATAATGAAATTTAAGTCAAGCAATATTGCGAAAATCCGACGACTAAATACGCATCGTGAGGCAACGAAACTCCCGGGCCCGCATTTCGACACCTGATGAAATTTTGGGGTGTTCGAGGAGCTTCTCCGTAGCCCGGACAACAGGCCCGGGGGCTACAAACTACAATTTTAGCCCTCCGGCCACAGCTGTGTGAGCCTTGCATCCTCGAGCAGAACGCATTAATAGACACATCGAAAGGGAGAAAATAGTCAATATGACTCTCCAAGGATCGGCCTAAACCTAAGCCCAAGGGTAAGCCTAAGCCTACGCCTAAGCCTATGCCTAAGCCTAAGCCTAAGCATAGCCTTGGCGTAAGTCTAAAATCCACGATAAACAGCTTAAACGGTGCAAACTCTAGCTTTTTTGCTTTTTTTTTGGCTGGCAGATCCTAACCAGCCAGTGGCTAGTTAGATGACAACGCGTACTAATAGATTTGTGCTGACAAACGCAGGCACTTCTGATCCGCGGAATGGCTGAATATTTTCGGTGCTGTTTCGCGGGAGGCGATCAATATTTGGGCAGTGTATGGAAGGGAGATCGGCCAGCTGACATAGACGGACAGACACCGCCACGCACCACAACGGGGGGTTGCACACGCCTTTTGTGGAACCGGCTGTCGGTTAAAGGGGCCGGGAACGGACGGGCAAGTGTTTTTCAAGGGGTTCCCTAGGTGTTCGACGGTGGGCTTCCCGTGCAAGGGCGCGCCACCGGCTTTCCATTACGTAATGGATTTCCCAAGCGAATGGGTTATACTTAGTTAGGCTTAAGCTTAGGCTTGGGATTGGACTTGGCTTCGGCCAAGGTGAGGTTTAGGCCTGAGGCTTCGGCCTAGGCGTAGGCTTCCGCTTTGACTTCGACTGCTCCGGGTCAGACTCTAAGTTAAAGTCAAAACAAAAACAACAAGTTTCGCCGAGAAAAAGACAGCCCAGACGCACCCAGCCCCGGCTTCTAGACTTTTCGACGCGCACCACAAGCGCGAAGCACGCAAAAAGCGGTCGAGGCAGGGAGAGAGAGAGAGAGAGAGAGAGAGAGAGAGAGAGAGAGACGGAGAAGAAGCCCAAAATGTCTGTGGTGATGACACGCGTCCGCCCAGCCACAAAAAGCGATTGTTTACCGCAGATGCTACGTCAATTTTAGGAACAGTTCCGCGTGTTGACATTATAACGGTGATCTCTGTCATTCGGAAGGCAACAGAAGCAAACACGCGCCAGAAATTGTCGCCTTTCTCATGAATGCACATCTTTTCTAGACTTTTTGGTGTGCGGAGGGCATCAATCACAGCTGGTTTCGTTGGTCGCTGGAATATTTATTTAGGCGCAAAATTGGAATCGGGGGAAGGTGAAGGGCGGCACAAGGTTTCCTGCTCATCTGGGCCGAATTTCAAGACTCCGGAAATTTCTGGAGCAGGTTGCAGCATGGACAAGATTTTCATGGTAGATGCAAGATTTTAAGCCTAAACATTGAATTTGGTGAGCCTAAGTCTAAGCCGAACATAAGCGCCTAAGCCTAAGCCTAAGCCTTAGTCTAAGCCTATCCCCGTTTCCTAAGCCTAACCCTCTGATTAACCCACAGGGTTCAAAGCCCTTCGCCTTCGCTTCCGTCCTTCAAACCCAGCATCGAAGTTCACGTCGCACCAGTTCAAAGCGCTTCATTTTTCAGAAAACCTGGTAATTTCAAGAATCCGAAAGGCACCCTGCCTCCGCCCACCATTCTTCCCAAACACGGCCCACACACAAAGAACGCGCGGCGCCCTAAAAAACCTTCAAATTCCTTTCGGTTGCCATGATGTCCGCTTGTCGACAATGGGTTGAAAGGCGGGCCCCGGCTCGACAGGGGACCACCACCAATTTTCCATTTCTGAACGGAATGCTGGGCCTCCATGATGGGGGCAGGGAGGCTTAGGTCAACCCGTCAACAGCTGGCCATTTTCGGAATTTTGCGACGAATTACCAAGTTCGATCGTCTTAATCATTTGCTTCCTGGTCTATGTAAAGATTTTTCGAAAAACGCATGGAGGCCCGCCTACACAATATTTTTTTTTGAATTTCTAATAGTGATTTTCCCACCTCACTTTTCCAATACTATTTTTTCCAGTCTATTTTCCAAATAGCTAATTTTATTTAATTTTTTTGAAAATTTGGCTTACGACATTAATCGAGATTTCCATTGTCAAAAAGGCGACTTTCGAAACGACGGTGTTTCGAAACGGTGCTTCGATGTCGCGCTTAAGTTAGAGAATATCTCACTAAAATTCATTCCCTTTCAAAGCCCGGGCCCAGAATTTTGAAAAAGCATTACTCACCACCTGGTTGTCTCCCCCCCATCCGTCTATGGCGACAAAATCCGGGTTTGCCGTCTGAGAGTAAAGCGGAAACTGGAGGTCTCCGTAATTTATCTTTGTCCCCCCCCCCCCCGTCCCGGGTCACAACCTCTTCCTACCCCCCCTGGGGACCAATGCGGTTTCGTGCATATGCATAGCACTTGTCCGGCTTACACGGTACTGTAGTTTTTCTGGAAAATGTTTACATTACGCTTTACGTTTTAGTATTACTGCGTTATATCGTACTATTACGTACGCTATTGTTCGTTACCCGGTCGTGTTTTCTGCTTTTTACAGTCCATCTGGACGAGATTTCGTTATTCGAACTCGATTCTAAATAGAATTATCGACCCACCCTTCAGAAGATGACCACCGACTTCGACACGCAGGCCGCCCTTGTTGAGGAAGTTTTGGGTGAGCAAAATTTTTTTGAAGGGCTTTGGAAAGCAGCCCAGAACAAGACATTCCATACTTTGGCTAGGCTTCTTCGCTTTTAGAATCCGGGAACTTCCTAAGATACCATCCATGCTGTGACAATATATTTAAAACTGACTAAACCATTTAAGGAGACCTCCACATCCAGCGGGTAGCTGCCATGCTCCTTAGTCCATCACCCAGGGACACCCAATTGCTACACGATATTCATCAGGAGGTGGGCTCGCCAGAACCTAATTTAAATTTCAAAATGACCCCTAGAGCGGTGCTGGCCTTGGGCCCTAGATATGATTTTTTAGACCCAAACCGCCCTCAACTGCATCCAGCAACGTACGAAATCCGTTGAGAGGAAGGCGAAGGAGCGGAATGGTAGTTTTAAGGCTCGAGGTAGGCTTTGGAATAGACTTGGGCTTAGGCTTAGAATTAGGCTGAGACTTAGGATTATCTTCGTGCTTTAACCTTGGTTTAGGCTTAGCATAGATAAAGAATGACGACGCACCAACGATTCGAATTTTTCAGCCCCTCCACCTACAGCCCGCGCTCCTCAAGTTGCCCCCTTGCCTGCCCCGATTCACTCGAAGATTACGGCCAAGGTATGGTAGTTTTTTTATTCATAAATTATCCAAATATCCAGGTTCCGAGCGTGCGCCGCCCCGGAAATTTGAAGCAAGCCGGCAGGCCGATAAAAACCTAGAAACAACGTTATAGATTTTTGAAAAACTTTAAACGTGTATATCCGATAATTTATCGCTTCGTGCTTGGTTAGTTAACATTTAAAAAAGGGTGAATCACAGCGTAAATATGATTAGAAATATTGCGAAAAGGAAACAGGAAGAAACGTGGACATCTTAGCGAAGAAAGCATTGCAATACCCGATCGAGAAGGAAAACGACATAACGTAGTATCGTCTTTTCAAGGTGTCGTCACAGCAGAAAGTTCCGGCTAAATTCTCATACAAATCCTGCTGTCACGCCCCTTTTAAAGCGCTTAAAATTAGGAAGTTGAGCACCAGAGGCAAGATATGAGAAGATTCAGATGGATACAGATGGGGAATCGGATTACAGTAGTCGAGCAAGAAGGGCAAAAAATAGCGGGGTGAGTAGGGATACGATAGATGCGGATCGAGCGAGCTCGGCTTCGCGTTGTGCCCATTGGCGTTGTCGTGTTTCGAGGTCGTCAGCAGGGAGGGCGCTGGAACTTGGAGGTCTCGTTCTCTCTCTCACTCTCTCTCTCTCTCGCTCCCTCTCTCCCTCTAGCTCTCTCTTTCTCTCGCTCTATCTGTCTCTATCTAAAAATCTTACGTAATATCGACGCTCTTCTGCTCCTTCTCCTTTAGCCGATCCAGCTCGGAGCGGATGTCCACAGAATCCGGCACCGGCCCAACCCGATTGAAGCCACCGAACTAAAATTTTGGGGTGCTTAGCTAAGCTTTGAAGTATACCTCTTGTCGAGCCGGCATTTTCTTCTCCGGCTTCACCTGGGTGAGTTCCTCGCCATCATCCACCTGTTCGTTTTCGTTGTCTTCAGAGTCGCCCCTGAAAACGAGAAGGTTTATTCATGGGCTTCGGCTTAAGCTTAGGCTTAGACGAAGCTCAGACTTTGCCTATGTAGATGCTTGTGCTTATACCTGTAAAGCTGCGTCTGCTCCAGGAGACTCTTTCGGTTGCAGTTATCCCCGGTGCAGATGCAGTAGTTGATCAATCCGTCAAATGCCACCCCACATCCAGATTCCATCTTCTTGTCGGGGAATTCGATCGAGAACTCCTCGCGTGACGTACACTTCTTTTCCAGGGAGAAGAGGCCTAAAAGATTGTTTTTCTTGAAGCGAGAGAGAGAGAGAGAGAGAGAGAGAGAGAGAGAGTGGCAGAGTGAGACATTCCAATACCCGCCTGTGGCCAATTGTGTCTGCTTCGTCACGCAGAACGTCTGTTCCTCATCCCCACGCCCTCCAGCACAAGCCACCGGAACAGAAGAGGTGCAATCCGCGATCGGGTCCGTATTTTCCGCTTCCGTGCACATCATGCAATGCAGGGAGGCCTAAGGAGAAGTTTTAACGTGCTGAGGCCGAGGCTTAGGCTTAAGCTCAGCTTAAGTCATAAGAAGTCAATCAGCTTACCTCGGCCGAGGCTGTGACCAAATTCTTTGCAACAGCGACCACGTTGGGCTTGATCGGGGCGGGGCGCTCGACAGGGGGCTAAAAACAAGTTCCGCAACATTTAGAGGACGGTTACCTTCAGCTCAACAATCGGTTGTTGTGGTGGAACCAGGGCTTTTTGAACGGTTCGCGGGGCTTCAGTAGCCGGAAGTGGCTGATTGACGGGTTGTATCGGAACCAGTGGTACCTACAAATTTTACATAAGTATTTCAGGTTAAGCCATGGTATCTCATGCTCTATGTATCTCTCGCTCTCTCTTTCTATCTTCTCCCCTCTCTCTATCTCTCCATACCTCAGGCGCCCTCTGTATTACAGGAACTTTCGGCACAATTTCTTCATTGACTGCTGGCCGAGCGGGGATCGATTCCGGATTCTGGGCTTCGAGCTGAATGCAAATTTTCTTAATTTCCTTCCTTTTTTTACGAACCTGCTTGATAATCGACTCCTTATTACACTCATTCTTGTTGCATACACAGTACCGAACCTAGAAATTTTGTTTCAGGTAAGGTGACAAGGGGTTGAAAGGAACTATGAAGGCAGAATCTGGGCGCGGCCTGGATTTTTGAACCTCGACAATGCTTTTTTAAATATTCAGCTACCTTTCCCTGATGGGCCTCCCCGCAGCCGTCCTTCACCACACTTTCCCCGTACTCATTCTCCAGCACCGCCGAGTTGACGCACATTTTTTCGATGGCATTTTGACCTGAGAATGAAAGCTTAGGATACCCTGAATTTCGTCCCTTACCGGTTCCAAGCAGGATTTGTCGCGTGAAGCACAGCGTATCGGTTCCGACGCAATCCACCGTTTGTTGGCTTGTGCAATCAGTCGATTCGTCCTGAATTACGAAAATTGGTTAGGTTTTGGGGTAGGCTTAGGCCTAGGCTTGTTTTAGGCTGAAGCTTTGGCTTCAGCACAGGCTTCGGCATAGGTTTTTTGATTGGTGTTAGTGTCACGACCCCTTTAATCCCCACCGCGAGCATCCCTTGGCCGCACTGGGCGCATTTTAGGGTGGAGGGCGGGGCGACGGCGAGCACCGGGGACGGCAGCGGGGCTGAAAGAACGGGTTTTGGAATCAGTGGAACTGGAAGATAGGGGAGAGAAGACGACTTTACTTACGGGCTCGAGGCTTGGCCTGGAACGTGGCGACAGGTTGAATTCCGGGCAGCTCCTCTGTTTTCGGGGCTATCATCGAACCGTCGAGGGCGTTCGTCGAGAACACGAAGCCGGACGACCTCAAAATGAACGAATTGCAAAGAGGCTGTCTGTATTAGTTGGTGCGACCCCTGGTTCTGGTCTGTTAGCGGGGGGACAAAATCTTGATCTTTTCTAAAAATTTTAAATTTTAAATTTTTGGGTAAAAATGTATGAAAAATACTAGAACCAACCTCGGTGGTGCTGGCATGACAGCATCGATGCGTCCAATGGAGTTGGTTTCTCGCAAGGTGGGTGAAGCTCGAGCCGCCTCTCGAGCTCGGAATAGCGCGTCAATTTCGGCGGACTCTGGAAAATAGCGAAGGTTCTTGATAACAAACCACGAATCTGGCTACAAACTACAGCTGCAACTGAAAGACTGATCACAAAAACATCAAAAGCTTACCCATGTCCTTCATTTCGGGGGTGCCAGTTTCGCGAGATGGCAGCTTGTCTCGGGAGTTTTTCACAAACTGAAAATTTCTTCATTTAAACTTTAAAGGGAGTGTTACGGGACAATCTTTCGATAGCCAATACCAGGAATCTATGCTCTTAAAGCGAGCAGAAAGGGAAGGGCATCCCCCCGATAGCTACACCTCACACCAATTATGCGTAATTTGCAGTGATATGTAGCTAACGGGATCTAGCCAATAAAAAAAGTAGATACTAGCACTTGGAAACTCTTTTGAATACGATCAAAATTATTCGCTTACCCTTAAATCGTTGACAGGCTGAATCGGGAGCTGCTGATTCCGAGCTGCTGCTCCAAAAGTCGCCGCGTTGTCCCCACCGGCCCGGAATACCTTGGCATCAGCTCGCGGGGGCGCGGAGCGAACCTGAAAGAAATTGTGAAGGCAAATCCTAACAATAATTCGAGCCTCAACTCACCTCCGACAATTCCGGTGACTCGTCGGTGGCAAAGAGTTCAGGGTGTTTCTACAAAGCGATCATAGTCATAGCCATTTTCCTACCGCCTCAAACAAGGAGAACTGCTCGGCGATGGGCTTTTCATTGCACAACGAGCCCGAGCGGCACAGGCAGTAGGCGACCTCCTTGATAAAATATAGATTTTTGAGGATTTTTGGCAAAACTACCTGTCCATCTATTTCAACAAGGTCACACTCCTCATCGAGTGGGTATTCCTTTTCGGGGAACTTTTTGTAGTGATCACTCTCCGAGATGCACTCCTTCAGAATTGTGTAAGTACCTGGAAATGCGTTTCAGGAGGTGTATGGCTTTGCTGTGCATTTGGCAGGGACCCTGATACGTAACGCGCGGAAGGGCGCGTTGCGTGTCGCCGTCTTGCCCAACGGGCGTAATCCGAAGCTAATCTACCATTTGTGGCCTTATGCCTCGTCGTCCGGCAGTAGATTTTCTCATCTGGGCTGAAACGCCGCGCGTACGCGTCGCAATCATAGGGGAATTGGGCCTCGCACTCCCCGAACTCGTCGAGATTCGCGTCTCCACAAACGTTGCACTGGATGGCGAAGGCTGAATAAAGGATATTGGTCATTTTTAATAGTTGGTTTCTTGTAACTTATTTCTCATCTTCCAAGCTCATTTAAAAGCGCTAAAAAGTGTCAGAATCTACCCCCGCCGTCGACTAGACCTAGACATCTTTCTTAGAAGGAAATCCTAGGAAATACAATGAAATTTCATACAGGGAAATTAGGGAAATTCTGGCTAGACCGTTGGAATCGTCATAGTCGAAAACCCAGGGGTAGCCGCGAGCATTTTTCGAAATTCCACCGTGCCAACTTGAGGTTCCCTTGTTAGGCGCCCTGGTTTTCATTTCGAAAAATTTTCCGGTAGTTGCTCAAACGTGAAATTGAGCAAAAATTGAGTTATACAGCGTGTTCTATAACGGAAGTGACGGTACGCATCGACAGCCAGGGGACGATTTTCGGGCTCCTGAACCTCTTCAAAACGAGGAAGGCGCGCGACCCGGCACGACGCGACGCTGTCAACATGCTCGCTGCCTTTAGGGAAAGCGACAGATTTTTTCTTGTCTTCTGAGTTCCTTTAAAAACCCCAAATTTGTTCCCTATACATCTTACGCTATTTTCTGCCAGTTGGCATCCACCCACGCGCGGCATTTCCCTTTAGCCTGCCTCTGCGATGCCACTTCCCCCTCCCCGGTGCCATATTTGGACGTCCTTGAGCGAGAGTTGCAGAGCATTGGTATACTGGTACTACTATTTCCTGCTCCTTCTCCCCCTCCTCTCGCAATGTATAACTACCGGCCCATTGGAGCGCCGGGGGCGAGTGACCAGTTCGGGGTGAGGAAAGGCTGAAGCCGGAAAAAGTACCCCCAAAAAAGGAGGGGGAGACCGCTGCTGCTGTTGCTCAGTCTCTCCCTCTCTCGCGCTCTCTCGCCCATGAGGAGACCGGTCCTCCCGATTACAGCTGTAGAGGCAACGGTTTAAGTCCACAGATTTGGGCAGTCAGTGGTGACTTGCGAACCGAACCCTAGACCCGGAAAACATGGAGAGACCGGTTACGGTAAATCCCTGTGATGTATGGGGGAAGCAGGGGGAGGAAAAGCTTACTTGGGACTTTGGGCCGTATTTGTCCTTACTTGGAGGTTTCCAGGAAACAGAGAGGGAGAGAGAGAGAGAGAGAGAGAGAGAGAGAGAGAGAGAGAGAGAGAGAGGGAGAGCAAGAGAGCGAGAGAGAGAGAAAGAGAGAAAAGCTAGAGTGACAGAGAGAGATGCTTTTAGAAAGCGAGATCGATAACATTTCAATAGCTTCGACTTTATAGCTTACCTGTCGGGATTATCAGCAAGAGGCACCAGCCGACCCGTCGCATTCTAAAAAACAGCAATATAAATAGCCAACAACTATTTAAATGATAGCAACACAAGAAAACGGCAAAAAACAAAAAAAAACACATACAATAGCATAATATAAACTTCAAAACAACTTCTAAACTGCCAAAACCGCACGCCCTTTTAGTAAAAATGCCGAAAGCCGAAAAGTGGGCATCGAAGTGGGGGGTTGAATGGAAAAATGGCTGGTTGTGATTGTGCGCGGGGGCTGAGGATGGCCGTGAGCCGGCACTTCAGATATTTTCGATGTGCCCTGAGGCGGCAGCATCAAAACCCCCCTCGAAAACTGGACCAAGTGAGCCGCGCTAACGGCGTGGTCAAGGTGGGCGAGGAAAATGCGAGATAAGCGGAGAAATCTGTTGTTCGAGATGGAACCGTCCTACCTTATATAATTTTGGCGCGTATGTGTGTGTGTGTGTGGATGTCACTTTCGAGGCCCGATTTGAGGGCCTTCCCGTGTATAAAATGCCCTAATTCTCCGTCACCCGGGGGAATCGACCCTCCTCTTTTCGATGGCGTTTTCAGAATTCCGATCAAATACAAGTTTACAAAGTTAAAGCCGGTTTTATTCATTTTTGGGGGTCCCTGAGGGCTAATTTGCATAATGCGGAAAAATACAAATTTCCTCATTCTTGCCAGTTGCACTCGCGTGTGTGGCCGGTGGGGGGAAAGGGTCCGAAGGACCCGAGCTATCGGGAAGTCAAATTTTTCATGCAAAGGCCGCATTCCAGCGCCCAAGGCCCGCGACGCGGGTTTTGGGCGCTGGTCAGGGAATAAAATGAAAATTCTAGGCGATTTTTAATCAGAGGCTTAGGCTTAGGCTCTGGCTGAGGCGTCGGCTTTGGGTTTTTGTGGTGTTGTAACATCAACACCATTGGCAGGACCGCTCAACGAGCTTAACCTATCAAAATACTCGAAAACTAGAGCATGACGTATTACTGGTTTCTGCTTTTGGAGCAGCCTGACGTACGCACCGATGCTGCCGCATATAGGCGCTTACCGTATTACAGAAGGGCTGCGTACAGAGTAACTTAACGGAATACAGTATGAGGGTAACATTTTTAAAACATGTTTGGCAGGTAAAGTGGATTTTCCGAGTAGGATTGGTTGAAAAACCATCATCACGGTTTCATTACAGTATCGACCACGAACCGTAAAAAATCCGACAGGTCTGGTCAAAATTCGGGGCCAGCCCCGGGGGCGATAAACCGGGCAGCCGGGCCTCCACTCCACTTTTGCGCACCGCCGCCCATACTTTCGACTAGACGAACCGTTGGGATTAGCTTTGAAACTAGGTCTCCCCCACGATTCACTGACTCGCAAAAAAGCGCTGCTGGCCTCCGGACACCACGGACATCAGGTGTTGGATCCAGAGATTAAAAAACTTTCGTTTTTTGGGTACTTTGGCTTCGGATTGGCGTGGGTTTGGGTTGAGGCTTGGGCAAAAATTTAGGCGCGAATTAGACTAAATCTTACGACGAGACTTGGCTTGACTTCGTTTGGGCGTATAAAGGGATTGGCTTCGGCGTTGCTTAGGTTTATGGTTAAGCTTAAAGGGCACGTTCAGGGACGTTTTTTGGAAAAAGCAAAGATTAAGCTTATGATTAATATTAGACTTCGGGCTAGGCTTGGTCTTAGCTTTCCGCCCAAGTTTGGATTCGGTTGCGGGCCCCGCTTTGGCCAGCCCCAAGTTGGTCAGCCATTGGGTTTGGGCTTGGGCTTAGCTTCAAACTTAGGTATAGGCTTAGGCTTCACATAGACATCGGCTTAGGCTTAGGCTTCGGCTCGGGTTTGAGTTAACCTTAATTTACCTAAGCCTAAGAAATTCAAACTCTCAAGACAACTCCCGAAAAATCGAACTCCGTGGGGGGGGAATAGTAAAAGTACGGTGTCTGTGTGTCATTGTGAAAGGGAGCGAAAGAAGAAGAATGGTTGACAGTCGACAGTCGGGATGTTCTTCAACCAGAACCCCCGGAGGGCTGAGGCCCCCGAGAGGGGCAATTTGGGAATGGTGGTGGAGGTTGGAACAGAGGGGAAGAAGGGGGAGGATGAGGAGGAGACTACCGAAAGCTAGAGGGGAGACTCTTCCCTCGCATTATCCCCACAGTGTCGCTCTATCCCTCGGTAGCAAGGACCGACGAGGACCTGCTAATAACTTGCCGGGGCTGTCGCAAGAGTCTCGAATCCGGGACGACCCCGGAAAGGACAAATTTTTTCATAAGGGGGAAGTCATAAATTTTTAATTTGAGGCATTGAAACTTTGAGGGCAAGAAAGTAGCTGAGGCTAGTATGGATTCTTTAGGAAAGAGCAGTCTAGCAGTGATTCTTTAGGAAATGGCAGGCAAGCAGGGATTCTTTAAGGAAGGGCAGTCTAGCAGTGATTCTTTAGGAAAGGGCATGCTAACAGAATGTTGAGAGGAGGGCACGCTAGCAGAGATTCCTTAAGGAAGGCCAGGCTAGCAGAATGCTTTAGGAAAGGGTATGCGCAATGGAGCATCAGATAGATCCAGGAAATAGGCGTCAAAACACCCGACGAACAACCGGATGCGAGGAAGACGCGCGAAAGTGCTAAATAAAAGTGGCCGGCTGGGGTGGCCGGCGAGGGTACATAGAGAGAGACACTTTCGCCCTCCCCAATTCAAGGACTCCCCCATCCCTAAAATTGACGGAACGGTGGTAGCGGGCTTGGTTGGGGGGGGAGGGGAGATCGAGCCTCTGGGGGTACAGCCAGCCGGTCGGACTCACCACAAAAGGGCCGGATTTCGACCCCGGCCGCCAGTTTACGGCCAGTAAGAGGAGCGAGGGGGAGGAGGGCAGCCAGCAGAGAACTTTTGGGGAGCGAGGGGATGTATGGGGGATACCGTTTCGGATGGGCGACTATGCAAAGTGTTCCTCTACCCCACCCACATCCACACACACGCCCTACGGCTTCCAGGGATTTGCGTGAATGGATCTGGGTTGGGGATGGGTTTGTTGGTGGCAAGATAGGCATCGTTGTTGGGAGCTCCGCAGAGAAAATAACCAATATAGAAGTTGCCAGGTTCAATACTGAAAATGATTTCGCGTGACGATTATGACAGGATAAAAATGAAGGGCAGACGGATTTGAAATTCTTCTTTTGGGACTAAAAATCACCTTGTTTAGATTAGGGTTAAGGTTGGGGTTAGGCTTAGGCATAGACTTAGGTTTAAGCTTAGGCTTATGCGTAGGTATTGGTTCAGGCTTGGGCTTAGACTTAGGCATATACTTAGACTAGGGCTTAGGTTTAGGGTTAGGCTTCTAACGCCAGCTGTATGGTGAAAAACCAGGAATTCGACATAAGAATCCTTGTTGTAAATTCCGTTTTTCATCTCAATTCGCTTCCGTTCTTTCCCGAAAGATCAAAAGCCTTCATTAATGCGCTACTATGGCAATTTTTGTATCGAGGAGTAAAAATATGAACTGCGACTACCCCCGGGGTTAGCTAGAGATCCGCCTGGCACCCAGCTTCACGTCGAGGGCGGGTCCCGCAAAACTTGAATGGCCTGCGGGGCGCGGCAAATAATCGGGGTCGACGACAAAGTTTGGCGGTCTATTCCGAATGGCTCCTGTTGACTGATCCGCACGCATAGAAAACCATGCCCTGGGGTGAGACCGACCCCACAGAGAAGTTAGTATTATTCGGTGACTGATCCCCCTGACTGTCACGCCGGTTTTGCAGAACTGAGTTGTTGGCCGTGTGCCAGCTGGGAAACAAAATTACTTACGTGCTTATAGCAAAAAGATTACCTTGTTTTAACGGGGGTTCAGCAAGGGGCTTAATCGACAGGTTAGAATGGTTAGATCTCGGCAATCGTCAACCACGATATAGATGATGTACAAAGAGCTCGAGCTCGCTCTAAAGTTAAACAATCCTCACGGGACTGGAAAAGCAAAGAATCCATTGATCGCTGCCTCCATAGTTCTTTTCAAGCGACAATGTGCGGTCTTGTGGCCAAATTCAGATAGCAAATGATTCTGAAGAATGCTTAGGGACCAACACCTCTTCAAAAATTCTTCATTCAAAAAGCCGAAAGAACCGCGCATTTTTTCATATTTTTTAGTCGTATTAGTGCTTGAAGCTTTCCTTTCCCTTTCCTACAGCTCTTTCTTACGGCTTTTTGAAGGGATAGTGCCATGTTAAAGCAAAAAGGACAATTTTCCCAAATTCGAATAAACGGCTTTACAGACAGCCAAAACCTTTCTAACGTGCGGCCCGGAAAATCAGAAATTCTTGCGACCCAACGACGAAAACCTGGCAGCGAAAAAAGTAGCCGCCTGCAAAACCCCTGATTAAAAAATGCGAGGCTGAAGGGTCTCACCCCACATACCGTAGCCACTGAAAGGAAACCGGGAGTTTTGAGGAGAGCTGACTGCCCCGACTCTGACACATGAGGGGGCGCTAATCGCGGTGCCCCTGTTTCGCGCCCATCCAACGAACCGATAAAAAGATCGCACAGACGGCCCGCGCGTGATTCCTCGAAAATCACATAAATTCGGGGGATGGGGGGCCTCGGGGCAACCAGCATTTCAGCATCTCGGGGTTTTCGGGGCGAGGCGGTATACATAGTTTCGACTAGGAGGTGCGATGGCGAGCGAAGCACAGGCTTAGGCCTAGGCTTGGGCTTAGGCTTAGGCTTAGGCTTCGGCTAAGGCTAGCTTAAACTTAGGGTTAGGCTTCGCCTTCGGCCTAGGCTTAGGCTTAGGCGTGGCCTGTATTTAGAGTTCCCTCCACCCACGGTCAGCTTGGAGTTCAACCTTCGTTGAAGATATCCATAACTCATCACTGGATCCTGAAAAATCAAGCACAATTAGCAGTATTTATCAAGATATCAAGCTTATTAAAAGCCAATATTTTTTCAGCGCCCCTATCTTTTTCTACGGAGTTAGACGAAGCCATGGCGATACACGAGGTGCCGAGATTCTGAAGATGCCGTTGATTAGTGCCGCAGGGTTAATTATT